AACCATTATAACATGTGACTTAGCTTGTGAGACGTACGTTTACGAACCACATGTTTATATTTAATATGATTTATTTAACCTATCATGCAACGTATTGGCCAAATTTTATATTGAGTATTTATGAACTTAAATATGTATAAAGGCATGGGTTCATGAGGTTGGAGAGTTCTGACTACTGTTTTATTAAGGATCGACACTCAATTATTTTTTCTGTTTTCTAAATCAGATTTGCATATCTTCAAAACTATATATAAAACAAACTTTATAAATGTTAATTTTCGTTATTGTCTATACACAATAATACCATTTAAATAAATTAAATGTAAACAAACTGTCAAAACATGTGTTGTTAAGATAATTTAGTTTGTTCTATTAGGTGTTAACATTCAGTGAGATATACAGTTTTGTTTGAATATATATAAACTACATTTTCCTAGTATCTATATCATTAGATATGAATTTTACAGATACATTTTAGGTTAGTGTTTGGATATGCACATGATCGATATCTTAGATTAGATTGGTTTTATTTACTGACAGAAATAACCATTTTTGGAAGTACACTAGTAAATCTTTAAACTACTACATGTTTTGTTTTGTCTTTAAAATTTCCGGATCAAGTTTTGTGTCTCACTTACACATGATGAAGAAAATTATAATTATGGTGAATCAAAAATTACCGCATGTCTTAATTTTCTTAGAGCCAATTTTCTTTCATTTTTTCTTTTTCAAATCAAGGTCAGTTATGCACCTAACCTAATTTTATAAGAATAAGATCAATTATGTCAAGATTAGGACAGTCTACCAAATCTGTCAAATCCTTCAATCCTTTTTGGCGGTTAATTGCAAACTAATCTGCAAAACCACATGTATTGATGGATCAAAATGTTATAAAGTTGCTTTCGTCAATTCTTGGATTTATTTTCTAATGTCTTTTTTTGTTTTTTTCGCTTTTATGAAGAAATCGTACTTTCAATAAGATTTATTTTGCAGAAACATAAATTAAAAAAATACAAAAAAATGCTGATATTGCTCTATACTAAAGTTGTTACAATATCAGTTTTCTCTTACTTGTATGATAAGAAACCAGAAACCGAGTTAACATCATCATCATCCTCACCATCAACATCATCTTCATCGGAGTCAACATCAGAAACTTGATCCAAAAAGCCATGGTGATGATGATGCGAGCTCCAGTCAGGTGGGAATGTCTTCTGCAACGTCTCAGTGAGCTCACCACCAGAACCTTCGATCTTACAAAGACATTTAGACCAGTGAACCGCAGTTCCCATATCAACGATTAAGCCTGCCTCCACCATTTCCTTGCAGATAGTCATAACTCCTGAGTAAATGTAAGCTTCTGCGATTGAAGCACGCGACAGAAGCGAAGTCAGAAGGCAATGATACACAGCTTTGTCAGGTTTTAGCCCCATCGACTTCATTTCCTCATAGCAACTTAAGGCTTTCTCGGGAAGAGATGCTCGCGCCCATCCTTTTATCAAGGTCGTGTATGTCTTGATGTTAGGTTTCACCCCTATTGCTTCCATTTCTTCGATTGTTTGTGTAGCTCTCTGCCAAACATTTTCAAATGTTGTATTTCTGTTTACAAACCCGCGAAATGAATATAGACAAGAATCTGCTTCTTGGATGGAAACTTACATTCATGTCGCCGGCCTTAGAACAAGCGCTAATGAAGGATGTGTAAGTATGAATGTCTGGTTTAACACCTTCTTTTTTCATCTGCTGTATCAAATCCGCAGCTTCCCATACATCGCCTCTTCGTGCCCATCTAATATAAACCAGAGGAAAACGAATGAGAATCCTTGAACCAGGCCAAAAAGTGGCTACAAAACCAGATACTTTACCCGTCAATTAATATGTTATAGACGAAGGAATTGCGCGGGATATTCCGTGCGCTCATTTCTTTCGTGACAGCTAATGCACTCTGCATTCGTCCTGATTTGCAGCAAGCTTTAAGTAACGCTTCGTAAGTGAAAATGTCAACCTCCAAACCTTCGTTTTGAAGTCTTGTAAAATACTCAAAGGCTTTTCCAGTATCACCAACTGATGCATAGCCTTGCATGATCTTTGTGTAAGTGTGTTCGTTTGCACTAACACCCGCCAATGTCATCTCGTCTAATATCTCAACCGCCTTTTCCATCTACAAAAATAATTTAACAAGAGATTAGTTCAATCATATAATCTCCATAGGAGAACATCGAGACATAGATTCTTGAAACATACCTGACGTTTCTCAACTAAACCATTAATCAAAGCATTGAAAGTGTGAACGGTTGGAACACACCCGCATCGTCTCATCATATCAAAAACTTCTAGGGATCTCCTCATGTCCCCGGATTTCGCAAATCCATTTATGATAGGCATAAACGTCCGTGTGGTTGGTCTATGCCTCAGCTTTTGCATCTCCTTAACAGTCTGGATCGCTCGATCCATGTTACCCATTCCGCAGAATGCTGCGATGATGTTGTTATATAGTATAACATCCGGTTTCATGCCTTCATTTACCATATCTTCAAATACAGCAAACGCATTGGCCCAATCTTTTAGTTTTACAAATCCGTTGATCATCATCGAATACGTCTTTAAATTATGCTTTACGCCCTCTTCCTTCATCACTCTGCTAACTTCCAAGGCTTTTGAAATCTTTCCAACCTAACAGGAGGTGGCAAGCATCAAGACACAACAATACCAAGATAAACGTTTCCGCTTTATACACAACACTATTGTTCTCCTTACCTTAGTATAAAGATTAATGAGGCACCCATAAGTAACAACTGTCGGAGTAAATCCACATTCCTATAGCAAAACAAAAATATCATCTTCACTTGCTCAGATACTAAAGAGGAAGTAAGAAAGAATCCAAATCTAAAGCCAATTAATACCTTAAGTCTTTTGAAAACAATTAAGCCTTTCTTCTCATCGGCGACCATTGTATAGCCATCCATCATGGTGTGGTAGATAGCAATAGGAGCATCAATACCTTCTTCTTCCATCTCCCTCACCAATGCCTCTGCCCGCTCCATATTGCACGTCTGACTGAGAAAATGTTCAGAATCTTTTAGATTAAAGACAAACAACAAATTGATTAGTAGAGTCAGAAATCATGTGAATAGTTACCAGTGTGCGTAAATGATTTTTCCATATATACTAGCATTAAGGGTTTTGTGTATCCGTTTGGCCTCGTCAAACCAGTGATCTGCAGCTCTTCCAAAGACAACAAAGTATCAGATCGAATTTAGCATATACAACAAGTATTTGAATGATAACAACGGTTACCAATACAGGCAGACACAATATTGTACTTACTCGGCATTTCCCGCTTTAGAGAATCCTCCAACGATTACGCTATAAGTCACCAAACTCATCTCAATTCCTTCTTCCTTCATTTTACGAACACAAGACAGTGCTTCGTCCATGTCTCTACCAACTGCATAAGCGTGAATAAGGCTGCATGAAACAAATCCTCTTTTAACCTTTGAGGAATCCCAAACTAATTACACAAAATATACCAATCTTTTTACTTTGGAAATGAGAGTGAGCCAATTCAACACATTTTGTAACAAAAGGAGATACCTTGTATATATACGTGATGTTGGTGTGATACCCCTCGCGCGCATCCTCTCAAAAGTCTCACGTGCACGATGCATATCTCCTCTTCTTCCATAGAACTTCACCATCAAACCAAACTCTGTCCTAGAAGGCTGAGTATAAACATTGAATCAGTGAGTCTTTTTTACATTATTCGTTCACAAGGATGATCACACATGACACATATATCCATCAATTGACCTCAATCACAAACCAAACAAAGCTAATGATAAGTCGAAAAACAGAGCAGAACTGATTGATGTTAACAACAATGACAAACCTTGTTGATCTTCTCGAAAGCTGAAATAACAGCTTGCCAGTTATCTCCATTAGTATCTAGGATCCTTTGTAGTGACTTTCGTGACCCTTCTCTCTCTTGATGCCACGATGACTTATTCGACATCTTCGCGTCTTCTTCTCCTTCCTGCACCCACCTCACTCTCTGCTCAGCTTTTGTTTTCAGCCTGTTTCCATCGTCTAGCTTCACCGTCAATATCCTGCCGTGAAACTCAACGCCGTCGAACTCCACAGCTTTCATTGCAGACTTCTCTGCCGCGTAGATGATGAACCCAAATCCCGCGTTTTTCTCGACCTCGTGATGTCCTTTGATAAGAATCACATTCTCTATCGGTCCGAATTGTCGGAAAAACTCTTCAAACTCTGGTTTCTTTATCCATGTCGGTAAATTACCGACGAATATCTTTCCTTCTTGTCGGAAGTCCTGTTGCGGCTTCCGAGTTTCTTCTTCCGGTGGTTTCGTGTCATTACGCAGGTCATCTCGGAATTGGGTTTCCTCAACAGGAGGCGGAGGTGGAGGAGGAGGAGGAGAAAGCTTGCTGGACAAACGTAGTTTGGATGCTAGAGAAGAGCCAAAGGAAGAAACTTTACTCGAAACCTCTGATTGAACTAGAGGAGACACAGAAGAGCGATTGGTCAAACCTTTGAGTGGATTAATCTTTAGAGGGGTTTTAGGAGAAGGGATAGGGGAAGGTGAGGAAGAAGAAGAAGAAGAACCAAGAGATTTCTCCGGGCGACGGAGGTCAGGAGGACTCTCAGGAGGTTCTGGCGGAGGTTGTGGTGGTTGCGGCGGTGGTTTGAGGGAGAATGATATGGAAGCCACCGGAGAGTGACGGCGGAGAATGGTGGCGGAGTAAGGAAAGTGTGGAGCAGAGAGGGACAACACGCTCCCTCCATTATCCATATCTCCTTTTCTCTCGTCTCTTCTCTTCTCTTCTCTTCTCTCTGGTTATAACGAAACATAATCCTTGCTAATATAAAATTACCAATTTGCCCTTCTCAAAATCCAAATATTTGTCAATTGAGAATGTTTCAGGTGAATTTGGATATTTTTATATCAAGAATCAACTAGGATCCGATATGTAAAACGTTGCTACTATCAAAAGTGTTAACGCCAATATTGGTTCCACATAACTGAAAAACCATTAAAAAGAAAAGTCTCACTTTGAGTTTTAAGACATAAATCTTGAATCAAAAGAAACAATAAACATTCCAAGAACCACAAGTCTTTGTTGTCCCTAACTGTGAAAAAAGAGTGCCAATCTTTTGTCTTGATTGGCTAAATGATAACAAAGCCATCTTAGTATCTTCTGGGTGCTCTGCCGAAAGCAGGGATTGGTGCCATAGTTTGTGGCTCGACTGCAGAGATGCCGGGAGTGTCAGACATTCCTAAAGAAGCAAGCATCTCAAGAGTCTCTTTGTCGACCTTGATCTCATCGGTCCTGATAGCAGACTCATCGGGAACAAAGTCCATGCGGCGTTCACGCTCTTCTTCTTGAAGCTTGAGTGAGATTCCACGGACTGGTCCCTTCTGGATACGTTTCATCAAGTGGGTGGAGAATCCAGCAATCTTGTTCCGGAGTCTCTTTGAAGGGATGATGGCGACCTCTTCAAGGATCTTCTTGTTAGTGTGAAAGTCAAGAGTCATACGAGAGTAGTACTTCTCGATGACTTGACGAGAAGATTTCTTCACGGTCTTGGTTCTCACACGCCCCATCTTTCAGTTACCTGTTCTGACTTACCTGACGAGAGGAAAAAAAACAAAGAAATTCATGTCTTTATTAAGGATTCTCAAAATCCGTAATCCATGTTCAATTGCATCATGAAAATAAAAACATTTTGGTATCAAGAATTGCACCTAAAGCATCGATTTTTATAATCACATTTCAACATTTAGGTGGAAACACATAAACAGCAATGAAAAACAGAAACAATAGAGATCCATAAGCATATGACAAAATCAAGATAAACACCTTGAAAATGCAATGTCAAATAAAGTCTAGAGAATTGCAGATGAATCAAGAAATATACATCAACATAACACTGAACTTGAAAGAGGTTTAATGTTATTATCAAAAAAACTAAGCCATTGATGCATCAACTAAACTATAAGTATGAAGATGCAGCAGCATCAGGTAATAAATCAACCCATTTCACGAATCTAACCAAACATAAGATTTACTAGCTACAGAGACAAACACCACAACAAAACTTTAGAAACAGATATAAACCTAGAGCACAAGCTTCTGCAGATTCTGACAGTGACGCAATTCCTAGGTTAACCAGAACGTACCTGCGAGGAAGAAGAAGCGGCGGCGACAAAACTCAAAGAAGCTAAGACGGAGCTGATAAAATTGCTTTTCTATATAAATAAAGGTTCTCGTTAGGGTTTAATTTTAATGCAGCCATGGGCCCTAACATTCGTCGCATTTTTATTGGGCCTAAGTCCAATTTAATAACGCATAGCTGAGACCCAATAAGCCCAACATATTGACGCAATCATAACTTCAAACATTGGTGGGAAAAATTAATTTATTTATCTGTGAGATCCTAATAAAACAGAGTTTTGTCACCAAAATTCGCCACAAGAACAATGACCATCACTGAAATGGTGAAACCTATTAACATCTCTAACAATGATAAATCTTCTCGTAGCCATTGAAGCAGCCTTCATAAACTCATGGCAATCAACACAAATCCTCAGATTCTTCATGATCCTCACTGTAGAACCCTCTGGTAAACACATTAAACCAAAAACCAAAGCCAGCTTCTCACTATGCTGCATCAAAAGCTCCTCTTTCTTTCCTATCTCCACATCATGCAGCTCGTGTTCTACGCTTGGTTTATATCCAAACTTTCTCAATTTGATTACTAGATTGCCTAGCATCGAACAGATCTCACGGATTCTCGGATGACCGCTCTCTCCAACACTGAAAATGTGGACCTTGTCTTTAATGTCAATCCAGCTTTTTCCTCTTACTTTCTTCACGTCGCAGTCCCTTAAAAGCTTCCTTGATTTGGCGATGTCCTCCCACTGTTTGTTTGCCGCGTATATATTGGATAGTAAGACGTGATTACCGGCATTTTCTGGTTCTAATTCAAATAGTTTCTTGGCTGCAACTTCTGCCAGCTCGAGGTTTTTGTAGACTCGACAGGAAGCAAGAAGAGAACCCCAAATGGAAGCTGTAGGCACGAAAGGAATAGACTTTATCAACTCGTACGCTTCAGACAATAGGCCAGCACGACCAAGAATATCAACCATACAGGAGTAATGAACCACATTTGGTGACAGACCGTATGTGGTTCTCATGAGTTTGAAAAATCTCCTTCCTTCCTCGACCAAACCCGTGTGACCACAAACCGATAACAAGGAACTAAAAGTAACCTCATTTGGGTGCACTCCATCTTGCTGCATTTTCTCAAACAAGATCATCACTTCCTTAGGACGAGCATGCTTTGCAAACCCCGAGATGATTGTGTTCCAAAGCTCAATATTCTTCTCTTGCACTTCCGAGAAGATAATATAAGAATCTCTCAAGCTTCCACATTTAGCATACATATCGACTGCAGAGGATGCCACAAAGACATTAGAACCAAACCCGGACTTACATATAACAGCATGCATCTGTTTCCCTTCTATTAAAGCTGCCAGATTTGAACAAGCGCAAATTACTGAAGATAATGTGAACTGATTCTGCTCTAAACTCATTCTTTGAGCTCGACGGTAAAGAAGGAGAGCCTCTTCATAGTTTTTGCTCTGAACATAACCTGCTACCATAGAACTCCATGTAACTGAACTCTTGTCCTGCATAGACTCGAAAACCTGCACTGCATCGTTGATCATGCCACATTTTGCGTAAAGATCAAGCAAAGCAGTACCAACATACAAGTTCAAGTCAATAGAGGTCTTCAGTGACAAGCAATGCAATTTTTTGCATTCCAAGGCATCGCAATTTGCCCCACAAGCAGAAAGAACACTCGATATCGTGAATTCGCTAAACTTAAACCCTTCGTTTCTCATCTCCAAAAAAATTTCCAATGCTTCTGAATCCATTCTGTTCCGTGTATACAAACCAATCATGGTGTTCCAAGAAACCAAACTTCTATCAAGCATTCCATCAAACACTTGGCGAGCAAGGTCTACAAAACCACACTTGGAATAGGCATTAATAAGAACATTCGACAGAGTGATATCTCCCTGCAATTCCATACGCATAATTTTCCCATGGCAAGATTTTGCTTCCATAACAGCTCCGTTTCTAGCACAAAGCTGCAAAATTTCGATAAAGTCTGAAGCTTGAACCACATTAACCTCATCGCTATATCGTCCCGGTGATGATTCCTCCTGCTCATAACTGGCGAATACGGAGATATTTCGGGAGAGAGAACTAGTATTGCTTCTTCTGGGTAAGATCTTGCATCGGATCAAGAAGTTCACCGTGAAACCAAGAATGTTCTTACTTGGCAGCGAAAGAGACAACATACTTACTTTGGGCCACAGGCCTAAATGCCTGAAATGTACTATCACATTTGAATATTAATGGGCTTTTTTCTCAAGTCTGTTCCTTCTTTTTGTTATACAATAATATTTTTTTAATTGTTTGTCTTTTTTTTTTGTGCAAAATAAATTGTTAGTTTTTGATTCAGTGATACTACTACAAGATAATGGCTAGAAATGAATGATTGTACTCGGAAAATTGGCGGAAATTGTTAATAACGTATGACTTTTCAAAAAATTTACTTTTTCTCTGATATTTGTTTAATTGAAAAGTAATTTATGTGGTTGATTAAAATATATAATCTATTACAATTGGTCAAAGAAAGCAGATATATATAAGATTTGCGATTCCGTATTGTATGATTAACAATGTTGAAATATGAGTAAGACCAACTTGACGACAAGATTTTCACATCATGGAATAGAGTGTTTAAGTTTAACATTATTAAATTTTTTTTTGGATAATTAAAATGTGGAAGGTATTGCAAGTTGCCAAAAACTTCGCTGTTTGGTGAGAATCAAAGTCTTATCTTTCCTCTTATGATTTCTTTTTTGGAAAGCACTATTTTATATAGAAAGATCTTTTTTTCTTTAAGCGAATGTCAAAATTCATGAGAAGTCGGAAAATTTTCGTGATAAAAATGTCAACAAAAAAGTGAATCATTGATTAGACCTATCTAATCTAGCTATGGATTAATGGACTCTCTCTATCTTCTATACAACTTGCCTTAGACTGTGCATTTGTGCTTTGAATGGTTTAAAAGAGGTTGACATTTTCGTGGTCCCATGTTCTTTATAATTTATTTAATTAAGGATTAAGCTATATTTCTTCAATTACTTTAGTGCATTTTAGAGAGAAAAAAATAGCCGAAAATTACAATGATCCTAAAATCCAAGATATTTTGTTAGTTTAGACTCTTTTCATGGCCGTTGAAAAACAAAATACTAGTTGTCTTTGTAAAACTCAAAATATTGGTATTTACTAGTTAATCCAATGTAGAATCTAACATTAAGGTTTGTAATTAGGATAAAGGAAATTTTTTTAAAAGAGGCACTGATCACGCTTAGATTTGAACCCTTTTGCAGAGGGAACTCATTACTTTCACTAAAGTGGGGTTTCTAGAAAGAGATCAAATCTTTGTATTGCCAATAGAATCACATCTTCTTATTGGCAGAATATTTTCTATGATAAAAATAAAATAATGTAAAAAAAGCTTCCAACAATGTGACGATCTTGAAAATAATGGGCTTTTCTTGATTTGGACCCCATCCTTAAGAATATAGTTACCAAAAAGAGAGAGAATACAAGCAAGTGTCGTCTCCCACTTAAACACAGTTAATTTAGATTCGAGATATATATCATCCACTTCAAAATATATAAAAAATGTAATTATGTATATTATCCTAACCAAATTGCTCACATAATTATTGCCCATTGGGAGTGTTCACTAAAAGAATAATTGGACTGATTATACTAATTGAAATCACATATTCGATGCTACCTTACACATTCCTCTTTATGAAAACATTAGAGAAACTAAATGAGAAATAAAACTAAAAAAATGAAGACATCTTTAATAAACTGAAACATTTAGTGCCTAAACTTTGTATGAATATTTTTCTCAGAAGTTCAAAACATGGAAATTTCGTATATTGCTATCAAATTATTAATCATGATATATAGAATATATAAATGCAAATAATGAAAGAATGTATATATATCCTCAAGGAATTTGAAACAAGTGATTGTGAAAAAAATGAAAAAGAAAAGGTGATCTTGTTGGATATGAAGTTGCGGATAAAGTCACGTATGTGTGTCCCGTGAGAAAGATGTGGACGGTGACCCATCGTTTTCAATTGTACGCCATCTCGTATTTATGAGAGACCTATGTCTATCTAACGTTTCCTTTTATTAATGTTATCTATCCCATAAATATTTCATACGTGATCTTGCCTTAAAGGATTGACAAAGATTGATCTTTCAATCTCAAAAATCTTCTTTTTACAGAAACTTGTAACCTAATAGTTTGTACTAGACTTAAATATTGTGCGTTGTGAATTGTACACAACGGTAAAAAAAATATCATCAGTTTCTCTATTCTCTCAACAGAATGACTAGCATACGATCGATTTCATTTGGTCGTTAATTAAAACAAAATACATGATCTTTTCTTTCCTAAAGTTGAAATTAATATTTTTTCATTAATATTTCAAAACCCCCTCATTTAGAAAAAGAAATTAGAGAGTTTAATTACATAAGCTAGTTGTTTTAGAAAACTAAACTAAATAAATACTTTTCACACTTCGGTTAGCTCTTTCATGACTTGTCCATCTTTCACACCAAAAGACCCATTGGCTTCAGCATCAGAACTCGCATGAACGCCATAAAGCAAATACACGAGCACAATCAAACCGGAGAAGAAGCCAAAACGGACGTAAGAGGGTGCGTCCAACGAACCAAGCAAAAAAATGTTCAAGAAAATCGACACGCACGGGGTCCACGGCATGAATGGGACTCCCCATAACTCGGGTTTCCTAGCCTGGGGAACCACGCACTGGAATATCAGCACGATGGCTATAGCCACCACCGCGCTGGCACCGAGCATGAAAGCTTTAGGCTTGCCTTCCGGCACAAGTTTCCAGATGAGGGTGAAGACAAGAGAGGTTATGGAGAATAGTGTGAGGAAGCAGAGTGTGGGCCATGGCTTGGTAGGTCCGACGGGGACGTAACGTCTGAAGATGAGAGCGTTTGCGACCATGTAGAAGACAAATAGTGTTCCAATGGATACGAGGTTTAGAAGGACGTTTAGGTCGGTGAAAAGCGCAAGAGCCGCCGTGAAAATGCCTGATAAGGGATATAAACAATACGAACATTAATAAGATTGGTCATATTCTCTATACTATAGATGATTCGACCGATGAAAAAGTCCAAATTTGAAATGAATGGTGGTGGGAGGATTTGTTCGTTTATTATGTCTTTTTTGTCAAAGCAGATACGGAGAGGAAAAAAAGAAGAGAGATGTTAATGCTATTGATGGATATAGCAAATGTGAGTTAGTGGTTGCTAAAATTAGTAAGGATAAGGTCCCGGTTGAATGATGATGACCCTTAATAATGATCCATTTTGTGACAAAGGCATGAGAATAACTTAATGAGAAAACAATGCTTGTTACAAAATAAAATGCATATAAATATGGCTCTAAACGTTAGTATATGTTTTCCAATCTGCCAATAAATTGCGATTTATTTCTTCAGTAATTTCAAAGATGGTCATTATTGTTCAAAACTCTGGTACCTAATTAGTTTCACGACTTGCATAGCTCAGCCAGATTTTCCGGAAATTACGAAAAAGTTGGAGTTGTCAAAATATCAGCCGACTAGGCTTAGTAATATCTTCACAAAAAATTGAAATTAGAAAAATGATTGATTAACTAATAGTCGTCCAATGGATGACTAATAATCCAACTATCGTATTTTTATAAAAAAAAAGGTGGAATATGTATTTTTAACACTAAGGGGACACAGAAAGAACCAAAGAGACCCACCAAATCCATCACAATCAAGACCGTTGAAAAGATTGAATCTTTGAACAAACAAAAAAAAACACCAAATAACTTTTCACAGAGCAAAAAAGAAAACCAGTGGTGAACAACGACATCTAGCAATCAGACTCAGATGCTCTCTCTGTGACTCTGTCTTAAACACCATAAAATCACATTGAACCATGTCCCTACGTTGAGAGATGCTTACATAACGCACATAGCCCTTGTCACGATCGAAATCGATAGCGGAAGATTTTAAAAATGGTAACGTCCAAAAGTTTTTGATCTTAAAATATACATTGAAATGGACACGTATAGATAATGAAATCACGTGGATCGTATGATCTAGAGAAAACGTTAAAAGTTCAAATCAATAAAAAGATCATGGAAACAACCGAAACGGTTCTCATTGGGGTCCCCTTTTAACCTAACTGCTTACCTCTATCACACTTTTTGGACCAAATTGTTTTTGTTTAACTAGTATATGATTTGATTATATTTCATCACTGTTTGACAGTAATAAAATAAATGAATGAATGAGACAAAGAAACGTACCAAGAAAAGTGGAGGCGTTGACTGGCGTAGATGTTTTGGGATGAATCTTGGCGAACCAAAAGGGGACCACTCTGGACCGTCCGATGACACACATGTAGCGAGCCTGACCTAACATTGCCACCAAAAGTGATGTTAATATCCCAAAGCTTGCTCCTATCCCCACCACTTTCGTCACCCATTCCCAGCCGTTCGATCCTCTGAACGCCGCAGAAAACGGCGCCTCCGGATCTATCTGCGTTACACACACACACACATGCCCCGCCGTTTTTCAGCTTTTAACTCAAACTACGTGCCGTCTTTGTCAAACGGAAATTAATCAAAAATAATAATAAATTTAAGTACGGACCATATCGTATGGGAGAAGCATTGACATGGAGACGGCCATGAGACAGTAGAGGACGGTGACGATTGCGACGGAGCCGGAGACACCGACGGGGATGTCTTTAACGGGATTTTCTACTTCTTCCGCCATGGTTGAAACGGCGTCGTATCCTATGTAGCTTAAGTAGACCATGGCAGCTCCGTTGAAAACACCCGCCGCGCCGAACGGAAAAAAACCCCGAGGGGTGCTCTGGATTCGCCGGTGAGGAAAGATTCTTAGAATCTCCTTTTATGAATCCCATCACGATCACGAAGAATATGAATGCTATGTGAAATGCAGTCATTATCATATTCACCTTCGAGCTCTCTCTTGTACTACAACAAATGATGACTGTGATTACGAGGACTACGAGAACGGCGACTGGATCGACTTCATTGAATCCTTTTGGTAAACCGGAGACGACGAATCGCCACTTGGATGTTGAGATCCCGAAAGCTGTTCCTAAATAAGCGGTGAAGCTTCTCGAAACGGCGGCGTTTGACATTACGTAGTCCATTATAAGATTCGCTCCGGTGAAGAATGCAGGAAACTCACCTGAACGGAAATGTAACAGAAAAGAAATCAGTTACGGTTTCAGATTTGAAATTTGAATTTTCAGAAATCGTTACAGATCGGAGGAGAGTTATGATTTGGCGGGAGACTAACCGAATGTGATACGGATGTAACTGAAGGCGCCGCCGGCGACGGGGAGATGAACGGCGAATTCAGTGTAACAGAAAGCGGAGAGGAGAGCGCAGAGACCAGCGATGGCGTAAGAGACGACGATTGAAGGTCCGGCGTCGAGACGACTGGCACGGCCGGTGGTGACGAAAACACCGGCGCCGACCATTCCACCGATTCCGAGTCCAATGAGATCGTACCACCGGAGAGTACGGCGCATATGTTCGCCGGAGACGGCTATGACACGGCTCATCTCGTCGGAAGAAGTGGAGACGGAAATAGCGCGGCGGGATAAGCGAGAAGGCGTCGCGGAAAGAGAGTTGAGGTAGACGCGGAGACTGGAGAAAGAAGAGTGACCGCCATTGTTGCTGCTGCTTTGAACCTCCATTTTCTCACCGGCAAGATTCGGGTCAGGGTCGATAGTGGCGTGAGAATTTTTGTGGATTTGACGAGAGTTGGTTTTTATAATAGAGATTAGGAAAAGTGAAAAAGAGAAGAATAGGGACAAAGATGTAATTATTACGATAGTCAAGGGCATTTAAATGTTATAAATATTGTTTTTAACAACAAGATTGTTCTCTAAATCTTATATTCACATTAATCACATAAGCATCATCAGCTGAAAAGCTTACTAAACAGAAGATGCTTTATCTCTTTGGTCCAATTACATTTATATTTATATATACTAATTATGCTAACGCTTTTATTGATTCATATTAAAATCTTAAACTAGTTTGGTAGTATTTAGTATGTATTCACATCTAGCTAAGCTAGTAAACCCTTTTTGTTGACCATATAACCACTAAAAGTGGTACCTTAATAAATGCAATAATAGTGGCATCTCCAATGGTTATCCTCATTTTTTCTTTAAAATATAAAAATTTAAAATGAATTAGGATTTTTTCAAGAGTATATTCTATTTTTTTACTCTTTATTTTCTAAATTTACAGATTTTACTCCATTTTTTAAATAACTAAAACTATTTCCTTATATTGAGTTTTGTGTTGGAGAAGGAGAACCATTCCCTCATTTTTTTAATTTTTTCCTTAAAATGAGAGTCTAAAATCGATGTTATTTATAGGCTAAATTTTGTAATTGGCTTTCTTGTAGTTGATAGGGAATTAGTACTAATTAAATAAATTGTGACTATGACTACGATCGGTTGTTTGAAACGTAACGACTCTCTGCTTCGAAAGCTCTTCCTTTGTTCCCGAGGTTATGAAACCGTCACGGACGTTAAAAAGAGAAAAACTAAATAAACGGCGTTAACTTTCGTATATCGTAAGGCACGGTAACGACGTTACCTCTAACGGCTATGTGGGGTTTAAGATTCACACGTGTGGCAAAGAAGGTGACACGTGGGATGTTGTTTTGTTTTCAATGGATAAGCACACGGGTTCTATAGCGAAGCGTGACCAGAATTTGAGGAAATGAGTTTTCGTAATTAGTTGGTTCTTTTCGACAATTTTTATTTTTTTAGTTGGCAACTTGGCATTACTAGGAAAATATTCTCGCATATTTGCATGTAATTAAGGTAATATTAAAATGATTTTGCCTCTGCATTTAAACATTGTGAAATTAGGACTGGAACATTTTTGTAGTTACAGAAAAATACAAACGCAAATGTTTTCTTAAGAATATATAAGATTTGTAAACGAGTATATTTTTAGTAGAATTTGTAACTTAGTAATTAGTGTTAATGCCGTGTTATTTGAAAGTATGTGTGAGTGGTAATATGCATGAGTGAGTTGTTGAAAAAAAAAGACGAGTGATCTTTTCTTTGTGATGATAAGGGCAATGCAACATGTTTGTCTCATGATGATCCTGAGTGTTCTCCATCTAGAAATTTGCATTTAAAAAACAATGACTCGACGTTTTTAGATGAAGAAGCATCAATGGATTGACTGATTTTATTTCAATGGATAGACCTTGGAGCCTTCGAAGCTGTTTACTGAAATCAAGATCCACAATACCACCAACTAACATAATGTATAGTCCATAATCAACACTATTTTAACACTAAAGCTCAGTGTAAGCTTAATTCGAACATGACTGATCATCTACCACCATTCAAACTTGAAATAATGTTGTAGAACGATTTGTATATGTAATGAAAAATTTATATCGCTCCCAATCACACCCCATAACTGGATACAACGTTGCATTGATATTTTCGGTTGGACGCGCATTGCATTGAATTAACACTACCTTATCCAAACAAATAGTATTAAATATCTACTTCAATAGTATACTCTTAAGCCTCTCTTTTGTTCACAGATAAAGATAATTAGATGAGTGTCACCAACGTTGACACATATTCGTATCAACCACACACACATATATGTAAATTAAATTTGACAAGAATAAATTAGGACTTGTATGGTCACCAATACGTCTACATTTTTGGGTGAATAAAAGAGTAGTAATGAAATAACAACAATAAGATAATGTGGAGTGGTTTAAACAGTGAGTGGGATGGTCAAATCTGATTTTTAGATAAGATGCAAAATTCAGGTTGCCTCAATCCGACCACGTCTCACACGCCCTGTACCAGACCTGCCCATCTCTGTTTTCCTATTGTATTTGTTTTTCTAATTGAAAAAACAAAATCCCTTGTCATATTGTATAGGCATTTAATTTATAATCCCCTCCTCCATATATACTTGAAGTTATATAAAATCCGTGGCAAAATATCCGGGATTCGAGAGCCGATCCGATATATGATCCGTTCCGTAAAATAAGTTTTTTTTTTGTTTCAAATATATTGATTTTCAAGCAAGATATTAGGATCCCATTTCATACATAATTTTTTGAAGATATTTATGAGTGAGACACCCTACTAAATTAAGATAATTTAGAGTTATGTGATGTGAGCTACTTCTAGTTGGATCATGAGACCATTGTCAAATTCCATTTAGAGTCCTAAAAAGCCCATTATCTTTTACAAAATCTAAAACTCCCATTAACTATTTTGGTCCGCCCATTGTCAATAGTTTGTTTCTCATTGTTTTTGGGCACTAGCCCATACAAATTTCCAATATTAAAAATCCTTTTCTTCCTATTTTACTACCTTTTTTTTGTCAAAGCTATTGCTTCAAAAATTTACCTATCCTCTCTTCTACTTTCGTTTTTGTGTATTTTTCCACTATTCAAGAATTTCATACCTACCTTTTGTCTTCAATATACCACCCCATATTTTTAATACTCACCAATCGTTTTTTCTTCTGTATATTATTTTCCCATACTTTGAAGATAATATCAAAACTTAAAACATATGGTAGCAGACAAAAAGCTTAAAATAAAAAAAAAATAAAAAAAAAAAAGCTTAAAATAGCAAGAACTTAGTAGATTAATTACTTGGAAAGCCACGTGATGATTAAGCAAGAGGCCACGTCATCTAGATGCACCAGTCAGATGCCAAAAAGTATCTTTGGGAAACAATTGGCAGAAGACACGTGGCTCAATACTGGTGAAGAGTCGGTCTAGGCGTCTTCGTCGACTTGGTAACGTATCCACTTTATTTGTGCAATCCAATTAAATTAGTAAAAGTGTGTAAACCATTTTAAAAAACAAGTAAACTAAACTACGTGTGAAGAAAGAAACAAGTACAGCTAAAAAAGTACTAAAAAATTAGTTGAAGTTCCTTTGTTTTCTTTAGTTAAATTTGTTGAAGGTCGTTGAGAACATAGTTTAATAAATACAATTCCGATAAGATGAGACAAATTTCAGTGTTATCTTTTTCTACAGGAGTATTTAATAAAGTATTATAATTTATAAATCGGACCATTTTATAACGCTTTAACACGTTCGAAAATCAAACACTCACATTTTCCACTTTCCACCGTTTTGGCTGACAAACAAAGAAATGCTAAACAAGTAGTAACGTAACAATAACATGACTAGTACTACTATTTTACTATACATATGCTATGTTTTCTCTAAATCGAAACCTAAGTAAACTCGTTTAACCAAGGCATGGAAGTGCTATGAATATTGAATAGTATACTCAATTGATTATAGTGGTGAGTTTTGGAGCTTTTAATGGTCAGTAGTAGTATACACTTACAATTAAAACAGTTGAGGATTAGATTTTGACTAACATTAATGACCTAACTGTCAAAAATTAGTCAAACTTTGCGGTAGATAATTTAACAGGTCAAATGTTGGACCACCACTAGAAAATTTTTATTTGTTCATCACGAGAATTGTCCTTGGCCAAAAAAATATCTGAAAAAATTAACAACAATTAATTTATAAGGTTAGTAAAATGGAAATTAAAAAAACAGATGGAAAATCACAGATAACCATAATTAAGAAAGTGAAGTGAGAGATTTGGACAAAAATAGTGACAAGGAGACGTAGACAGTGTTGTGTTGTGATTGATTCGAGAATGTGAAACCTAATAAAAAAGAAGTCTTTCTAGATTGCTTTTCGTATTTTAGGCGGTTGTTTTTTTAAAATAGCTACGTGTTCCCATTTTATTGGGAAAATAAAGTGGCATTTGCTATATTATAAAATTTAAAATAAAAAAGGAGAAACTGTAACAAACTGGAAGCAAAAATTCAGTAAAGTCAGGTCAGGTGTAACCCTAAAATTAAATTAAAAAAAAAAAAGAAGAAGAGAAAAATAGAGAAAGAGAGAGAGACAAAAGACATCCCAATTGCAGAGAAACCGTGTTGAAGTTGGTCTCTGAGCTGCTTCTTCCTTCCTTTTATTTTTATATTTCCAGCTCTTTATTTCCCTTATATAAAAAACTTTCCCAAGAATAAAACCAAAGAATCCGTATAAATTATCCTAACAGTTTCTTCCACCATCCAACAAATTTCAGATTTTTTTTGTTTTATACTCGAGTCTTCTTAACCATCAACAACTAAAATCCTTGGATTATGGCGTCAAGTCAGTGGACGAGGTCGGAGGATAAGATGTTTGAGCAAGCTTTGGTTCTTTTTCCTGAAGGATCTCCTAATCGGTGGGAGAGAATCGCTGATCAGCTTCATAAATCTGCTGGTGAAGTTAGTGAGCATTACGAGGCTTTGGTTCATGATGTTTTCGAGATTGATTCTGGTCGAGTCGATGTCCCCGATTACATGGATGACTCGGCGGCGGGTTGGGACTCGGCTGGTCAGATCTCGTTTGGGTCTAAACATGGTGAGAGTGAACGCAAAAGAGGAACTCCTTGGACAGAGAACGAACACAAGTACGTTTCTTTATCAATCATTCCAAATTAGGGTTTTGGTTGGTTAGAGAATTTAGGAAATCAAATACAATTTTGCTAAATTTAGGTGATTAATTACATTGTTTGATATGATTGATGCAGATTGTTTCTGATTGGGTTGAAGAGATATGGTAAGGGAGATTGGAGGAGTATCTCAAGGAACGTGGTTGTGACGAGGACGCCGACGCAGGTCGCTAGTCACGCACAGAAGTATTTTCTGAGACAGAACTCGGTGAAGAAGGAGAGGAAAAGGTCTAGCATCCATGATATCACTACGGTTGATACTACTTTAGCTATGCCTGGGTCTACCATGGACTGGACTGGACAGCATGAGAGTCCTGTTCAGGCACAACCGCAGCAACAGATTATGTCTGAGTTTGGTCAGCAATTGACTACTCCTGGTCATTTTGAGGATTTCGGTTTTCGGATGTGAAGAAATGGATGAAAAATTGGGATGGTTTTAGTTAATAGGGTTTTTACTCATTTTATGTGAATAGGAAAGATAGGATTGGGTATTTTCTTATACAGATGATGATGGTGAAAGAATAAAATAATGTATAGGAAAGCTTTTTGTAAACACAAATATGTTTGGTAACCATTTTGGTATTTTGAATCAATGCATATGGTGGCTTTTTTCGATTATTTTAAACTTGATTTCTTACAACACACAAACACACATCAGAAGGTACAAAATCTCTGCACAAGTACAAAATCTCATATTAAGAGAGTGACAAAGGTCAAAAGGCATTATTATTTTTCACTACTGCTTGCCTTATGACCGGATTATGTATACTGTTAAGTGATGAACTCATGGCTTGCTTGCATCAGGCTTCTGCACAAGAGAGTGAAACCAAACAATCAATGAAGTAGCTAGATCTTCATTTGTATTGAATTTAAAGCCAAATTCAGGTCTAGAAATGCCCTTCTGACTACAAGACATGTTGTAAAACTGAACACTTGAATTAAAAAGACGAGTGGAAGAAGTTGATGGTATGATGAAAGTTTACCTTGTCGGCACTTCCTTTCTCATTATCTGGCTTATGTTTCTCTAGTTTCTTCTTCTTCTCCAGTATCTCCCTCTCCATTTTCTACAACAAAAATAGATCGGATTCTTAAAAGTGAGTTTTGAACTAGAAGAGAAGTAGCTTCATAAACTAGAATTGTGTCCCAAAATACATCAATTTCAATAGTCACAGCCAATTCTTCTGAGCCTAAGTAATGCAAGTGAGACGCAACCAGCTATAGAATTGTCTGCAACTGTTACTACGAGCAAGCTATAGAGATTGCTTAACAACACAAAGTTCTTCCCCTTTCTTCAACAAATACTTTTGGTAAAGCGTAAGCTGGATCACAGATTCACACAGACAACATTTTTTCAATTCTTTCCCTCTGTATGAACTAATACGCCTTGAAAAACTCATCCACACACTATTTGACCATTTGTTATGATAGACAACAATTGGATCCAACTGTTATGATAAGGATAAGCATTGGATCTTTTCATTGTATCTAATGATCTTAAAAATCAATTCTAACGCCAATTCCCAAACGATATTTCATATAATTTGATTGATCTCCTGAGATCAAATAAGCAACAGCGCATAAACTAACTCTTATAGCATCCAAAGAGAAGTCAAGGGACAGAAAAAGTCGAAGGTGGAGAAGAACCTTGATGTACATGCTCTCTTTCGCGTGTTCCTCTTCGCTGAGCACACGACCTTTGTCGTCGCTGAAACACCGAATCGCCGATCCTCGAGTCGATTCCACCGAACGCGATGCTCCAATCTGAGTCTCCCCAAAGGATCGAGCCAGCCTTAGCTTTGTGATCGCAGAACGAGCCGACGACATCTTTGCTCTAATCAGTGAGATTTCTCGAATTCGTTTTTTTTTGGTAGAAGATGTCTTTGGAGTGATTGTGAACGAGGCAGTTAGGCAGGTTCGGAGCAGCTCCAGATTCAGTAACAGCTTTGGGTCCGGGTTCGGGTTCGGGTTCGGGTTCGGGTCCAGTATCGATTCTTGAAGAACCCGCTAGAACATTGCACCCGCGTAAATCTGTTAGCTAAGACTTATTATTTTGTTTAATGGCCCAGTGGGCTATACAGCCCAATAGGGAGAGAGCCTTGCCCAGCCTCATCTTCGAGATTGTGCTATTTTTAGAATTTCCTTTTTCTTAACACTTTTTAGAATTTCCTTTTTCTTTTCTTTGGTCAACGACTAATAGTTTTTTTTATAACAATCTCACGCCAATAATTGGTATACGAGATTTTCTTTTACTTCAAACTTTTTATTAGAGACAAAACAAATATTCTTATAAACTCATTAGCAGGTTTAATTGCTTTAAATAATATGTATTATAAGAATCTGCAAACTAGTCCGATTGGCTTGGAGGAGAAAAGAATACAAAGGAGAAGATATTTGAAGTTTGAACGTCAGCAACCAAATAATTGCGTTTAAATTCGTCTCACTATCACATTATTCTATAACAATTTGCAAATATTCAATTAATTACTTGTAGAAACATATAAGAAAAAATTAAAAAAAAGCTTAGTAGATGTATAGGTGGAGCATCTCGATAGTGACGTCACACATCACATCAGCAGATTCAGCACTCCATCATCTTTTTGTTATCACTAAACACCAATTTTTTCGCCATTTTATAGATTTCGGTGTTCTCTCTGACTTCGGAGGAGAAAGAAAGAAAAAATATTCTTGTTTCAAACTTCAATGGCGTTCTCGAGTTCTATCTTCTCTGTTACTCAGTTTTCTTCTTCATTAGCTACGCGACCTTCTTCTGCGATCGGTAGGCAGACTCGTTTTCCCGCTCAAATTGCTTCTCCAGATCTATCGCCTGCTTTGTTCGATGATCGCCGGAAGTTCGTCGGAGGTGTAATGTCTCTCTTGACGAAGAGGTTAGCTCTTGCTTATTTCGTATACGTCGTGTCTCGCTCTTAGATCTTTCCGTTGATTCGTTTTTACTGGAATTGCTGGAGATTTATAGTCTTCTTGCTCCTTCTGATAACTCGATTTTAGTAATCTTTGCTTCGTCTTTTATGTTCAGCTACTATTAGCTTGATTCGACTAAAATCTTTGCTCTGTATGTGCCCGAACGATTTGGCAAAGGAAACTTATAATAGATTCTCGTTTAGAGTAGTTGAATTTGTTGTTATGAATCTTGAACTTAGAGAGATTTGAGAAAGCAGAGGTAGATTAAATTTGGAATTAATGATTGGAGTTCTTTACGGTTTCTTGAGGTAATTTGGTTTCTCTATGAACCGATTGCAAATTTTTGTTTCTATGATTTATCTGAGGTTGCTGATATATCTTTCTGTGCTTGTTTGTTTTGATATGCAGTATAAAAAACCGTGTATATGCTTCGATTAACAGCATTGATTCGGCCGCTACTCCATCTTATCCGGTCAGTAACTTGTTTCAGTCTTTTTTGTTTCGTCGCAATTAAACTATTGATGTTTCATGGATCGATTGATTTGACTACCATGGACTTGCATGTATGTGCGCTCTCAGAAGCTCAGCAAGTAAAAATGTAGGGAGTATATGGTTATGTCATGATGTGTATACTATTTGATATGTGATTTGATTTTCTCATGTTTAATAGGAAAACGGTCTGCGTATGAGTTTTGTGTTGACGTGTGCTTTGAGATGACATTTGCTGGAAAATTTGATCGCAGAAATCGGAAGATGATGACGACGTTGTTCCAATGCCAATGGTTATGATAGACCAGGATGCTGACCCTGAAGCTACCATTGTACAACTCAGTTTTGGAAATCGTCTTGGGGCTCTCATTGACACAGTGAGGGGTTCTATTTCCTGTTTTGGTTTTATGTTCTATCTTATCGATGTAGAAAAATCTTTAGCTCTTCTTGATCTACTGGAGCTAGATTTGTAGCATTTTTACTATCAGTATCAGATTATCACCTCATTTTTGTTATATCATGTAAACTTGCCTTGTCTTCGGCTTATGAATTATTAATTGTGGTTGGCAGATGAGGGCGCTGAAAGATTTGGGATTGGATGTAATCAAAGGAACTGTCTCAACTGAAGGATCCATTAAGCAGACCAAATTTTCTATAACGAAACGGTAAGAAAGGCTGTTCTTTCCCTGTTCTCTCTTTGCTTGAGATGATTTTATTATCACTTATTGACTTCTCACTTGTTCAATAGGATGCACAATTTTGTCACAATCTACTTTGTACTGATTGTCATGATCTTCCCTTGGAAATTTAATCTCAAATTATGCTAGTATAGAATTCTGCAGTTGTCCTATGAAGTACATGATTGACATTGAGCTATAACATTTCTCTGGAGAATTCTTTCTAAACTAGATAATTAGCTTGAGACAAGTGAATCTGATCAAAAATATAGTTTCTATTTTCGAGAATTATTGGTGTTGTGTGCAAATATCATCTTCAGCTACCTGTATTGTCAGTTGTCACAGATGCCTGAATTAAATTTTATTTTTCACACCAGAGACACTGGTCGGAAAGTGGAAGATCCTGACTTGTTGGAACAAATCCGATTAACAATCATCAACAATCTCTTGAAATACCATCCGGTCTGCTTACAGTTTCTTTATCTCTTTACCTTAATCACATTCACATTCAAAGAGGCTTGCATGCAGCTGTTGTATATTTTTGAACATTGCTTTGGTTGTTTTGCAGGAATGCAGTGAGCAACTTGCAATGGGTGAGACTTTTGGAATAAAGGCTCCAGAAAAGAAGGTAATGTTTACTCTGCTTGTTGGATGATACTTATGTGTCCTGTGCTTTATACAAACTCTTTTCCTGTGGCTAAGGTGAATCTTTTTTAAGAAGTTTTTAGTTGTTAAAGGCAGCTTACTTTACCCAAGTCGAAATTCTGGTTTGTGACAGATTGATGTCGATATTGCGACTCATATTAATGTGAAAGAAGACGGACCAAAGAGGAGGTATGTATTCTCTATACAATAGAATAATGACACCACAATATGTTACATTTAAAGTAGCCCTGATGAGATAGTTTACATACGGTTTCCTGTTTTCTCTAGCCTGCTTGTCATAGAAACAGCGGACAGGCCAGGTCTTGTGGTAGAGATGATCAAAGTGATGGCTGACATTAACATAGACGTGGAATCCGCAGAGATAGACACAGAAGTAAGTACTCAAAACTCTTTAAAAACTCCATATGTACATACAGTGTGATCCATAGTTTCTACACCTAGTAATAATAACGTGTGTATTGTCTTGTTAATTTTCTTAGGGACTGGTTGCGAAAGACAAGTTTCACGTAAGCTACCAAGGCCAAGCACTGAACCGCTCCTTGTCTCAGGTGAGTTTTAGCTTCAGTTCCTTTGTACTTTACTTTAAAGTTTAAACCTTAAAAAGAGAGAGGTATAAGTATCAACTTCTCTCCTGCAGGTTTTGGTGAACTGTCTGCGATACTTTCTGAGAAGGCCTGAAACTGACATTGACAGTTACTAAATAAGCTATTGTCTGCTTCAAACTGAAAATGCCCTGTATCCTTAACGAAACTTTCAAACCTTCTGTTCTGAAGATGATGTGGAAATTCGTGATACTAAAATTGAACCATTGTGGCTAAAAATAATAAATGGGGTTCTTGGGTCCGTTAAAAAAGATATTTTTTATAATCCAAATTCGAAATGAAACTTGAAATCTGGTCTTACCTCTATTCCCGGATTTAAATACATGTTTGAAAACTCTAAATACTCGTAATAACTATATTTGATAAAACTTTTTGGTCAGGGACTCAGGGGACTCTGTCTCTTGCAATCCTGGAGAGGGGAGCTTACCAATCCTTTCCAACTCCTAAATCGACGTAATTGCTTAGACTGATCAATGTACAACACAGACGTCAAAAATCTTTACAGCATATGTAAGAGTATTAATTTATTGGACAACTTAACGATTTATCAACGGAGAATAATTGGGGATCGATATACTCCCAATAGGATAATGGATATGTCTCACACGTTAATATTTCGAATCCTTTTTTTCCCGAAGAAGGGAATTTGTGAGTCTTGTTGTTTGGATCGACTCCAAATTATATTACCCTTGATATGTGATCAGTCTCACTAGTCACTTCTATTTAGAAGTGTCTTTTACCTTCAGTTGAAAGTTAGTTGTCTAATCCAATATGAGTGAAACAAAATTTCCGGGGGAGATGATATATTATATTTATCCTTTACGGGATTAATCTTTAAATGATAAAAATTGGCTGACGAAAATGAAAAAATTATTATATTGGCGAAACTTCACGTATGTATATTCTATTTTTCTCAAATGTGACTAAATCTATATTTCTCAAAGGTGACTGATTCAATGAAACAAAAAAAAAACGAACACTATAGTATATCTTATTGTTTTGGACCTCTGGTGCTTGTCTGCTTGATTCTATTTATTCCTAAGAGCATCCCAAACGCAACCTCAAATATGAGGTTTTGTGCATTCCAAAAGCAACTTCAAAACATTAAATTTTTAAGGTTTTTGAACAGCGAAATCTCAACAATCAAGTTTCATCTTTTATTTTGCATTTGAATCCTTACAATTCTATATATATCTTATGGTTTATTTGACCTATTCTTTCTTTTAATCATATTAGTACCAAAAATGGTATATTTCATAAATATAAATAAAGTTTTCACATATAAAGAGACTCATCTTCGAAATGCATTGATTGATCATATATAGATTACCGACATAGTTTTGTTATCAATTTGGTAATTTACTTGTATTTTATGATTTAGTTTGTGGTTTCTAAATTTCATTTATATTTTTTATATTATAATTTAACGTTTTATTAATTAATATTACTTATAATTTTTTTAATGTATGTTTTATAGTTTTATAAAAATTTTGTGATATTAATGAATTATAATCAATAGTGAATACTATAATACAAAATACAATTGGCAAACTTCTAAAGTGAAGTCATTTTTGGAGATGTTCTAAAGAGACTGTAAAAAAAAACCATATATTATATCTCAGCAAGATTATTTTAATTTCACAAGGAATGAAGAAAATTCACCGTTTTGATGGATTCTTTAAAAGAAAAAACGTCATCAAGGCGGTGAGAGACAATGTCTAAAGGCATTTTCGATGATCTTTCCGGGAATCACAAAACAGATTAAAAATAAAACATATTGATATAGTCAAATGATGTAGTATGATGAAAGAAAAAGAATGTGATGACGCAAATGCGTATAACGTCAGCTTTAAAAAAAAAACCAAAAAAGCCTTTTAAATAGAACCAAAAGAGAGTTGAATAACACCACCTTAACCATCTGAGAGAAATCAAAAGTAGGAAATTTGATCAGCACAAATGCAAGGTTTTTAGCTACATTCCTATATTTATGTTTCTAATACATAATAGTTATCTCTTCATCATTATTATGTTTTTAGTTATCTTTGTGGCAATTTTGTGTGGAAACACACATCGCATGTCTCTTTCCACGGTAATTTACTTCGTTTTCTGTTTTAACTTAATTCGTGATTCGGAAAGGATTTTGGTTACTACCAAGGTTTTGCATGTTACTTAACTCTCGAGTTAGAACTTGTAAGCACTATGATATGCAGAACTTTGATAATTACCAAAATCCTTTCCGAATAACGAATTAAGTTAAAGCATGAATCTTGGTAGACAATTGTTCGTTTTTAAAAACTCGTTTTAGCATTAAAAGATAATTAACAAGGTTCATGAAAATGTCTATTAATTTGATGTTGTTCGTTTCAATATCTATATGATGTTTTTTGTTTAAACAATGTCTATTTGATGTTTTGGATTTTGGCTGCCTATCTCAAAGACTTTTAGTTGCAAAGTTCATATAACTGATGGTCGTAATTTTGATGAAAACATTGAATCTGACATATTCATGTCTCTTTTCTTCTTCTTTTATGTGCAGGTGTAGATTTAGATGACTACTCTGAGTATTTACCACTTTCACAAGCGATAAGCCACGGTGATTTGGAAAGCGTGAAAGACTTGTTACCAGACGCAACAATAAGAACTGTCTTTGAGGCGTCGTTGCTTAAAGCATGCAGTTGCGGTCAGTTGGAGATCGTCCATGAGCTATTGCAAAGAATGACGAGGCCTGACCAGACGTTGGATGAGAGGATAGAGGAGACTCTTTTTCAGAGTCTGGCGCTCGATATTGTTGCTGGTAATGGCAATTTGGAGATTGTCAAGAAATTGTACGAAAACAATTCCGAGCTTCTTGCACTAGCGCATCCAGGTCCTTATCGGCTAGCTTTACCGGTCGTGCGGGCATCTAATGGAGGACATGGAGAGGTCACTCGTTATCTTTACGAGAACACAGCTTTTAATGTTTTGATGCATGATGAAGGATATTGGGCTAGATGTCTCCTTTTCGATGCCGTATTTTATGGATTTCTCGGTAAGTCTTTTGGGTACTTGAAGCTTTGCACATTTTCATACCTAGTTATGAGCTGATTTTCTATCTTTTTATCTTATGTATACGTAGTTGCTTGATTCCTATCTAAAATTTGTTAGTGTTAGGTCCTGATATATAGAAACTCATGAACCTTGACGGTTATTGTTGTCATATATATATATTGTAGTTGTTAGATTCAGTTTTTTTTGTTTGGGACAATTTTATCCTAAATAAATGCAGTTGAGTATACATAAGTGGACCTAATAATTTTGTTTGATGGACTGTCAGATATTGCGTTGGACATAGTCCACATATTTCTCCAACAAGACCCGCCTCTGGCTGTGACTATACATCCACGTCAAAGATCATCTCCACTTAGGTTCTTGGCTACCAAACCTGAACTGTTTCGCAGCCACTCATGTGATCTTGGATTTTGGGGACGCCTCATGTACTCTTGTATGTATCCCTTAATATACAATCCATTACTCTTACGTTTTCCCATTTTAAACCGTGTTGATCTTTATTGTTCCTATTGTCCTCTGGTAGGTATAGACTTAGATTTTTTTACCGATTCTGAGTCTTCGAGAGCAAACGCATACCAACGTATGTCATGCACATCCACTCTTTGATTTAGTATCCAAAACATTAATTTCATCGAAGTTTAATTATCTACGTCGTCTTTCTTTTATCAGGTTTATTTTGGATGACACTTCAAGGTCTTCCTAAATGGTTTGGTAGGTCGAGATTGTTTAGTTTTGTCTCCTGAGTTTATAAATCTGTAGTAATAACATTTCCTATATTATTTCCTTTGACACAGGAATCAAGCAAATATTTGAGCTGAAAGATAGACATTCTAAAGCTCATAACTTGCTACAAAAAATGTGCGAACCACTACCAGTCATGGTCAAGGACGAGAGTTGGAAAGATACGGTCTATAATGCACTACTTGAAGCAGTGGAGTATGGGAACAAGGAATTTTTCATCGAGATAATCAAACGTAACCCTCAACTTCTCTGGATCTCTGAGGAGACCTCTGGTCGAAACCTGTTTCAGCTGGCCGTTGGATTCAGGAAAGAGACGATCTTTAACCTCATCTATGGTTTAGATGATAGAAAAGTAACTCTTCTTAGATCTTACGACCAAGAACACAACAACATTCTCCATATCGCTGCTCAACTCTCTTCTCCTGAACAGCTCTCTAAGGTTGCCGGAGCTGCTCTCAAGATGCAGAGAGAGACTCAATGGTTTCAGGAAATAAAGAGCCTGGTGTCAGAACGTGAAGTAGTGGAAAAAAACAAAGAGGGTAAGACCCCGCGACAAGTGTTCGAAGCATCTCACGAACCCCTACGAAAAGAAGCAGAGGAATGGATGAAATGCACTGCCACTGCGTGCAGCTTTGTGGCTGCACTCATTGCAACTGTCACATTTCAAGCCATATTCACTGTTCCTGGAGGTACTCATGATACTTTGGGTGAGCCTCTTCTCCTTAGAGACTCACATTTCATGGCGTTCATCATCGTAGACGCGCTCTCTTTCTTTGCCTCTTCCACATCTGTCCTCATATTCCTCAGCATACTCACCGCAAGATACTCTTTTGATGACTTCATTGTGTCACTGCCTAGAAAGATGATATTGGCTCTAACCATTCTGGTCATCGCTATCGCGGCAATGCTTATTGCATTCACCACTGCGCTTTTCACGTCAATGCGTCAAAAGCCAGTTCTTGTAATCTCGGTGGTGCCCCTCGCTTATCTCCCTGGCGTTCTCTTCTTGATGATGCAATATCCTCTTCTCAAGGAGATGATTTCGTTTACGTATGGCAAAGGACTCTTCGACCGTGACACAACACGTTGGTTCTAAAGAATAATCATGTGTATAAGAAAAATATCTGAAACGCTTCTAGCTTAAATCTGATTCTTTTATGAAAATTTGATTCTTTTATGAAGACCACATAGTCCAAAGACAGAGAGGGCAAGAAAGAAGGCTGCACTAACTCTTGAGTTCGCTGATAGAATATTATATTATACAACACACTTGCTAAACAGATTAGCAATTAATTAATTATACAACACACTTCTAAGGGATCAAAGGTAGAATCAAGAACCTACTCGTCGAGCCAATCCACGCTGAAAGATTTTTCCGCAGCTTCAACACGAAGTCCTGTAACCGCCTTCTCGACCTTTTCCCACATCCACAAAGCCTCTCTATCGCATATTACATGGCGTAGAGAAGTCAATGAAACCGCAGAGCTCGGTATGCTTGATAAGCTGCATTCCCTCATGTCTATTTTCTCAAGTGTCTTAACCTTTCCTATCTTTTCCGGAAGAGAACTCAGGCTGACACATTGAGAGATGTCAAGGTACTTTAATCTTGGCAGCTCACAGATTTCTACAGGCAGAGATTGCAGCTCAGGGCAAGCGTATAGCCTCAGAAGCTGAAGGAATTTTAGCTTACTGAGGTTCTTAGGCAATTCTTTGATGCGGGGACAATTTGTTATGCTGATGGAGTTGAGAGAGGTGATACCACAGATGGTCGAAGGTAGTTCCACAAGATCATCGCAATGATCTATTGTGAGATCAGACAATTTTGGGAAGATTTGGGCAATGTCTACTTCTGTCTGATCAAGACTAGTGTTGATCTTGCAGAAGATGAGAGACAGCTTGTGGAGGTTTTGCAATGGCACTGTACTGCTAGAGAGTTCAGGGACATGAACCCTCTCAAGCCAGAGACTCTTGAGTTTGGCCAAATTGGTAAAGATGGAGAAGTCATGTAGACGCGCTGGAGACATACCATTGTTGATGATCACGAGCGCCCTAAGCTTGCCCATCTTAGCAATGAAAGGAGGCAACACATACTTTTCAGAAGAGAAGTGTAGTATCAAAACTTCAGCCTTAGGGAGTTCCATGTCAAACCAATCCATCTCAGTAATTTCTCCTGGAAAATTTAAACAGAAATCCATATCAAAACTTTATGATTCTAGTGACAGACCGAATTAATTCATTAGGAGATGGTTGGGTAACAAATTCTTACCTGTGTGAATGGAAACTACTCTGGCTTTGTATGCCTCATCATTGTTTCTCTCCCATTCTCTTGGAAGTATTGACTCTCTTTTTGGCATCAATAACCGCTCTCTGTTATTTACTTTCCCACGGTTGCTAAGACGAAGTGCCACATCTCTTAGAACATCGTGCTGCGTCACAAATATATCATAGTAGCTAGTGTACATATGGCCAAACCTGAAAATTATTGATGGTAAATTAATTAGCTAAGAACGTTTAAAACCGTAGAAGTGTCTACAAGAGATGAGATCATAAAGAACCAACTGTACCTTGGATCTTTCACGAGAGTAAGGAGATTTCTGTTTGCTAAATCAACAATAACAGCAAAAGCAGTTGCATCCTCGAGATCATGCAACTCGACCAACACGTTGATGAGAACATCAAGAGGGATCTTCTTGTCTTCAGGGAAAGCACCCAGAACCAAGAAACACTCTCTGGTTTTAGGGTCAAGATTTTCTAGAGTTGCTTCGATTTGAGCAAACACTCTACTCTCATGAGTTTCATCAGCGGGTTCACCTCTTGATAGCCTCTCCACTGCACCTTCCCAATATTTTTCAGGTCGTTCTTTCAATGAAGCACCAATGACTTTCAGAGCCAAAGGTAGACCTTTACACTCCCCAACAACCTACCAAACAAAGTCAATATGAGTACTGAAAGCAAAAGAACATTACTACTATGCATGTATAACTTGTAGCAGACCCATTACCTGCTTGACCAAACTTTTGCTGAATCCTGATGGGACTGAATTCTGGTTGAAAGCAGAGAGACAGAACAGAGACGTTGCTTCATGTTCATTTAGTAACTCTACATCATAAGTGGCTCTAGAATCTGCGAGTTTAGACCGTGAGACCACAAGAGTTGTGGTTCCAGGAATATTATCGAACATGAGCTGGTCTAGAGATTCCCTTGTCCAAACATCATCAAGGATCACTAGCTTCCGTGTTTCACCAATAGATTCCGGAAGAGTGGCACCAGCCCCAGCCTCATAACTAGTAAGAAATCCCCATATATGGACTCTCAGCTCCTCAAGATTGGGAGATTGTGACACAGTCAGAAACAAAACCTTGTTCCCAAAGTGCCCTGCAAAAGCAGTAAATGAAAGCAGTTTCAGCATCAAGAACTCAACAACACAACACAACAATAGTTCACCTTCGATGAACATGGCATAATCAAACAAACATACATACATAGAAGCATGATCATGAAAATAAACTAACAAAACACGCCATTAAGAAACACCACAACCTACTGCAATAGATCCACAAAGATGTACCAACCAAATTAACAAACGATATTGAATCAGAGCCATAATTTATTACCTCGAACTTCTTCGTCCCGCGCAAGCTCTTTGGCAAGAGTGGTTTTCCCTGAACCACTCATCCCTGAGATACCAATAAGTCTTTCATCATCATTGGATTTAAACAACATCTCCTTCACCTTGCTCTTTCCCAAATCCAAACTTCCTCCCAAATCACCACCATCAGTCATCACCATCTCCATGGTAGCCTCCTCCATCTTCAAGGCCTCCCGCATGGATTCACTTCCCCTGATTTTCATAGAACCAAACATCTCATTCAAGCAATCAAACTTCCTATCAACCCGATCGAACCCAACTCCCGTATCGACTCGAACATGATGAACATCAGCAAGAACATGGACTAGCAATTGACCGTTAAGAAAGCTAGAGACTTTACTCTGGAGACTCTCCATTTTCCTAACATGGATGACCTGTCGAACCATGTTCCAACGGCTGGATTTAAGAACTTTCTCGGTGAGCTTCCTACACTTGTCTAAAGTTTCTGAGAACATACGAAGTTGAGCCTGACGATGAGGGCTGAGCTCGACGCCGCTATATTGAATCTCCTTGATCGTAGGTTGAAGACCCTCGATCATGGTGGCGAGATTTTTGGCGATGCCTCTGCATCTGAGGGCTTTTTGAGATACCGCATAGAGCTGCTTTACGAGCTCCGTCACAACTTCGCCGCCGATGATATCTGCCATCGGAACGCCGATGAGAAAAAGAGAGAGAGATGAGTGGAGAGAAGAAAAAGCAAGGAGGAGTGAAGTAACAAGCAACTAATAAAGAAAGAAAACAAAACAAGTAACAAGTAGGAGACGTTGTGGAACCCATTAACGAAGCTTCGTTGCAGTTACCTCTTGGTCTTTAAAGTCTACGGAGACCCAATTAAAGGAAGACTTTTGGTTTTAGGCCTTTTGGCAAATTGAGGCCTATCACATTCTATTTTTTATTTAATGAATGTTATTCAGAATTTGAGTTTTTAGAGTGTAAAAACACAACAAAAATATATATTGTCCGTAACAATTATTTATATGAAGACCAAAATCAGAATTAAAATTTATTATTGACAATAATATGTTTTTTAATTTTTAAAATAGTTATTGCTATTTTGCAAATCTACTCATTTTTCTGGGTGTGTGATATCAGAGTGATATGCTGTGTGGGTTTATCAAGATTGGTGACGACTTATAAAAGGCAAAGGGACCTTTACTTTCTTCTAATAAATTAATGCTAAGAGTAGTACATGGGCCCAAAGCCCTGTTTCAAGATAGGGGAAAAACTGGAATGATACAAACATAAATCTGATTCTTTAATGATTAGTAGATAATCATATTCTAAGACAAAGAAGGGCAAGATGATTAAGACGATACAAAACTTAGCAATGAGTTATCTATACAAATGTTATCATAGAGATCAAGCACATATCCATTGAGTCAATCCAGGCTGAAGCATTTTTCAGCAGCCTCAACAAGAAGTCCTGGAACTGCCTTTTGGACCTCTTCCCACATACGCAAGTTCACTTTGTCGCAAATAACATGGCGCAGAGAAGCCAATGAAATTGTAGAGCTCGGTATGCTCGGTACGGGACATTCTCTCATGTCAATTTTCTCAAGCGTACTTAGCTTTCCAATCTCTTCTGGAAGAGAACTGAGGCTTAAACACTGAGAGATGTCAAGATACTTTAGACTTGGAAGCTCACAAATTTCCTCAGGCAGATATTTGAGCTCCGGGCTAGCGTATAGCCTTAGAAGTTCAAGTTTCATTAGCTTACTCAGATTCTTAGGCAATTCATCGATGCGGGGACAATTTGTTATGCTTATAGACTTGAGAGAGGTGATCCTACAGATGGTCGAAGGTAGTTCCACGAGATCATCACAATGATCTATTGTGAGATCAGACAAGTTTGGGAAGATTTGGGCAATGTCCAATGCTGACTGATCAAAAATATTGTTGATTCTGCAGAGGATTAGAGACAACTTGTGGAGGTTCTTCAGTGGGACCGTACTGTTGGAAAGTTCAGGGACGTGAACCATCTCAAGCCAGAGACTCTTCAGTTTGGCCAAATTGGTAAAACTGGACAAGTCTTGTAGATGCGCAGGAGACATACCGTTGTTGATAATCACGAGCGCCCTAAGCCTGCCCATCTTAGCAATAAAAGGTGGCAATACATAATTGTCTGAAGAGAAGTTTAATATCAAAACCTCTGCCTTAGGAAGTTCCATGTCAAACCAATCCAATTCAGTCATTTCACCTGTTAAAAAAAAAACAGAAATCCATATCAAAACCTCTATGATTCTACTGACCAACCAAACCAAGTTATTAAAAGATCTTGACCTGTGTGAATGGAAACTATCCGGGCATTGTAGGGCTCATCATTGTTCCTCTCCCATTCTCTAGGAAGCACTGACTCTCTTTTTGGCATCAATAATCGCTCTCGTCTATTGACTTTCCCACGGTTGCTGAGATGAATTGCTAGGTCTCTAAGAACATCGTTTTGCGTCACAAATATATCATAGTAGCCCGTGTACAAAGCACCAAGCCTGCAAGAATTATCCATATGGTTTAATTAAGGTTAAAGTGGCTACTTGAGATATTGAGTACATACATAAATATTATAACCTTGGATCTTTCACGAGAGTAAGGAGATTTTTGTCTGATAAATCAACAAGAACGGCAAAAGCAATTTCCTCGTCGAGATCATGCATCTCGACCCACGTGTTGATGATAACGTCAAGAGGGATCTTACTGTCTTCAGGGAAAGCACCGAGATCCAAAAAACACTCTCTGGTTTTATGGTCGAGAGTTTCTAGAGTTGCTTCCATTTGAGAAAACACTCTACTCTCATGAGTTTCATCAGCAGGTTCACCTCTTGATAACCTCTTCACTGCACCTTGCCAATATTTTTCAGGGCGGTCTTTTAGTGAAGCACCAATGACTTTCAGAGCCAGAGGCAAACCTTTACACTCCTCAACAGCCTGTAAAAACAGAGTAAATCTGAGTACTGGGAGCAAAGAGTATCAGTTTTACAAGAAGCAAGCATTACCTGCTTGGCCAAATTTATGTTGAATCCGGAAGGAACTGATTTCTGACCAAAAGCAGAGAGACAAAACAGAGACGTTGCTTCATCTTCATTTAGTAACTCCACATCAAAAGTGGCTTTAGGATCTGCGAATTTAGACCGAGACACAACAAGATTTGTGGTTCCAGGCAATTTAAACATTAGCTGGTCCAAGGATTCCCTTGTCCAAACATCATCAAGGATCACTAGCTTCCTTGTTTGACCATCCGGTTCCAGAGGAGTGGCACCATACGCATCCTCATGGCCAGTAAGAAATCCCCAAATCATGGCCCTCAGCTCCTCAATATTAGGAGACTGGGACACAGTAAGAAACAAAATCCGGTTCTCGAAGTAGTCTGTAAAAGCAGCAAACTAAGACTTTTTAGGATCAGAGAATGAAAAAAGTCTTTTTTAGCATTTATACATACGGAGAAGAATGACCATCACAATAAATCAACAGAACATGCCAAATGAATCGTCTTAGCAACACCACAACCTTTAAAAGATCACGAATTAAAGATGTACCAAGCAATTTAGGCAAGCCAAAAAGTATTTACCTCGGACCTCCATGTCCCGCTCAAGTTCTCTAGCTAGAGTGGTCTTCCCTGAGCCGCTCATCCCTGAGATCCCAAAAAGTCGTCCCTCATCATTCAAACTAAACAGCATCTCCTTCACCTTCCTCTTGCCTAAATCCAATCCTACCCCCAAATTTTCAAAATCACCTTCTGTCACTGTCTCCATCGTAGCCTCGGCCGTCTTCATCGCCTCCCTTAACAACCCACTCCCCCTTATCTTCATTGAACCCACCTGCTCCTTCAGCATCTGGAAGTTCATGTCCATCCGATCAAAACGTACTTCACAAAAGGCCTGGAAATGATGAACGTCAGCGAGAACGTTGGTCAATAGTGGTCCTCTAAGAAAGCTTAAGATTTTCTTCTCGAGATCCTCCATCTTCTTAACGTGGTATAACCGTCGAACCATGTTCCAACGGCGGGAGTTGAGAACCTCTTCTGTGAGCTTTACGCCCTTCTCTAGGGTCTCAAAGAACATACGCAACTGAAGTTGGCGATGGGGACTCAGCTCAACGCCGCTACACATGATCTCCTTGATCGTGGGTTGAACATCTTCGATCATGGTTGCGAGCTTTCCGGCGATGCTTCTGCACCTGAAGGCTTTGTTAGAAATCAGAAAGAGCTTCTTCACGAGCTCCGTCACAACTTCGCCGCCGATAACCTCTGCCATGTGATATGAAGGCCGATGAGAGAGGGGAGACTTAGATAAGTTAGTGAGAGGAGAGGCGTTCACATATATATAAATGGTCATGGGCCTCATGGCTCACGTACGGAAGCTTCGTAGCAACTACCTTTTTGTTTCTATGGAGTCATCGCCACGTCAGGTTAAAACATTTGTGGACTTTTTTTTTTCCTTCTAAATTCATTGATATCAAATCAAAATTAGTACAGAAGCAAACCCAATTTAGGAATTTGGATACTTACAGATTTGTTTTGAGAGAACATTAAACAAAATATTAGTATTATTAAGAGAATGGGGTACCATATATATGGGAGCTTATTTTGTTAGTAAAATCGCAATAATAAATTTTCCAGCACCTCTTATTATAGATTTTCGCCATTCAAATTAAATATATATTTTGAATGGTTTTATTAGTTTGATCCGCTTTATTTGTTTGAATTATTTGATGTGCAATCAGTTTTAACATTTAAATTCTTTGTATACCTAATTAAAATAACACAGAGAATGACATGTTTACTTTTTTAAGACTATACGTTTTAATAAAAAAATTTACAATTACTTAACGTATATACACTATTATTTTCAGCGTTATATGTCTTGATCGGTTAATAGATAAATATATAATATTTGACCAAAAATAAATAAATATTGGATCTGTTTGGTTGAAGGAAAAAAAAGGCTTCCCTGTAGCCTCTTGGGTTAGCTGAATGATTGAAAAAATAAAGTTATGCTTCGTAATCACAGTTGGAAAGGTCAAACCAAACATTTTTTTTATGGTCAAACGGTGAAAAGGTAAAAGAAAAGAAAAATAACTGCACCGGATGGTAATCGTCGAAAGGGGAAAAGCTGAGTTCGAGATAACAGAAGACCTCATCTTTAGAGTCCGGAGCGAATGTAATGGCGGCCATAGCTCGTCTTCCACTAACTCATTCTCTTCCCTCCAAATTCAATACTTCATCCTTCCTCTCTCAGTCTCTCTCTTTTCCTACTTATCTCCATCGCTCTCCCTTTCGCTCCTTCTCTTCCGTCTCTCCAATCCTCTGCTCCTCCTCCTCTCAGGGTGATTCGAGATCGCTGGGGAGTGATTCTAATGCGTCGATTGTCGGGGATCTTCTGGATTATCTTAATGAATCCTGGACACAGTTTCACGCCACTGGTAATTTGAAACCCAGCTTTAAAGGTGTTTTCTTTTCGGTATTCAAGTGAAGTGACGACTCTGATTGATCTTTTTTGCTTGTAGCTGAGGCCAAGAGACAGCTTTTGGCTGCTGGGTTTGATCTCCTCAGTGAAAACGAGGACTGGAAACTGAAACCTGGTGGCCGTTACTTCTTTACACGAAACATGTCATGTCTGGTTGCTTTTGCTGTCGGAGATAAGTGAGTTTTTCCGATTCAGTTATGTCTCCATTATATAAGATTGGTTTGGCTATGATCTTCATTAGTAGAGAACTGAATCCTGGAACTATGTCATGCTTGGATAATTGAAGGGTTCTTCACAAAAATCATTTTTTTTTTAGATTCCTTATCTGTTGGGTTCAGGGAACCTACATTTGTTCCTCATTTTGTAGGTATGTTCCTGGTAATGGTTTTCATGCCATAGCTGCTCACACCGATAGCCCGTGTCTTAAACTTAAGCCCAAGTCTGCTTCATCCAAGTCTGGTTATCTGATGGTTAATGTTCAGACTTATGGAGGTGGTTTGTGGCACACATGGTTTGATCGAGACTTGAGTGTTGCAGGGAGGGCAATTGTGAGAGCCAGCGATGGCTCGTTTGTTCACAGGCTTGTCAAAGTGAAAAGGCCATTACTAAGAGTGCCCACTTTGGCCATTCATCTTGATCGGTAAATTTCTTTCATGAGCTTGTCTAGTTAAGTTTTTAGGCTAGTGCACTTGCCATCAACTGGAGGTATGTTTTGAAGCTCATTCATACTGTTTTGTTCTTCTTGTATTGTTTAGTACAGTGAACAGTGATGGATTTAAACCGAATTTGGAGACCCAACTTGTTCCGCTACTGGCAACAAAATCAGATGAATCCGCAGCAGAGTCGAAGGACAAAAAAGCATCTTCAGCCTCCAAATATGCTCATCATCCATTACTCATGCAGGTATGACATAATTAGTTTAGTCACTAGGGTCATTCCTCTGCATCGTTTCTTAACATGCACCAAGTTTCTAAGATATTAGATCATGAGAATAGAAATGAAAAATTTGGAGTTAGTGTTGCTAAATTTTATATCACTACCAACATGTTGATTTCCTATCATCATCATCCATTAGTGTTGCTAAATGTTTATATCATTTAGTTTCTCTGAATTCTGATGTGGGTAACTGCAAATCCGCAAATATCTCAAAGCTTCCTGATCGTGTTGCAGATTTTGTCAGATGACCTGGACTGTAAGGTCGAGGATATAGTGAGTCTTGAGTTAAATATCTGTGACACCCAACCTAGCTGCCTTGGAGGAGCAAACAATGAATTCATATTCTCTGGAAGACTAGATAATCTTGCATCCAGTTTCTGTGCTTTGAGAGCTCTCATTGATTCATGTGAATCATCGGAAAGCCTGTCGACTGAACATGATATCCGGATGATAGCTTTATTTGACAACGAGGAGGTACCCTTCTCCTATAAGATATTTGTTAGGCTGCTTCAAATCGAGGAACTTATTAGCAGTACTAGAGTCCCGAAAATTGTTGAATAAAGAGGACTTGCATTTAACCTTCCATAACCTTTTTGCTTTAAGGTGATGATGTGCTTGAAACGTTTTGTTTCAATAAATTCTTCTTAAAAATGTTTTGTTTCAATAGGTTGGTTCAGATTCATGTCAAGGTGCAGGGGCGCCCACTATGTTTCAAGCAATGAGACGGATTGTAAGTTCCCTAGGCAATAAGCAGGTCACTGAGTGCACATTTGACCGTGCTATCCGGAAATCTTTTCTCGGTACACATATTCTACTTTCCCAGTTCTTTATGCTAATGTAGTCTCTGGAAATTTTGTAAGACCGTGGTTACAAAATTTGGATGTTTTTCTATCTCTTAGTTTCTAGTTTCTACTGAAACTTGTGTATGGGTTCTTGTGGTTGCAGTGTCTGCAGACATGGCTCATGGAGTGCACCCAAACTTTGCAGACAAGCATGAAGAGAATCACCGTCCTCAACTACACAAGGGTCTGGTTATCAAACATAACGCAAACCAACGCTATGCAACTAGTGGAATCACTTCTTTTCTTTTCAAAGAAGTAGCAAAGCTCCATGATCTTCCAATTCAGGTTGGTGCTCTTCTTAATGTTAAGTCCCAATAGTAAACAACATTTTGGGAAACGTTTACGTCTCTCTCTTCATCAGCCTTCTGTTTAGATGTTGAAAGCGGTTTGTCTGTGGTTCTTAGGATTTACACATAATAGATCTTCGAGATGCTCTACACTAATCAACCCATATTTGAGAATGGTATACAGACAATTAGTTTTTTGCTCTACCTGTGCAGGAGTTTGTGGTGAGAAATGATATGGGATGTGGCTCAACAATAGGGCCTATATTGGCTTCAGGAGTGGGGATTCGAACCGTTGATTGTGGCATAGCTCAGCTTTCGATGCATAGGTATGTCAACTCCTGCCATTTTTAACTCTTTCTCATGTTTCGAAATCAAAGTACGTTAGACCCAGCTTCTGGTTTTTGAAACTTGTTACTTGTGAGACAGTGTGAGAGAGATTTGTGGAACAGACGATATAGACATCGCATACAGACATTTCAAGGCGTTTTATCGATCTTTCTCAAGCGTAGACAGGAAGCTCGTTGTGGATGATTAACTCCCCGGATATTAATCTCTAGCCTCTAGGCAACAAAATCCGGCGCTTTGTCCATGCTCAAAGATCTTAAGACATGGTGGGAATGTTAAGCAGCTAGATGCTTCTGTTCGTGGCTGGTCCTGAGTCTCACAACAAGAACAGAACCTAAATTTGATTTTCTTGTTTAGGAAATATAGAAACCAAATTGGAATATAATCTTCTAGGTTAAGGTTCCGGTTTGTAACACCGCCTATTGTTATCTTGACAAATAAGATTCTTTTTAATTTGTCGAATTTTTATATTTTTTCATATACAGAAAAACCTTTAATTTTATTTCCAACAGAAAAGCTTTCCAAATAAAATAATGAGTAACCAAGCAAAGGATATATTCTTATGTAAGACCAATCAAAGAATAGGATAGAAAAACACCAAAGATTGTATGTTACCGTTATGCCTTGCATATACTTACGGACAACGACATATACACATGAGCTTTTATATATATCCGATTACCTCTAGTTGTCTTTGTTAATATTTTGTTAGGTTTGGTCCAAGAAAATTTGATATGGCAATGAGTTCTAATTACTTAGACGCAACTTTGAAGGAAACATTTAGGAGGAGCCCTTTCAAATTCGCTAATACAAAGGTTCCTCATGCTGGCCTAGGCGACAGTATTTCTCCTATAAAAGAAGTTCCTGAAGAAGAAGAAGTTCCAAATGATCCCGTCAATATCCAGATTCCGTTCATCGAATCAGCTCTTTCCGCATCTCGGCTTCGCGGTAAGAGTTCTTATTCCATTCTCAACTAATCAATCGCCTATAAGCAAGTTACAAGGAGATAGATCAAAGTCTCAATTTCGAAAGTAAGGGTACTAGGGTATATAAATTTATCTTGTTGTTGATGTAGGAAAGAATACGAACGTATATTATGAGTATATACAATTAAGTCAAGGAATAAGCCAAGGTCGTTTAGAAGTCGTGAAGGACTTCTTGAACCATCATCCGGACTCAGTGGACGAATGGATAAACCTTTATGAGACGCCATTGTTAAAGGCTTGCGCGTGTGGGAAACCCGAGATTGTTAAAGAGCTTCTGCGTCGTATGACACCTGAACAAATGCTTCCCAAGATGAGCCAAAATGCTTCGTACCACACGCCTCTCACTGTTGTTGCGGTTAGTGGAAACATGGAGATTGCTGAAGCCTTAGTCGCCAAGAACCCTAAGCTACTAGAGATTCCTGGAATCAATGGACAAATTCCTGTTGTGGTTGCGGTTGAGAATACACAGATGGAGATGGCTCGCTATCTTTACACCAGAACTCCAGTTCAGGTGTTACTTGCCGAAGATGGGTATCACGGTTCTTTGCTCTTTCTCAATGCCATCTTCTATAAAATGCTCGGTAAGGGGTTTCTTGGACTTCAAGCAACTCATGTTTTAGGCGGGTTTTTTGCTGATAATTTCTTGATCTGTTTTTCTTTATACAATTAGACATTGCATTGGATCTGTTTAACATGAGCAGACGCTTGGCCGTCACAAAACACTTGCAAATAGAGTCGATTCCCATAATTGTCTTGGCTTCAAAGCCAGATCTTTTTCCTGGTGGCTGCTATCTCGGACCATTGACACGTTTCATCTACTCTTGTCCGTACTAATCTAAAACCTCAACGTTACAAAGATCAATCATTTTCTTATTCTCTTTTGAATAAAATAATTTGTCCTTCTCTCACTTGCTAGGGATACAAGTAAAGCTGCCAACTCTTCCACAGCCTTCTCGTTCAAACAGAGATCATCATAGTAAGTTCTTCCGTATACATAAAAGTTCATAACAAGTCTATATATATATGTTCCTCTGAAGAAAGTGAGGAAGTTTCGTTTTTTTCCAGATACTCTGATGGGGAGAATGTTGAAAGGCCTCTCCAAATGGACCGGTAAGTATTAGGCTATTCAATAGGATTCACATGGACTTTTAATATGAATCAAGTGATGTTTTCAGGAATAGATGAAGTGTACCGACTTAAGGTCATGCATCTACAAGCCAAGAAGCTTCTACGGGGAATATCAGAAGAAACACTGGCCTTGGGCTTGAAGGAACGTTCTGAGACAGTAGATGAGGCTTTACTATTTGCAGTGAGATACGGGAATGTGGATTTCTTGGTGGAGATGATCAAGAACAACTCCGAGCTTCTATGGTCCACGAGAACAAGCTCAAGCAGTACTCTGTTTCTCTTGGCCGTCGAGTTCAGACAAGAGAAGGTGTTTAGTCTCCTCTACGGTCTGGACGACAGGAAGTACTTGTTACTCGCCGACAAGGACTGTGACGGCAATGGTGTGCTTCATCTCGCCGGCTTTCCTTCTCCTCCTTCCAAGCTCTCTAGTGTCGTTGGGGCACCTTTGCAGTTGCAACGCGAGTTACAATGGTTCAAGGTTTGCTCTGTTTTTATCATGCATAGCAAAAACAGAGGAAACAGAGGTCTAAATTTTTTGGCCTTTATAATGTAGGAAGTGGAGAGAATCGCTCCGGAGATCGAGAAGGAGAGAGTAAACACAGAAGAGCTAACACCGATCGAGATATTCACAAAGGAGCACCAAGGACTCCGACAAGAAGCAGAGAAATGGATGAAAGATACGGCCATGTCTTGCAGCTTAGTCGCGGCTCTCATCGTCACGGTCACCTTCGCGGCGGTCTTCACTGTCCCTGGTGGCACCGACGACAATTCAGGAGGTAAACCCTTTCACCTACATGATCGGAAATTCATCATATTCATCGTCTCAGATTTGATCTCTTGCTTCGCCTCTTGCACCTCCGTCCTCATCTTCCTTGGAATACTAACCGCAAGATACTCCTTCGACGATTTCTTGGTCTTTCTGCCAACGAAGATGATTGCCGGACTTTCGATATTGTTCGTCTCAATCGCGGCGATGCTTATAGCATTCTCGTCGGCGCTATTCACGATGATGGGTAAAGAGAAACGGATCGTTGCTCCGACGATCCTTTTCGCATGTTTACCGGCGCTGTTGTTTGTTCTGCTTCAGTATCCTCTCCTCAAGGAAATGATCTTTTCAACTTACGGCAAAGGAATCTTCAACAGAAATATGAAATGTTGGGCTTAACTTGAGACATTGATCTTTTGGGCCTACCTCGGAAACTCTTTAATAGAATAAAAAATAATAATTCAGTTCTTCCTTTTTGGCTCCACATCAAAAAGACAAAAATAATGATGTTTTTCTGAAAGTACAAACAAACTCTTGGACCGGTCCACTAGATATCATCGCAAACAAAAGTGCAATGCTTAGCTTTTTTGTGGGTTTTTTCAACTGTTTATGGAATTTGGAAACGTTAAAAAGGTTTAATGTGATTTTAATTATATTACTTTTATTTGTGGACTTTTTTAGAAATATATAACTAGTAAATATAGTCTAAAGTAAACTACTATTTCTCTAGTTTACTATGATAAATATGATGATGTGCCACTCTAGTTGGAGAGTGCTTATTTTGGTAGGATAGATATGATGATTATTTACTCTGATTCTTTTTTTCTTTTGGAAGAGAAAATGTTGATGATATGGCATTGTAGTTGGATAAGGTTTCTTTTGATATCATGTATATATGATTTCGTGTTACACATTTCACCTTATTTTATAAATATATATATGTAAGATATCATAAGTTATGTATTGTATATTATATTTCAAAGTTATCAGATTTTGTTTACTTTTTATTAATTTATCTAATATTATTTTTTTTGTTAAAGGTTTATCTATTTAATATGTTTAAACTTAAATAAAGCTATAAATTATTATGATATGTTTTGGTTGGATAATGGCCTATTTTTATATTTAAAACATATTAAATTATGAATTAGATTCTATGGAAAGGGTAACCAAATTGTAAATTTAAATAGTAAATCAATTTGTGCATTCAATAAACAATAAACCACTAATTTAATATAATTAAATTGAGAAAGTCATAAGGCTAAATCACAATGAGAGGGGCATAATCAGGAAAACGTTACATGTGTCAAGTTGATGACTTTTAGAAAAGATTTGTAGTTAATATTCGAATATTCGTTTCCATGTGTATTAGATTTTATGAAAATAAATACTTATAAAATGGGAGATTAATAAGGCTGTGTAAATCACAATGAGAGAGGCATAAATCGGAAACGTTACATGTGTCATAACATTAAAGATTTTAGAGATGAGAACAAACAATAGAAGAAAAAATGAGGGATTGAATTATATATAAATAGAAGATTAAGGTCATAAATCAACTTTAGCTTAAAATCTTTTCTCTTATTTGCATCACTAGAGATCTAAAATTTTAGAATTTGATTTGAAAGATCATATCCAAAATCCATATTTTTGTTCTTATGGATTCTTCAGGTACGAAGATTTGATTTCCATCATGCTTTTGCTTGTATAATTAACTAGAGATTATATTAGCATAAGATCAAAAACAAGAATTTAGAGACGTATTTTATATCTTATTTATCCATGTTTAGATTTAAAATTCAGTTCGAAACTTTCTAGAATAAAGCATGTTAGATTTATTGCCAGAAAGATTAGTATCACACGGTAATAACACAACCAAGTAGTCGTTCTAGGCTAGCTCGCTTTCTTGAGACACAAGCAAGGAAACCCTAGTAATTGCTAAAGAATAAGCTGAAATAGAACGGTTTGGAAAGTTTACAAATGTTATCAGGATTGGCCCTAAAAGTTTGATAACGGCTTTGAGTTCTAATCATCACTTAGATGCAGCTTTCAGGAAAACAGTTTGGAAGAACCCTTTCAATTTCACTAACACAATTAAGGTTCCTCGTGGCGGCCTAGGCGACAGTTTCTCACATGTAAAAGAAGTTACGAATGATCTCATCAATTCCCAGATTCCGTCCATCAAACTTCACGGTAAGACGCATTACGTACGACTTATGAAGAAAATTTAGTTTTTCACATGATATAATAAAGTTCTTGTTATGGATGCAGAGAAGGTTACACATGTATACTATGATTATATGCAATTAAGTAAAGGAATAATCCAAGGGAGTGTAGAGGATGTGAAAGATTTCTTGAACCGAAGTCCAGGCGCAGTGGACGAATGGATAAACCCTTACGAGACACCATTGTTGAAAGCTTGCGCATATGGAAGACCCGAGATTGTTAAAGTGCTTCTTCGTCGCATGAAACCTGAACAAATGCTTCCCAAGATGAGCCATAACACTTCATACCACACACCGCTCACTGTTGTAGCAGTCACCGGAAACATGGAGATTGCCAAATACTTGCTTGGCAAGAACTTTGGGCTGCTAAAGATGCCGGGCATAAATGGACAGCTTCCAGCCGTGGTTGCAATTGCGAACGGGCATAAAGAGATGGCTCGGTACTTTTACATGAAAACTATGCGTTCTCTGTTACTTGATGAGGATGGGTACCACGGTACCTTGCTCATTATCAACGCCATCTACTACAAAATGATCGGTAAGTGGTTTCTTGAATTGCAAGCAAAACATGTTTTAGCTGGATAACAAAAAACGGAATCATTTGATCTATTCTGAATCTGCTTGTTCATAAAATAGACATTGCGCTGTGTTTTCTTTGCGCAAAGACACGCTACCTTGCCGTCACTAAACACTTGCAGATAGAGTCGACTCCCATCATCGTTTTAGCTTCAAAACCGGACCTTTTCCCCAGCGGCTGCCGTCTCGGACCATTGGAACGCATCATATACGATTGTCCGTACTAATCCAAGACCTCTTTATTACAAAGATGACTCCAACTTTTATGCCTTTTAGTTTGATTCAGAAAAACTTATTAACGTGCTGTTCTCACTTGCTAGGTATACAAGTAAAGCTTCAGGCTAATCCAGGTTGGTTTTATCCAAAAAAAGATCAGCAAAGTAAGTTCTTAGATGATATGCATAACTTGATAAAAAAGTCTCCATATTCCTCTAAAGAAAGTGAGAAACGTTTAGATTTGTTTTTTGTTTTTTGTTCTCTCTCTTTCTCTGTCCAGCTACCCTGATGAGGAGGCTGCTTAAGTGTCTCTCCAAATGGACTGGTAAGTATAGATTTTCGTCTCTGCAAAGGTTGTTTGATATTTACATGTTATTATTTCTTATAAGAAATCTGAATTGAGGTATGTTTCAGGAATAGATGAAGTGTACCAAGTGAAGGTTATGCATCTACAAGCCAAGAAGCTTTTATTGGTAATATCAGAAGAAACACGGGCCATGGGATTAAAGGAACGTTCCGAGACAGTGGGTGAGGCCTTACTCTTTGCAGTAATGTATGGGAATGTGGATTTCTTGGTGGAGATGATCAAGAACAACTCCGAGCTTCTATGGTCCACGAAAACGAGCTTGAGTAGAACTCTGTTTCTCTTGGCCGTCGAGTTGAGACAAGAAAAAGTGTTTAGTCTACTCTACGGTCTGGACGATAGGAAGTACTTGTTGCTCGCGGAAAGGGACTGTGATGGCAATGGTATGCTTCATCTCGCCGGCTATCTTTCTCCTCCTTGCAAGCTCTCTACCGTTACTGGCGCAGCTTTGCAGATGCAACGTGAGTTACAATGGTTCAAGGTTCGTTCTGTTTCTCTCAGTCTCAACCATGCATTTAATGGAACATGCCAAATTAACTAAACACCTTATAATATGCATAATCCAGACACAATAAGAAACTTACTGCATGGTAAAACATAGGTGCGTATAAAAATGTGGCTTTGATTACACAGGAAGTGGAGAAAATTGTACCAGAGATCGAGAAGCAGAGAGTAAACACAGCTGGACAAACACCAATCGAGATATTCACAAAGGAGCACCAAACATTGCGCCAAGAAGCTGAGAAATGTATGAAATACACGGCGATGTCGTGCAGCTTAGTCGCGACTCTCATATTCACGGTCACCTTCGCGGCCGTCTTCACCGTCCCCAACTACAACTCACACGGCAAACCCTTTCACCTACGTGATCATACTTTCATCACATTCGTCATCTCCGATCTGATCTCTTGCTTCGCAGCTTGCACTTCCGTCCTCATCTTCTTCGGGATACACACCGCAAGGTACTCCTTCGATGATTTCTTGTTTTCGCTACCGACAAAGATGATCGCCGGACTTTCCATACTGTTCGTTTCAATCGGGGCAATGCTTGTGGCATTCTCGTCGGCGCTATTCATGATGATGAATAAAGAGAAATGGATTGTTGCCCCGACGATCCTTCTCGCTTGTTTACCGGCGCTGCTGTTTGTTCTGCTTCAGTATCCTCTCCTCAAAGAAATGATCTTTTCGACTTACGGCAAAGGAATCTTCGACAGGGACTTGAAATGTTGGGTTGGTTGAAAGGCATTGAACAAAATAGACTATAATTAACAAACCTTAAAAAAATTAATTTTATACTTTCGTGATTTATTTTGTTTGACATCATCAATAAATCCATTTCGTCTTTCATAATTCAAATTCTAAGGTGTTCTATTTTTTGTGACATGACAACCACTCCTCTCGGAAGTCCATCCCCACCAGAAATAAAGAATTCCTAGTAACACCAGTAATCATATGAGCTTTTACGACACAGGCATTTCGGGCGGTAAAGGTATAAGATGACCGTTAAAAAAAGAGTTACCTTTAAAGACCTCTACATCTTCTTCTAACAGCTTCGAACACACGTGACGGCCCTCCGTCTAAAATAGTACACGAAGCAACCCATCCTGGTAAATTTGGAATATTATCAATCAAAAGGCAATCACTTGAGAGCTTGTCTATGATGTAAATAAACCCGACTGAGATAAAACTACAGACAAGTGATGCTTGAAGCAGGCTGGTGACTATCCAATCAAGTTCAAGTTCCTTGGTCAAAGTAGTTGGAAATTTAATTTAGCAATGTCGAGAAAAATGCCTTTGCTATATTCATTGGTGCCAAAACGCCATATAAAATTATAAACCTAACAGTAGTCAAGGAATTTCAAGCTCGAGGCACCATAGTTTTTAGAAACCCTGAATCATGTTACCAGCACCTTGTGTGTGGCGGTTCAGACTTCCAGGGGTTCGATTAATCCTTCCAATCTTGATTGAGATACACTTGGCTGATACAAATTTTCAATAAATCGCAGAAGATAATCTTGGTTCCTGCAGTGTGAAAGAATCATTATTAATTTAAACCCTTTGACAATGAATTTTTCAAGGATATAAACATATGGCATCTCAGCAGTAAACTCGCAGATACTACTATCCAGAGCTGCATTGATATCTTTTCTACTCCCCTCAAAAGGTTTCTTCTGGTTAAAACTCTTGGATTTCTCAACCAAAGATTTTTCTATCAAGTTATAGCCAAAATGGGAATGTAACATTCATATATGGCTAAAATCAAAAGTTTTAAAAATAAGAACTTTTCCAAGGGGAAATGAACTTCAGCATTGAATAAGCAGCACATAGATGTTCCATACTGATGACAATCTTTTCACGAGGTTTTTTTGGCCATCCAGCTCTCCCACTTGCTCTCTTCTAACTTGCTCAGTTGACTAACAGCACTCCTCAGCAAAACTTAAAAATGATGCTTGAACTGAGGAAGCGAGTCTTGAACTTACCATGTAAAGTATTGAGCTGAACGCAAAGCTTAGTGGTTGCAGGAACAGCATTGTTAATCGACCTTCTCTCATCAGGCTGTTTTGACTCGAGTAGTTCCTTCCTAGCAATAAAAAAACCTGATTGCTGTATCCTTCTTGTAACGAGTAAGGACAGGTTCAGGTGGAACCAAATCATCCTTGCTAGCTGTACTATAAAAAATCCGATACCAGAATATTCCAGTAGACCAAAAGCAATGTCCAGGTTAAGAAAGATAAAAGCTCATAAGAAAATAAGTTATAGTTTAGAACTTCAAAGCTCGGAAGCAGGTTCAACCAGTCACATTGCGCATACCTAGCTCCTCTATGACATGGCTAGTATATACTTGAAATGCGTTGTCAATGCCACAAAATAAAGCACTTAGTTCACTGGATCTCATCGGGAACTTTGAGCGCAAAAAAATGATCAACAGTCTGCATCAAAGAGTATCCAAAACCTTAAATTAGACACGCTCTTATACGTGAAGGCATATTACAAACGAAAGCAGAAGATCCATCTAAGCCACGTATGATAAAACCATGCAGACTGAGCACTGAGTTCAAGTAGACATACCTTTAACAGTGAGAAGACTAGCACTGTAAAGATCTGATGCATCCTCCTCGACGAGGAACTGGCATTTTCTGAGAAGTAATCTGCCGCCTGAAACCTCGACACAAATGTATTGTTTTCATCACTGAACTCACCATCCGAGCAAACTCTATTGTTCTCATCGTAGTAGTGCATAGAGTAGTTACAGTCTGGCATGGAATACTTGAAAATCCTTGGGTAAGAATCAGATCTGGAGGCATCGGTGTTCACAGCATCCAAGTTCCTCCTGGAACCCCCCCAACTGCAGTATTACTATGCCTCATGGGGAGGTGATAGAAGTTTCCAGAATCTCGTCCAGAGTTGACAATGTTTTTTCGATAATGGAAGTACTTGCTTTTCGTTTCTCACATGGCTAATAACTCCAGGGTTCAATTCCATTAAGCAGTCTACTAGGAGCAGCTAGTCTAGCAGCTTTTCGTTTCTCACATGGTTAATAACTCCAGGGTTCAATTTCATTAAGCAGTCTACAATGAGCAGCTAGGCTAGCGAACCTGTCAACTTCGCTCGCCATTGCAATCTCTATCATTGTCTTCTTCGAGCGCCATCATTATTCTAGCTTTTGCGTCCACGTTTCCTTGGAGCAGGTATCCCTCGAAGAGAAGATGAGACGAGACAGCTGCTTGATGCCGGTGAAACCCCACCATGCGGATTAGAGAGAAACCCGTGCTGTTTCATTCCTTTCCAGAGCTTCATTGGATCTCTTTCTACAACAGGAACATTGGAACTCCCAGACTCTGGATGTACACCCATCGAACTAGATTTATCGCGTCTTCTGGAGGAGAAAACCGATGATATCATCAGCGTTCAAGCAGCTGGAAAACGGCATCCGCATTCAGGTCTGCATCACCTCCTTTATGTGGTACGCATATCTTAAGCAAAGCTGGATTATTACTGGAAGAAGAAGACCTCTTCAGCCAACAGTTGAGTCTTACTATTACTCCATTCTTTAACCGAACTCCCTGGAACTTCACCAACCTGAGGCATTACATTGGCTTTTTAGAAGCATGACCAGTGTTATAGATGTAGCAAGAAATGTGCAAAATTACATTTCAAGGGTTTTATATATCCGAAAATTCACAGGTAAAAAACGAATCAGGGATTCAGGGTTTAGGTTCTATTGTATGCCTTTACTAAACTTCAAACTAAATTGAAACCATCATACTATATAAAGGGAACGAGTATGGAATCATAAAACGATGAACAATTGAATGAAATTGGCTCGACTAATAACAGTAAATCGAATGAATAAAAAAAAACAAAAAACGATGAACAATTGAATGAAGTAACAGTAAATTACCTGAATTTAGGTATTGGTGTAACAGGTTGAATTTTACTCTCAACTCCTCTCTTTCATCCAATTCATCGCCTCCGATCTAAAACCCCAGAAATCGAAAAGGTAAAAGCAAACGGACCGAATCAATTCAACAAACCCTGGGAATCGAAGAAAACCCTCCAGAAACATCATCGTGTTCTTCAATGGCGACTCAATTAATACCAACGAACAAAGGAAAGCCACAAAATTTATATAGTCTAGTTAGTGTGTTAGAGAACAAAGTTTGTTACAGAGACGAAGAACAAATTTATATAAGATTCGGTTTACTCCGGTTTACAATAACAGAAATCAATTTTATATAAGATTCGGTTTACTCCGGTTTACGATAACAGAAATCAATTTTACTAAACCATATAAAACCATACTCTAATATAGTGCTTCAGATCTGGTGGTCAATTAGTAGAGATCCCACCTGCTGGATTTAACAATTGGAGTAGAGGTCTCTCTCTAGAGAATGGAGATTTGGAGGGAATAGTGATTTGGGCCTTTAGAAAAAACGAAATCTTTTGTGTTATCATTTTTTTGGGTGAGCTTCATTATTACTTTTTCGGCTTTACTAAATTAATAGTTACTATAAAGTTAAAACCAAAATTTACATGCTCATACGCCGTAACAAATACTTTTTTTTTTTCTTTTGAATTTACGAGAGGCTTCCTCCTGCCACTCGAATTATATGTTGCTTTTCTACGATAAAAAAAAAACGTTCCAATTTTTTCCATAATGTTTTTTTTTCTCATTTATTTGTTAAAGCAAAAAGTAATGTTTACGAGTAGGAGCTAGATACAACAAATGAATTTAGTCATTTGTTTTCAGAACTGACATCTTAACTCTTGATTCTCAGACGTGTACTTTTCCTTTGAAAAACCTCCTCTACTACTATTGCACCATATATGCCGCAAGAAATAGAAAGTTTTTTTTTTTTTTCGTGAAATAGAAAGTATTTAAAATTAAAAAAAAAACCTATATAATAATACAAACGCTGACCAATTGTACATCTAATTTCTATCAAAGTAATTAATGATGTTAAGAAAAGTCTTAACAAAAAATTCTTTGTTTTGGTATATGAACAATTTCTATCTATGTCAATCAAAGTGTTACAATCTCAAAAGATATGTAACTGCATGATTACCTATAAAAATGTTTTTACGTCAAATGTATTTCCGTTCAAGTAGTACTATTAATTTGTTTACAAAGAGTAATTTTTTCGGACTCGATTAGCTATATTTCTTTTCATGGGGAAAAAAAACAACGCATCTCATTATTTACAAATTACAATGTTGACTACGAAACAAATTATATTTATATTAATTTTCTTCCCATGGATATAATTTTAAAACAGAACGAGAATCTCATAATAATGTTTCGTGACTCGATTAGACGAAAAAACTAAAGATTCATAACTCGTGGCTTGTGACTGACTACTTGTTTGACTTGTGAGCGCAGGTCTCTTGCCAGGTGGTGCCAATGCGAGCAAATCTAAATATATGGGAGTCAAATAAAATCTTTAATTAGAAAAATACAAGGAGCAACAGACAAGAAACTATTGGATCAGATATCCTTTCACATTGGTTTAAAGTACGATTGTCTACAAAGATGAGGGACTAAAGTGGTATTTTGGGGGTGGGTGGGGTTAGTAAGAGATCCGTCGCAATCATTTTTGTTTTGTTTTGAACCGTCCGTCGCAATCACGAGGAAACTTGTTGTTTTAACTATCAGGTCGGGTTTTGTATTCCAAATGGCAAATGGGTCAAATAATATAGTACTATCTTAATAAAATGTGGTCAAAATAATAATAATTGCGTACTACTTAGTCTACTTTGAACAGCATGGTTAAACAAAAAAAACCGTACTTAAGTTAACCCAACGCCACAAACCAATCAATTATCTTTGATGTACAACGAAATTACGAATAGGAATGATACAACGAATAGTTACTGAAATTTATATTAAGAAAAAAGGAAAAGAAGATAATATTTACTGAAATCTTCGAAACAATGATGCATTAAAGCATGCATACTGTTTTGTCCCAATGCATTTGGCATATTAAAGATTATTTCTCTGAGTAGATGCAACATCCTGACTGGTTTAATTAGGTCTGGCATTTGGGTTTCTACTAGCTTATGTCGGTTCGGTTCAAGCGTTTTAGGATTAGGTCTTCTCATGTTTTTGTAAAACAGGTCAAAGTCAAGCATTTTCTTTTCTTTAATGTTTTCTTCTATTAAATATAATACTCAATTTGTAAACACTTTCGCAATCATTTTGAAACCCGTTGTGAATTCTTCTTACAGATTTTTCAAAAGAACTTAAGTAGGTAGGTTATTGTAGTTCTTCTCCATGTATTCTTCTAGACCATGTAGCATTTATGAAAAGAAACTCAGATACGACCCCCCCAAAAAAAAATCGTAGCAAATTTGAATTTCGGAAAGAACGTATTCTGTGATAATTAAAAAGTGACGAAAGAAAACAGGAGTATTAAATTGAATAACTTAATTCAAGACACGTATTATCTTCACATTTTTGCACATTGACACGAGTCATCATTAGTGTATTGAGGAGAATATTCGTGTAGTAAATAGATAGAGTCACGCAACTCACAAGATGCATAATCTTTTCTTTTCTTTTTCATCACACAAGATGCATAATCATTACACATCAAAAGCTACTCTCTTAGCAAGGTTTTAACTTTAAGAAACGTGTACTTGATTAATAAATTAATTTGACTCAATAAAATAATTATTAAATTGAGTAACCTTTTTTTTTTTTTTCCTCCTGGCAAAACATATGAAAAAGATCGAATATGAATGTTTTATAATTTAAAAGAAAAAAAAAGTGAGGGTCCCTTTGGATGAAACTAATTAAGGATGTCAGATTTGTTACTAGCTAGCAGCTACAAACCTTTCAGAATTATAGCTTTTGTAGGTCCCGTTGCTCTTCTTATGTCATGGAGATTCTTGACAGTTTCACTCTTTTTTTTTCGTTATAGGGGGCATTCATCGAAAAAGACTAGAAAGAGGGATGTTGTTGTGATGTGATCTTGACATTTATATTTGATGGTTTCTTAATCAACTCTAGGTTATTCCATTTCGTTTCTTAACAACGAAGGTAGCTAGGTTAAACCAGGATGTTGTTGTGCACATCAATTTTATACCAAACCAATCGAATAAATCAGTGCAATGTAATATTACTAATGAGGAATTTAATTCGTGATAAGTTTGATCAAAGGTTTTGCTATTCATATCAAGTAAGATTGGAAAATATAGTCAAGACGAAAATTAATTGTAAGGACCACAAGTCCAATCGAGGAGGATATTAGTGGTGTAATTAGAAAATGACATGAAACAGCAAAATAGATGAAAAAATTAATTACATGAAGCGTATGGGAAATGGGAGAGCAGAAACATTGCACAAGAGAAAAAATTATGCAATTGGACTTTCAGGCGTTTTTAACTTTTTATGTTTGGGGTTTTCATGTATTTGGAAAAGTCAAGCATTTTATTTTCAATTAAGTCTAATTCTCAATTTGTAAACACTCACAAGTCACAACCACTTTCTTTTCTTTGTTATAGATATTCTTACAATCACTTTTTTTTCTTTCTAATTCACAATGTCAGTATGAAGAATTAATTAATAAGTTGTTTGTGTGTGAAATAATGTGTTTCCACTGAATGCTAATGGATATTAGTGGAGTTTGAAAATGACATGAAACAGCAAAATTGACAAAAAGGGAATAACTTAAGCGTATGGGAAAGGGTGAGCAGATAATCGGCTATAAATAGAAAGGGTCTCACGAAAGTCAAGAGACATTACACATGTGAAGTCATAATAAAGAATATACTAGGATATGTTGTTGTTTGTGACTTAATGTGTGTTTCCACTGAACGCGAATTAACAATTTAATTATTATTAAGAAACTCTTTTTTTCTTTGACAAAGAACTTAAGAAATTACTGTTCTTCTCCCTGACTCCATGTACGTTAAGTAGCATTTGTGAAAGAAACTCGGATACGCATAGAATTACTTTCTTAGCAAATTTTAATTTCTAAAAACTTGTACTGCATTGAGTACGCAGAAACATTAGACAAGAGATGATGATGATGCAAGAGAGTCATAAAGAATCCTGCATTAGGGTTTACAGCTTAGGTCGTGTTCAAGCGTTTTAGGTCATAGTATTTGGAAAATAGGTCAAAGTCACTCATTTTAATCCCGTTCTCCTTCTTCTTCTTTTTTTCTTTTTCTTTTTCTATTCACAATATTAGTATATGAAGAATTAAGCTGTTGTGTGTGAGATCACGTGTGTTCCACTGAAAGCGAAATTAATTATTATTAAACCAAAATATATTTTTAAAAGGAACATAAAAAATTATTGTTCTTCTCCATGACGCTTTTACGTACTATCTCAGTAGTAACTATGAAAGAAATTCAGACACTCAACAAAAAGAAAAAAAGTGAAATAATAATTCAAAAAATCTTGCACCGTGATAATTAAAAGTGACGAAAGAAAAGAGTTATAAATTTTTTAATTGAGAAACGTACATTTTCAAAACACATATTTTCAAACGACTCGACATTGACATGAGTTCTCGTTACTGAATCGAGGAGAATATTCGTGTAGGATGAAATGACGTGACAACAACAATAAAATAGACCAAAAGTGGATAACTTAAAGCGCGTGGATTAGTTGATGAAAAAACAAATGAAAAGAGGGAGTAGAAAATCGATTATAAAAGAGAGAGATAGTAAATAGATAGAGTCACGCAACTCACAAGATGCATAATCTTTTTTTTTTTTCATCACACAAGCAGGCCCGGCTCAGAAAAAAATGGGACCTTGTGCCCAATTTTTTTAAAAAACGTTTATATCTTATATATATGTTTAGTTTTGGACCCTTTTATGTATAATTTTCAAGAAATAAGGACCCTAATTGCTTTAAGAAAATGACTAAAAAAAAGTGGACCCTGTGCAAATGCACTGTTGGCACACCCACTAAGCCGGGCCTGCACACAAGATGCATAATAATTACACATCAAAAGCTATACTCTCTTAGCAAGGTTTTAACTTTAAGAAACGTGTACTTGATTAATAAATTAATTTGACTCAATAAAATATATAATTATTAATTTGAGTAACTTTTTTTTTTTCTCCTGGTCAAAACATATGAAAAAAGATCGAATATGAATGTTTTATAATTTAAAAGAAAAAGAAAAGTGAGGGTCCCTTTGGATGAAACTAATTAAGGATGTCAGATTTGTTACTAGCTAGTAGCTACAAACCTTTCAGAATTATAGCTTTTGTAGGTCCCGTTGCTCTTCTTATGTCATGGAGATTCTTGACAGTTTCACTCTTTTTTTTTCGTTATAGGGGGCATTCATCGAAAAAGACTAGAAAGAGGGATGTTGTTGTGATGTGATCTTGACATTTATATTTGATGGTTTCTTAATCAACTCTAGGTTATTCCATTTCGTTTCTTAACAACAAAGGTAGCTAGGTTAAACCAGGATGTTAGTGGTGCAACTAGAAAATGACATGAAACAGCAAAATAGATGAAAAAATTAATTACATGAAGCGTATGGGAAATGGGAGAGCAGAAACATTGCACAAGAGAAAAAATTATGCAATTGGACTTTCAGGCGTTTTTAACTTTTTATGTTTGGGGTTTTCATGTATTTGGAAAAGTCAAGCATTTTATTTTCAATTAAAGTCTAATTCTCAATTTGTAAACACTCACAAGTCACAACCACTTTCTTTTCTTTGTTATACAATAACTTTTTTTTTTTTTTCTAATTCACAATGTCAGTATGAAGAATTAATAAGTTGTTTGTGTGTGAAATAATGTGTTTCCACTGAATGCTAATGGATATTAGTGGAGTTTGAAAATGACATGAAACAGCAAAATGACAAAAAGGGAATAACTTAAGCGTATGGGAAAGGGTGAGCAGATAATCGGCTATAAATAGATGCAGTATACACATCTGAAGAGATACAGAACCATAACACATCAAAAGTGATAGAGAATCATTACACATCAGAAGATATGTCTCTTAAGGAGCTCTCGAACGAAGACACGGTCTCATCAACGTCAGAGATTAACAACAATGACGACGAAGCCGTAGCTTCTCAAGGTAAATTCTTGACCCCTTTAGTTTGTTCATTGTTAACTTCTGAAAACGAAACGAGTGCTTATGGATCTTCTTCTTTTTCTTGTTTATTTTCCCGGGTGTAGGTGCACGGAATCAAGAGACTGAAGAGGACTCATCAGAAGATATGTATCTTAAGGAGCTCTTCAACGAAGCCACGGTCTCATCAGCGTCAGGGATTAACAACAATGATGACCAAGCCGTAGCCTCTCAAGGTAAATTCTTTACCCCTTTAATTTGTTCATTGTTAACTTCTGAAAACGAAACGAGTGCTTATGGATCTTCTTCTTTTTCTTGTTTCTTTTCCGGTTGTAAATGCACTGAATGAAGAGACTGAAGAGGACTCATCAAAAGATATGCCTGTCACGGAGCTCTCGAACGAAGACACGGTCTCATCAGTAGCCCCTCAAGGTAAATTCTTGATCCCTTTAATTTGTTCATTGTTACAGTTTGAAAACGAAACGAGTACTTAAGGATCTTCTTTTTTCTGTGTGTGTGTTTTTTTTTGTTTTGTTTCCCCGGTTGTAGATGACGTGAATCAAGAGATTGAAGAGGTCTCGCTAGAAAAGATGACTGTGGAGATTCTCGTCAGTAAAACTGAATCTATACAAGGTACATTCTTGATCCCATTTTCATTGTTAAATTTTGGGGGGGGGAATTTTTTTTTACTACTTATCACCTTTTTCCCCCGGATGTAGGTGAACTGTTTCGCCAAATCTCCGAGAAGAAACGATATGAAGTACTTGTCTCAGTAAAAAAACGGGTTATCTATCTCGCATCTGTTGAGCAAAGACGTGAACTAGGTAAGTTCTTGATGCCATATTTTCATATATAGTTAAATTTTGACGAATGAAATGAGTTACTTAATTATTGCTCTTCCCTTCTTTTCCGGATGTAGATGAAGTGATTCGCCAATTCGCACTTGCCCCCCATCTGGGCGAGCAACAAGGGCTTCAAAAAAACTTAGTAAGACAACATGAAATTGAGAAAATGATCGCTGATGAATTCAAACTTCCTCCAGAAGGTAAATTCTTGAAGAACAAAAAAAAAATATATATTCTGGCAACGAAATGAGTACTTATCGCTCTTATTTTTTCTTTATTTCTTTTCCGTGTGTGTAGTTGGCTCGGATGAGAGAGAAAAGATCAATTTCCAAGAAATAAAAAAGAATATGGAGGGTTTCGTCGAGGATACTGAGAAAAACCAAAGTACATTCTTGATCCAATTTTCATTATTCATTAAAATTTTGAAAAATGAATCTTTTTGTTTATTACTTATAACCTTTTTGTGTTTACTGGACGTAGATAAATTGCTTGACGAAATATCCCTGATAAAGGAAGTGCAACGTGAAAGTGTATCAGCAACAGAACGAAGGATACTTATCCTCTTTCCTAAGTACAAATCTCTAGTAGGTAAGTTCTTGATCCCATTTTCATAGTTAAATTTTGACAAATGAATGAGTTACTTATGGCTCTTCCCTTCTTTTTTTTCCGGATGTAGATGAAATTAAAGGCCGACTCGCCAACCAAGGGATCAAAGAAGAAATCTTACCAGTAAAACCAAGGATTGAGGCCGTCCTCTTGGAGTTCAAAAAACTAGAAGGTAAATGTTGAAAAACAAAATTAAGAGTATTAGTCGCTGCAGGGAAAACAACAAACAAATAGATTTCTTCTTATGTCAGACTTAATTTATCGCTCTTCCCTGTCTTTATTTTTCTGGATGTAGATCAACTGAATATCCCATGCTTCGAGGCCTCCCACTTAGATCAAATGCTGAAAGAGATATTACACGCAACGGACCCCGTGCTTCAACCCCAAGGTAAATGTTTATTCTCATATTCGTTGTTAAATACTGAAGAATTAAATGAATTCCTAATCGCTCTGTTTTTTGTTCTTTTGTCCGGATGTAGATGAGGTGGAACGCAGTACCGTGATCGCTAACTCCGCTCGCCTACAAGGTAGACTCTTGCACCCAAGTTCATTGTCAAAATTTGAAGAAAAAAAGTTTAGGAATCTGAGTACTTATAACTTTCTTTTTCCTTATTTTTTTCATGTGGTTAATTGCAGTGAGAAACAAGAACGACTTCTCTGAGTTCAATGTTTTTAGTGATGCCATAAGTCGCGGTGACTTTGAGAGTGTGAAAAGTCTTTTGGGCAGTGGCCAATATTCCATTACACAAAGGATTAATGAGATAGAAACGCCAATTCACAGAGCTTGTAGCTGTGGGCACGAAGAGATTGTGAAGGAGATGTTAGATAAAATGGATGACACTGAAAAAGTTAAGCTCGACTGGAAACTCCTATACATGGTTATTATGAACGGAAACCTGAATATAACGGAGGCGCTGCTTGAGAAGAAACCTGCCTATTCCGAAACCCCCATGGATAAAGATGGGATGTTGCCCATCGTCCTTGCTGCATATATGTCCAAGAAAGACATTGTTAATTTTCTGTACAAGAAAACCTCATGTACGGCGCTGCTTTATGATGACGGCTATCAAGCCTCAGAACTCTTTGGCGCTGCCATAACCAACGGAATGTTGGGTAAGTATGAATCTCTCTCTCTCTCTCTCTCTCTCTCTCTCTCTCAATGTAACTTCATAATTTCTGTTAATGCTTTCCATTTATTAGACATCGCACTGGACATGCTCATAAGGTATCCGACTCGTCTTGCCTTAACCAAGCACCCCAAGTCAAAAGCGTCTCCAATTGTTAGACTAGCCGCATGTGATGCCTTACTAATCCCCGAGAATCTTGGGTTTTGGGAAGGCATTGTTTACCCATGTAAGTTTGTGTCTCCTTATCCTCACCAGCTTTTTTTTTTACTTTTCAAAGTCTTCAATATTTTCAGTTTTCTGCTACAGGTGTCAAATTCACACCGCCGGAGATGGCTGAACGTCATTCTCTTCAAGACGATCCACCTCCAGAGACCACGAACCTATTTCAACGTACGTAATTTAGAATTGTTGAATATCTAGTGTGTCTCTATTCCTTGCTTTAATCCTTCTTCTAACTGCAGGTCACGTCTTGAGGAAGATTTTTCAATGGTTACCAACATCATTTGGTAGCATTTTGCGCTTGTCCTTTAATATTACCCTTTTTTATACAGTACTTGTGTTGATATATTTATTCTAACTGTTGATTTTATTTTCTTCTCTAGGAGCCGGTCACGTATCAGAGCTCAAGATGCGCAACTGGCAAGCTCGGGCAATGCTAAAGAGAATGATGGAAGAGCTCTGCACTTTGGACAGCCAAGAGATACGGCGTTATAAAGTCGGGGACGGCATTTATCAGGCCGTCTTCCGGGGCAACTTGGAATACATTAAGAGCCTCATCAAATATAATCCGCAATTTTTGTGGTCTAGAGACAATTACTTGGAGGCAAACATTTTTACCCTCGCCGTCGTCTCCAGGCAAGCCAAGATCTTCAACCTCTACTATGGCCTGGACGAGAGGCGCCTGACCCTCGTAATGCAGCCGGACGGCGAGGGAGAAACTCTTCTCCATGTCGTCGCCCAACCGGAGGTCATCCCCAAGGGACCTCCAGTGGTTGCTCCGTTGGAGCTACAGCGGGAGCTTTACTGGTATAAAGAGGTCGAGAACCTACTTCCAACTAGCGAGAGACAACGGATGAACAAGGAGGACCTGGAGCCGTGGGATAGCTTCCAGGAAAATCACACAGATCTCCTAGACAAAGCGGAAGATTGGATGAAAGGAACGGCCACTTCATGCAGCGTCGTCGCAATACTCATTGCGACAGTCGCTTTCCAAGCGATTTTCACCATTCCTGAGGGTGTAAAGTCGAACTCTGATCACCCAGTCAAGGCTGGCTTCTGGGTCTTTGTCATCGCAGACGTATTTGCTTTCTTCTTTGCGTGCACGGCCACCTTTATCTTCCTAGGCATCCTCACGGTGAGGTACTCGTTCCACGACTTCCTAAAAAGGCTACCCACAAAGATGCTCTTGGGACAACTGTTTCTTTTACTCTCAGTGTGCGCCATGCTAGTGGTCTTCTGCACGGCAATCTTCACCGCAAGGCACCAACAGTGGTGGCAAATTGTAATAGTGGTGATCCCCGCATGCTTCCCCATCGCGGCCTTCTTCTTCGTGCAGCGCCCTATTTTCTGGAAGATGGTACGTTCAACATATGGCAAAGGGTTATTCGACCGGAATCCCAAACGCTGGTTTTAGAGAAAACGAAGCTGGTACTGGTATTGGTTTAGCTCGGTTTATAAGATTTAAGAAAATAATTATCGGACTCCTTTAGGCTTTAACTATATAGTTATTTGTCAGACACCTTCGGTTTCGATGACATAATATTTTCCATTACTAAAAATCTTATTATCCGAGTAAGTTTGAATTTATGGAAATTACATGAGATTGTTCAAGTATTTTTCGTTTTAATGAGAGTGAGCACCCTTTATCAAAAAGTTTGATAGAGTAATAATAGTTCGAATTCATTGCGGATAACGAGATCTTGGACATAACCAACACGCGCACTTAATCAACCGTTAGATTCTCCCCTTCGACGGTGGATAAATATTAATTGAAAGTAAAGCGGTGCGTTTAACGCCCTTTTCACGATTAGCCGCGGCATGTGCCATGCACGTGAGAGCGCACGTTAGCTCTGACCACTGTCCCTTTTTGTTTTGTCTCTAGTTTCTTAATTTCTCACCCACCGAAAGCCACTCTCTCTCAAGCGATGTCGTCGAGCTCCGGCGGGAACCGCCACTGTGTTTCCGGCGGATCAGAAGTTCGGACTTAGGAGACAAGACGCTCTGAGATCCTCTCGTTCGGTTTTCTTAGGTGATGTCGTCGACGCTCCGGCGGGATACTCACGCGGCGGCGTTTGCGTGCCTCCATCCGTTTTTTTCGTCCCGTCTCCACGGTGAGATTCGACATCTGCTTTTGATTGTCCTAAGTAATTTTCTGCGTATGGTTGTGAAAAATCATCATGAGTTGCTTTTTGTATTGCCTTCGCGAATGTTTCTTCAAATGGTTCTCTTATCTTAGATTCTGATTATAAAATCTTAGTGGAAATGATTTCTGGAGTATGAGAAGTTGATGCAGCTGTATCATGAAAATCATTGTTTCTTCGGTAATCCATAGCTTTTCAATTCGAAAGCGATTATGCGATCATTGGTGATTAATATATTGGGTAATTCGAAATCGAGTTTAGGTTTGAATCAGATACAACATAGAGAGAGAGAGAGAGATTCTGCCTTCTCATTTGTGATTTATGTTTTATTCAGCCTGCGATGCCTGAGACTGCGACCAAGCGGAGTAAAGTCGAAATCATCAAGGAGAAGAGTAATTTCTAAACGAGGAGCTTTTTGACGGAGGCTCCAAATGTCAACGAGTCGGCCGTGCAGCTGATGAAATTCCATGGTAACTGTACAGCAGAGAAGAACGTGGTGGAAGATCTTACTTTATGCTTCAAACCAAGAATCCATCTGGCAAGGTCCCGAACCAAGTCTACATGACTATGGATGACTTAGCCGACGAGTTTGGCATTGGTACTCTTCGTTTTACTACCAGTCAGACGTTTCAGCTCTCTCAAGCAGAATCTTAAGACCGTGATGAACTCGATTATTAAAAACATGGGTAACACTCTTGGTGCATGTGGTGATCTGAACAGAAATGTTTTTGCTCCAGGGGCGCCTAATGTGATAGAAATACTATCTCTTTGCACAGGAAACAGCCGACAACATCGCGGCTCTGCTTTCTCCTAAATCAGGGTTCTATTGTGATATGTGGGTTGATGGAGAGCAGTTCATGACTGCTGAGCCTCCTGAGGTAGTGAAGGCTCGAAATGGTAACTCCGTGGAACTAACTTTGTCGACTCTCCTGGGCCTATCTATGGCCCCCCAGTTCTTGCCTAGGAAGTTCAAGGTCGTTGTAACTGTAATTGGCGACATCGTCCTTTCAGATGAAAATGAGGAACCAGAGGGTTTCAATTTTTATGTGAGTTAACATTCTATTGGCCTACATGTGTTATCATTTATGCCCACTATTGCTTTGCCTTTTCTACTAGTGTTATTTTTTTTCTGGATAATTTCTTGGTTTTAAACTGTTGATGATAATGACTCGTCTTGTAGGTTGGTGAGGGTATGGGAAGAACACGCAGAATGGAGCCTACTTTTTCCCTGCCGGCTGTGAAAGCCATTGTAGTCCACACAGCGATAACACGGGAGAAGAGATGATCGTAAATATAGCAGAATGAAATATTTGATCAGCTCCTGGGGAATTGAGAAGTTCAGAGATGTTGTCTAACAGTAGTATGGTAATCTTCTATAAGTGGGAGTTCATGAGTTACTTGGGATGGCTTGAACAGGTTTTGTTACTAAAAACCTTGTGAAAATTGGCACTTTCAGATTTTCTCTAGTGGCTTTAACAATAATATCTTATTTCCATCACAGTGGTCGTGTTGGAGGTTTTTGTGGGCTTCACGTAGACAGTGGTCGTGTTGGAGGTTTAATGAAGTAGACACTGAGAGAAATAATAGAGAAATACAAAATTGATCTCCGCATCACACCCATAATATTGTATGTGATATAAATGACCTAATGGAAGCGTCCCATCACCACAGTGCTTTCTCGGACCGGCTTGCTGGTAAGCAGCTTTATTTGACCACTAGTTATGCAAATCTAATAGCTATTATGACATAATCTGAGTAAAGCACTGTTTATTTGTGCAGCAACCTGATTTTGTTGACCTGTTAAACTAAAATAGCTTGTCCAGCTATTCATTTGTGCCCTCTGGCGATAACTGAGGCAGACCGCGGGGTCCCTAGCATTCTTAAGCGAGCGAGGGCAATGTTTGAGAAGGTACGATCACTATGTGCAGATAAATTAAATTTATCTAATCTTGTGTCATTAACTGGCATTTGATCTTGATTGCAAAACGCCTTCCTTGGATCAGGTTGGTGTGGAATACTATGAGTCTGTTGTGATAAGAGTAACCGGTTGTCCTAACGGTTGTGTAAGACCTTACATGGCTGAGCTCGGTCTATTTGGGGATGGTCCCAACAGCTATCAGGATACGGTTTGAGCACAACCTCTTGTTGCTAGTGAGACAGTGTAGTTAAGCAAGCAGGATCATATCTTTAGTTGTGTGTGGGTTCCGCAGGTTTTGTCAAGGTTTTCGCGGCTTAGAGAAAGTGTTCGAGCCATTGTTTTATCACTGGAAACTAAAGAGGCAAAGCAAAGAACCATTTGGAGAATACCCAACCCGCATGTAAGGATCACATATTACTTATCATAACTCTGAGACTTCAAAATTGACATTGAAGAAGAAGAAGAAGAAATAAATGACTTAGTTTTTTCCAACTATGATAAAATTGCAGGGATTCGAGAAACTGATAGATACATATAAAGGAGTTTCTCAATAACCACACAGATCATCTTTCGTTATGTAATTCATGTGAAGTCTCTGTCTGAATTGTTACTTTGTTCTCGTTTTGGGTTTTCCACCAGAGCATGTTAAACCGAATATGTGAGTGACTTGAATCGACTTTGTTGCGTAGTGAATTGCGATTTCTCTTTGCAAATAGTTATCTGGCATATCCAATTATAAGAGTTAGCTATTTTGCTTGCCTACCTATGCTCTGCGGGCTATAATGCTGAACGAAATAGCTTCCTTGATAATGCTATATCGTGTGGTTTGATGCAAGCTTTGAAAGACGATGCCTATAGTTTAAAGAGTGAGACTTTATGACATTTGGGTCTTAGGATGTGAAAAAACTGAAAGAGAAAAGAGTTTAAGCTTGAGTAACTACAAACCTGTGGTCTTTTCAAGTAGTTGTGGATATTAATGTATCTATGTCGTGAACCTTACAGGTGGAAAGGGTTTAAGTGTAAGTAACTACAAACCTGTGGTTTTTCCTCACTCTGTTGGGTCGCAGTTTAGAGCAGTTAGAGTCGCCAGAAACAAAAAGGTTATGCATTGATGCTTTTTTATTGAAAGCATTTTGGGTTCATACTGTTTGAGGACCCTGAGGTATGCTTGAATCTGTAGAAAGATGGTAAAATCCTTTATATATGTTCCAGACTCAATTCTTAACTTTTTTTTATTCTGGTCTCTGCAGGTGGCGGAAATCACAGTGGGTGCAATACATGATTATTTGTTGATGGAACAAATGCTTAAAGTCCATGTCATTCCACCAAAGCATGTTAACCCGAATCTGTGAGTGACTTAAAACGACTTTGTTTCATAATGATCAGTGATTTTCTTTGCAAATAGTTAGGGCATATCTAATTGTGTAGGTTAGCTCTTTTACTTGGCTGCTTATGTGCTGTGGGCTATATTGTTGAATGAAATAGCTCTCTTTATAATGCTATCTCGTGTGGTATAGCGCAACGATGTTCTAGGGTTTACAGAGTGAGACTTAATGACATTTGGGTCTTAGGATACTAGATAGGATTTGATAAATAAGCAAAGAGAAAAGACAGTTACTGGAAGAGCCTTTCCTTGGCTTATACCCTACATGGGTGTTAAATGACTCAATACTCTTTCTTCACTTTGTTAAATCGGTCTTGAGAAATTAGGGTGTGCGAGTCTCTCTCGTGTTCCAAGAAGAGAACATGCATGAACTGTCTTGAAAATTGTTCTTTTTCTAGTAGTTATGGATCTAATCTATCTATGTCCTGAATGTTATAGGTGAAAAGGGTTTAAGTGTAATTACAAACCAATGGATTGGGTTCAGATTGAGCGCAATCAACAACACAAGGTAATCTTCTTCACTTTTCTTGTGATCCATCTACCATTTCTCTTGAGCGAGCAAGTAACTTGAACTTTGATTTCTGTTGTTTTTGTATAAAGAAGAAAGGACATTGGAAGATGTTGCAGAAGGTAGTGAAAAGGGATTAAAAAAAAAAAAGGAGAACGAGAATCGAAGCCGGCTGGAATAGATTCGAGCTCACCGATGTGGCTATCAATCAAGTTAAGATTTGCCACCGTAGGTGCCAAGTAGGAATGAAGTTCATCTAGGTGCGTTTCTTTTCCCCGCACATAACCATAACCGCGGCGTTGTCTTGATTACTTTGGTTTGGTTTTCTTTTCTACATTGCTTGGGCTTTCCTTTTCTTGCATCTTTCTTCCCTCAAGTTATTAAGATCCATAGACATGGTCAGTATCTTCAGTTAGTAATTTCTCCACACCAAATCGAAAAACCTAATGAGGATTAGACATCAAGCGCCATTTTTCTGATTTTGATTTCACCACCACCATCTTCGTCTTTCTGATGATGATGCTTACAGTAAACCGGAATAAACCAAACCAGAACAAACCGATCATGTGACGTGCACGAAATGTGTGGAAGAAGCAGTGAATGTGCTTGAATCCACAAATTCTTCCATCTGTGAGGCCCATTTGTATGTCTCAAAGGTCGGACTTTTCGTCGAGGTTTCTGTCTCGATGCCCACATTTCAGAAATAGCTTCACGATGAACCCGGCAACGGTACGTTTCATTTCTTTCCTGGTATTTCTTTTTCAGTTTCGGAGTTTCCTTTTTTAGTGAGAAGCTGCGTTGATTAGGCAAAGGACTGGTTTTTCATTTTTAGTGGAAGTGCTAGCTGAGAGTAAGGAATGGGTTTGTTCTATTATTTGGGTTTGAGCTCGCATCCTACTACTATTTCAAACGCTATGTTTGCCAAAACTTTTTCATGTCAATTAACCAAAGTAAAAGATATGTTCCACTATCTTATGTTTTTTCTTCAAGGCAGGCCAGTCAAAGAATATGATATGTGACCAGTGACCTAAAGGTCCTGGGTGGCTATACCACTTATCATCGTTTGCTTGAGGTCTAGTTTCTCATACCTGAAGAAAAAAGAGGTACGAAAAAACTTCCTTGAGTGATTGAAATGGAGTCCCATGCAATAGTTGCAATTGGAAGTGCTGCTCTCTTTTGGCTGCTAGTGGAAACCTCTGACGAATGTAAAGGTGGCCATCTTTTCTGATGCACTTAATCATGCATCAAATATTTCAATATAGTAGTAGGCTGGTAACAGCTTATGTTTATTGATGGCAAACGGCAAAAAATGGAAGCAACTGTTACAGTCAAGAGGTCGTTTATTCATATTTTCAACAGCAATCCCTGTCCCAATCCCTGCTTCTACTTATGGAGAAGAAAGGCAATATGGGAGAGGGTAAAAGAAGAGTTCAATGGCATTATCTGGAATTGACATCTCAAGCCCCATTATCTTACTTGTTGTAGGCAATCAAGAGAAAGCCATGTAAGATATCGTGTTACGCATTTCACCATATTTTATAAATAGTGAAAATTACTTAAAATGACCCATATTTTATGTTAAATAATTAGATTGACTCTGTTTAGAAACCCATAACTAGAATGACTTACATCTTTTGTAAAAAGACATTTTAACCTATTTTTAATTTAAATAATCGAAACTGCCATTTTGTTTTAATTTTGAAAAAAAAAATGGTTTTTCATTGAACCAATAATAGTATAATACTCAAACTAAAAACTTAAAATCTTTGGGAAGAAATCCGAAAAAAACTTCATCTATTTTTATTTTGGTCGTTTAATACCTGTAATTTAAAAATTGGAATAAAAATATCTCGTTTATTAAATTTTGTTTTTAAAAATATTAGAATTATAAAAGGTTGGTGGAATTTATTTACGAGTTAACGACCGTTAATCCGAGTAACGGAATCTAACGGAATCACTACCAGAGTTAAAAGTTTATTACGAATAAACTGTCATTGGTCTGGTGGTAGTAAGAAGGTAGAGCCAGTCTAAACCTGGGTTCGATGACTCTTGGTAACGATTATTCTTTTATTAATAATTTTTTTCATTAAATCAATAATACTCAAACTAAAAACCTAAAATCTTTTCAGTTTCCCCCTTATTCTCTCGATTCTGCTTCTCTGGTTGTTTCTTCGGCGACGGGAGGCTATTTCTCTAGTGATATCTTTGACGAATTTCATCAGCTAAATATGATTGGTGTCCCATACAATTTTTCCCTAGATCCGCCACTGGTCGGGTCGAGTTGAAGAAGTGGCTCGAGAGTTAAAAGAGATGTGAAGAAAGCTTTAGGGAAGAACTTGATGAGCTTGAAAAACATATATACTTGTATTTCATGACTATTAATAGGGCAAGGAATCTTGTTGTTGGAGAGATTTTGGATTCGGATGATCCCCTAATTGTTCATTCGCTCCCAAATCCAAAAAAATTGTTGTTTTATTTTTTCTCTCATGTCGATTTTATGATTTCTTTCTTGTTTGGTTTACAATGTATCATTTATTTTTATCATCAATTATATAATTTTTAATTCTTAGTAATATGGAGTTTTTTCACGGATAATCGAATCTGGATATCCGGCATATACGGATCCGATCCGGATCCAAATACCTTCAAAAACCTGGATATTCGGCTCCGTTACATGCTTACCATAACATTTACATTATTGTTTCTATTTTTATTTTTGTGGGTCTGATACATTTTTATTTCTATTTGGATGATACTCAGATTCTATGATAATGCCAAATACAAGAGTCTAACTCGAAGCTCTACATTTAGAAGAAGAAACAAAATCTTACATTGATAATTTAAACTACATGTAAGATATCTTAAGTTATGTATTATATTATTATATCTCAAAATTATCAATTTTTAATTGTCTTATTTTTATTAATATATCTAATATTATTTGTTTTATTAAAATGTTTATCTATTTAATATGTTTAAACTGAAATAAAGCTATAAAATTATGAATAATTTATATTTAACTAGATTATATTTAAACATATTAAATTGTGAATTAGATTATATGGAAAGGGTAACCAAATTGTAAATTTAAATAGTAAATCAATTTGTGCATTCAATAAACAATAAACCATTAATTTAATATAAGTAAATTGAGAAAGTCAAAAGGCTAAATCACAATGAGAGGGGAAAAATTAGGAAAGCGTTTTATGTGTCAAGTTGATTACTTTTAGAAAAGATTTGTAGTTGATATTCAATATTCGTTTCCATGTGTATTAGATTTTATGAAAATAAATACTTATAAAATGAGAGATTAATAAGGCTGTGTAAATCACAATGAGAGAGGCATAAATCGGAAACGTTACATGTGTCATAACATTAAAGATTTTAGAGATGAGAACAAACAATAGAAGAAAAAATGAAGGATTGAATTTTATATAAATAGAAGATTAAGGTCATAAATCAACTTTAGCTTAAAATCTTTTCTCTTATTTGCATCACTAGAGATCTAAAAATTTTAGAATTTGATTGAAAGATCATATCCAAAATCCATATTTTTGTTCTTATGGATTCTTCAGGTACGACGATTTGATTTCCATCATGCTTTTGCTTGTATAATTAACTAGAGATTATATTAGCATAAGATCAAAAAAAAGAATTTAGAGATGTATTTTATATCTTGTTTATCCATGTTTAGATTTAAAATTCAGTTCGAAACTTTCTAGAATAAAGCATATTAGATTTATTGCCAGAAAGATTAGACTGTCTCCATCCCTCTCATACCCAAAAAGAGTGTCTAAAGAAAAATATATTAATATTTTATTGTAATTTAGTTTTGTAATTAATTTCTGTTATTTTAGATTATACCAATTAAAAACTGACACATATGCATATGAGTGTCTCAGAGTTTCTGCACTGCAGAATCTCTGAGACATTCTCCTCACCTTCTCTCCTCCTTTTTGAATTTTTTCTATTATTTAAATTAGGAGACACTCTCAAAAGTTGTACCGATGGAGATGCTCTTAGTATCACACGGTAATAACACAACCAAGTAGTCGTTCTAGGCTAGCTCGCTTTCTTGAGACACAAGCAAGGAAACCCTAGTAATTGCTAAAGAATAAGACCACCTAACGCAACCAAAAGACTGTAGATAGAACGGTTTGGAAACTTTACAAAGGTTATCAAAATTGGCCCTTGAAGTTTTATAACGGCTTTGAGTTCTAATCATTACTTAGATGCAGCTTTCAGGAAAACAGTTTGGAAGAACCCTTTCAATTTCACCAACACAATTAAGGTTCCTCGTGGCGGCCTAGGCGACAGTTTCTCACATGTAAAAGAAGTTACGAATGATCTCATCAATTCCCAGATTCCGTCCATCAAACTTCACGGTAAGACCCATTAATACGACTTATGAAGAAAATTTAGTTTTTCACATGATATAATAAAGTTCTTGTTATGGATGCAGAGAAGGTTACAAATGTATACTATGATTATATGCAATTAAGTAAAGGAATAAGCCAAGGGAGTGTAGAAGTTGTGAAAGATGTCTTGAACCGTCGTCCGGGCGCTGTGGACGAATGGATAAACCCTTATGAGACACCATTGTTGAAGGCTTGCGCATGTGGAAAACCCGAGATTGTTAAAGAGCTTCTTCTTCGCATGAAACCTGAACAAATGCTTCCCAAGATGAGCCGTCACACTTCATACCATACACCTCTTACTGTTGTCGCAGTCACCGGAAACATGGAGATTGCCAAATACTTGCTTGGCAAGAACTTTGGGCTGCTAAAGATGCCAGACATAAATGGACAGCTTCCGGCCGTGGTTGCAATTGAGAACGGGCATAAAGAGATGGCTTGGTACTTTTACGGGAAAACTATGCGTCCTCAGTTACTTGATCAAGATGGGTACCACGGTACCTTGCTCATTATCAACGCCATCTACTACAAAATGATTGGTAAGTGGTTTCTTGAATTCCAAGCAAAATATGGTTTAGCTGGATAATGAAAAACGGTATCACTGATCTGCTTGTTCATACAATACAGATATTGCGCTGTATTTTCTCAGCGAAGAGACTCGCTACCGTGCCGTCACAAAACACTTGCAGATAGAGTCGACTCCCATCATCGTTTTAGCTTCGAAACCGGACCTTTTCCCCAGCGGCTGCCGTCTCGGACCATTGGAACGCATCATATACAATTGTCCGTACTAATCCAAGACCTCTTTATTACGAAGATGACTCCAATTTTTTATGCCTTTTACTTCAATTAAACTTATTAACGTGCTGTTCTCACTTGCTAGGTATACAAGTAAAGCTTCAGGCTAATCCAGGTTGGTTTTATCCAAAAAAAGATCAGCAAAGTAAGTTCTTAGATGATATGCATAACTTGATAAAAAAGTCTCCATATTCCTCTAAAGAAAGTGAGAAACGTTTAGATTTGTTTTTTGTTTTTTGTTCTCTCTCTTTCTCTGTCCAGCTACCCTGATGAGGAGGCTGCTTAAGTGTCTCTCCAAATGGACTGGTAAGTATAGATTTTCGTCTCTGCAAAGGTTGTTTGATATTTACAGGTTATTATTTCTTATAAGAAATCTGAATTGAGGTATGTTTCAGGAATAGATGAAGTGTACCAACTGAAGGTTATGCATCTACAAGCCAAGAAGCTTTTATTGGTAATATCAGAAGAAACACGGGCCATGGGATTGAAGGAACGTTCCGAGACAGTGGGTGAGGCCTTACTCTTTGCAGTAAGGTATGGGAATGTGGATTTCTTGGTGGAGATGATCAAGAACAACTCCGAGCTTCTATGGTCCACGAAAACGAGCTTGAGTAGAACTCTGTTTCTCTTGGCCGTCGAGTTGAGACAAGAAAAAGTGTTTAGTCTACTCTACGGTCTGGACGATAGGAAGTACTTGTTGCTCGCGGAAAGGGACTGTGATGGCAATGGTATGCTTCATCTCGCCGGCTATCTTTCTCCTCCTTGCAAGCTCTCTACCGTTACTGGCGCAGCTTTGCAGATGCAACGTGAGTTACAATGGTTCAAGGTTCGTTCTGTTTCTCTCTGTCTCATAATATGCCAAATTAACTAAACACCTTATAATATGCATAATCCAGACACAATAAGAAACTTACTGCATGGTAAAACATAGGTGCGTATAAAAATGTGGCTTTGATTACACAGGAAGTGGAGAAAATTGTAGCAGAGATCGAGAAGCATAGAGTAAACTCGAGTGGACAAACACCAATCGAGATATTCACAAAGGAGCACCAAACATTGCGCCAAGAAGCTGAGAAATGTATGAAATACACGGCGATGTCGTGCAGCTTAGTCGCGACTCTCATATTCACGGTCACCTTCGCGGCCGTCTTCACCGTTCCCAACTACAACTCACACGGCAAACCCTTTCACCTACGTGATCGTGCTTTCACCACATTCGTCTTCTCCGATCTGATCTCCTGCTTCGCAGCTTGCACCTCCGTCCTCATTTTCCTCGGGGTACACACCGCAAGGTACTCCTTCGATGATTTCTTGTTCTCGCTACCGGCAAAGATGATCGCCGGACTCTCCATACTGTTCGTTTCAATCGGGGCAATGCTTATTGCCTTCTCGTCGGCGCTATTCACGATGATGGATAAAGAGAAATGGATCGTTGCTCCGACGATCCTTCTCGCATGTTTACCGGCGCTGCTGTTTGTTCTGCTTCAGTATCCTCTCCTCAAAGAAATGATCTTTTCGACTTACGGTAAAGGAATCTTCGACAGGACTTAAACTGTTTGGTTGGTTGAAAAGGCATTGAACAATGTAGACTACAATTAACAAAAATATTATTTTAATCATTTTACAATAAATAAGTTATTTATTTAAATAATAAATTATAAAAAGAGAATTTAGCTAATCATATAAAGACAAGTAACGATACAGTTTCTCAAAGTTTCTTAATGCAGGACGTGTTTGACTCTCTCTTCTACTTTATTATTATTTTCTATTATTTTCTGTTAGAGATGCTCTTACCAAACCCGGTTCAAGAGAAAACTCGCATATTATCTGATTTGATGTGGTTAAATAAAATGTTTTGTTACTCTTCATTCTTTTGGTTTAGTTGGTTTTCCATATGGGTTCAAACTCAGTTAGTATAAAATAATTTTTTTATTACACCATGTGAAACAATAGACTAGACATTTCTGTTTTTGCAAACTAACCCATTCTCTTCAATTAGATTTGTTTGTGATAAATACATCTTACTTTTAAATTTCAATATATCATTTATATTATGTTTATTAATATGATATTAAGAAGATTAATTACAATATTGGCATTTTGTAATGGATACACAAATTCAAATCAATTAAAAAGTGATCCAGATACTTTTAATTAATGAATGAAAAGATTGAGCAAATATTTAAAATCAACTTTTAGAAACTTAAGATATATTAACATCATTATACTAATTGATAGAAAATTAACATCATTTTCGCAGCTGACACATATCGATTATATTAATTACTAGATCATCACCCGCACGTACGTGCGGGGTTTCATATTTTAAAAAATTTCTAACAAATTTTAATTCAGTATAGATTATTTTGTTGTTTTTAACTTTTTATGATATATATTTTAGTGTATTAGATCTGGATCAACGTACGTGTAGAGATATTTTTATAGAAATCATTATATAGATTTAAAAAATATAAAATATTTTGTTGTGTTAGTGAACTTCGTAATAGTATAAATATTATAAAGTTAGAGTAATGACAAAATTCAGTTGCGTTAATGCATAATTATATTTTAAGATCCGGACTAATTTAGTTGCAAAAGTTAAATGGTGTTACATTTTTATTTTCTTAACTAATCAAACAGTTCTAACAGTTTGATTACATATGTTAAATAGGATATGAATTTGGTTTTAGTTTGGGTTATTTCATGTATATTAGCTAGACGTAACTATTTTGAAACATGAAAATATACCGTCCGGTATTTGTCATAAATTCTTTGTCCCATAACCTGTCACGCATACGTAAAATAAAAATATTATGGTCCCATATTTGTCATAAATAGAGTATGTGTAACTGAAAACATATGTACATGGTTATGTGTGTAAACAAATTTATTTTATATAGTGCTCATAACCCGAACTTATGTCAGTTGGATATTTAGTTTGATTTTTAATATATGTTCCCCTCCCATCTCGTCTCGTAATTTATATTTCCACTTTATTCCATTAAAATCATATTCCAAATTCTTGTTTGCTTACCTTTAAATACCATACAATATTACAATATATATTGTGAATTTTGCGGATTAATATGTATGCTTTAAAGTTACAAAAACAAATTTATTAATGTTTCTAGCTAAATATTGCATATTTTTTTTTCATTGTTTAATCATAATTAATTCGATTTTTGGGACTAAAATTAAAATTTGAGATACATCTATAAAAAGGATATGCTATTGCTGCATAATTTGTTTTGAATGCAAAATATATATTAGTTCACATTATTTCGAAAACTGTGTGCAATATATTATAGATTTGTTTAAGGAAGATCCAGTTGAGAAGAAAAAAAAGAAAACACAAAATATTTTGAAATTAATATGTACAATCTTTTGTTTAGATATTTCCGAAACTTGCTCTAAACGAATGTCATAATGATAATTACTTTAAATTTATCATTATTTGAGTTTATTTCATAGTAAATATAAATATTTGTTAATATCTAATATCGTTTTTTTAAAAATTTTGAAATAAAATTTTGTTTTATATTTCAAAATTTGTGAAAATATTATAACAAAACTGAGTCTTAAATATTTGTATTTAATTGTTTTACGAAATTTCAAATTCAATCTTAAAATCCTCCATTGATAAAACTTTTTAAACGATAGTGTTTTTAATTTTGAATTAAAATGTTATTATTTTTCTTTTTATTTTTGATATAGAATAGTTTATTAGGATTAGTTTTGAATTTAGATAAAATTTTAGTTGGATATCAAATCTTAGTTTTTTAATTCTCATTGGTTAACAACTTTTTAGGAAAAAAAATTAAATTTTCGTCCATAATTAATATGAGAGAGAAAGTGAGTTTAATTTTTTGGAAACTAATAATTACTTTAAAGAATTTTACTATTTTTTATTTAAATATATTATTTTGTGATTATTATTCTATCTTTAATGAATTTATTTAAAAACAAAAACCAATGGCATTTTTGTAATACTTTACATTTTATAAGGTTATTTATGTTTGAATGCTTCCCAATTAATAGTATAGATTGATAATTGTTGAAAGATATTTACTTCATTATTTTTATAATCATTTGTATAAGTAATGTAAAATTTATTTGCATAAATTATATAACTAGTGTAAATATAAAATTAAACACATAAGTAATCTTATCTTTTATAATGATTATTGCCAAAATCATCACCATTTCTTGGATTTTGTAAAGGTCTTCTCAGCTGGAAGATTAAAATTCGACGAAGCATCAATGTGAGTTCCACAGTCCGATGGGGAACCTCGTGATGAAGACAAAAGATCGCTTATAGAACGACTCATCTTCCTCTAGAAACATCAGAATACCCAAAAATCAATCTTTAAGTAATCAAATGGAAAATCAAATCACCATTTGAGTTCTACGATTTCGATTCCTAAAACTATCAAACACTCACCATATAGCAAAATGAAGAAACTTTCTAGGCAAGTTTTCCAAACAAAAAAAAAGAAAAAAGAATTAAGAAAAAGTGTGTGAGTATCAGTGAAAGAAAGTTTGAGAAAAAAGAATTTTTAAAATGGATCAATCGAGGCAAAGGGAGTCTCAATGAAAGGAAGTTTGAGATAGAATGTTCGAAGTCTTAAATAACAATTATAAATTGTATATGAAACCGATAAATTGAAAAACAATCATGAATATCCAAACATTGAAAAAAAAGTAAAAAGTTGAGCAAAACATAAAGAAAAAAAAAGCAATAACAAAATAAAAACTATATGTTCAAATTCGAAACATTAAGAACTAAAATAAACTACCAACAACACAAAAAAAATAAAAAATACAAAGGATACAATTTTTAAATAATGGCTTAGGTGGCTAGACCATGTTAGATCATGTACAATACAAGTCTTTCACCAAAATCTCTAATCTACAAAAGTAATAATAAAATAACAAATCAAATCTCTTGTTCAACTTGTAACCCAAAAAGATTTATTGTATAGAAAGATCTATTTTTCTTCTTCTTTTTTTACTTTCTTAATTGGTAGTTGTTTTCGATCATAAACCCTAGCCACCTCTGTTCGCTCTCTATTTGTCAAAACAAAAAGCTCGTGAAACCATCTTCACCTCCGATTTTTTGCCCCAAATTTCACATTTCATTTTGTTGACTTGATTATTTTTATAGGAGTAAAATGATCATTAAAAATTAAAAAAAGAACAAATTTGAAAATGACTAAAAAGATTATATTTTTGAAAAGGGTATCTAAAAGGGCTATTATACTTTTTTCAGATTCTGAGACTTTGTTTTGTTTTTATTGTATAGATTCGGTGTGGTTGAAAACTTGAACGTAAGAAAGGAAAATATAAAGAATGTCTCAGGTACTTGAATCAGATTTCTAATGTTTTTGATTTCGATATTTATGATCTTGTTTTAGATGTTATGCTTCGTATCTGATTTATAATGTATGAATCAATTCGGTATCGTCCATTGTAACAAATATCTGTAGTTAGTTAGATCTTTTAATAACAACATTGATGTGACTAGTTTCCCACTAAATTAAACTGGTAATGACAATTGACAAGGATCATATAAGATGCAGATCGTGAATCATGTAAAATAGGTTATGTTTTGTCTGGATCAAATCTTAGTCTGAAATGTCTTTTCGCAATTTGATTAGGCCAAGCCGTTTAAGCAGTGTTACATATGTATAGTTCTATTTTTCTTGTCATGTTCATTAAATTTAACGCTGAAAAGAGTTTGCTCTGTTTTGTTTAGATAAGTCTGTTTCTCTTGTACTTTTAGCAAAATTGAGTAGTACGTCATGCTGTTTTTAATCAATTTGGGGCAATGTTTCAATATTCTTTTGATTTTAAAGTTTTTTTCAAAATTTGCTTGACTTTGGATTTTTCTGTTATCCAAGTAGACTGTGGTTCTGAAGGGTGGCTATGCCATGTGAGGGATGTGTTGGAGCTGTGAAAAGAGTCTTAGGCAAAATGGGAGGTTAGATTTTAACCTTTTTTCGATGAATCAAGTCATTTTTTTTTTCGCTCAAGGCAGATTTGTTATAAGCTGATTCATGCTTGCTTGCTCATTTCATTGGCTTTATGGTTTGAACTTTGAACTAAAACTGAAGACAATTGATTCAAGAAAAAGAATCTTCATTGAGCTTAACTCTCTGCCACGGTTTTTATAGATGCCACTAAGATTTGTGTGATTCCATTCTTCTGCGGAAGACCTTTTTTGATGTGTAAACAAAATTCACAAAACACCCAAACAAACAATGTTTTTTTTAGGTGTGGAGTCATTTGATGTGGATCTCAAGGAACAGAAGGTAACATGAAAGGCAACGTGCAACCAGAAGCTGTTCTGCAGACGGAAAAGAAAACGAGTTTTTGGGAAGCGGAGGCTGAAGCCGCAGAAACGGCCAAAGCCTAAAAGGAAGATTCAAGAAGTAATCTCATCTTACTATTACTCTGTTTTAACCCAGAGATTCCTACAAAACAAAATCATATGTAACGAAAAGTCAATGAATGTTTTTTGGTCTTTGTAATCTTATCATCTCTTGTGGTTCTCACGTCCTCAGAGTTGTCTCAAACCTATATCCTTCTGTTGTCTTAAAGTTTCTTGCAATTATATCTTAGTGATAAAATTCCACACTTAATTATACAAAAAAAACTCTACTCTTTCTTCTTATTTTTTTTTTTATTTTTTTTTTTCTTCTTATTTTGTTTGTCTAAGCATAATTAAAAAAAAATTCAAATAGCGTATTAACAAGTAGTTAGTTTTGTATCTTCTTCTTTCGAAAGTACATATGTTGGTTGTTAAACACTCGTAGTAATACGTATGGATTACTAGTTAACAAATAACAACTAGAGATTCCTCCAACAACTGTAATTACACACTTCAGTTTCAGACACATTTCGCTTAAAACCCGAGGGTAATCTTGTCATTTCATGTTATCACCTTTTGAAATTTTCGGCCCATTCCGTTTTAAAAATTCGTTTAAATTTTTCTAAATATTCGTGTAACCCAAAAAATTCGCAGTCTACGTTTACAAAAAAAATAAAGAAAAAAGATAGCCTTGGACCCATCGAACCAGAATCCATCCGAACCGTCGAGAATACCATCCAACGGTCACAACCAATCACCACTAAAGAAAGATCTTTTTTTTTTTTTTGGTTTCTTGGTTCGATCATAAACCCTAGCCACCTCTGTTCCCTCTCTTCTTGTCAAAACGAAAAGTTCGTGAAACCATCTTCACCGCCGATCCTTCATCTTCTTCTTCACCATGTCTACTCGTTTCTAGAAAGAACAAAAAAAGATTTATACCCATGAACAGATCTCGATCCTCTCAATCGAATTTCTCAATTTCTCTTCGATCTCCAGAGATCTCGGCGATTTTCTTTCTTCTTTTTCCTTTCTGGGTATTACTAATTTGATCTCTGATCGAATCGGTTGAAATCGAAACTATCTACCTCTTTCCCCTCCAATAGCCGTTTCAATTTCTTCAATTTTCCTTGAAAAGAAAGTGATTTCTTTTATAAAATCTGGTCAGAATCGGGTTGGTTCTGTAAGAAATTCGTGTTTTTTACAGAGATTAGTGGGTATAGATCGAAGACGAGGCCAATTTCTGAGTAAGTCAAGCCAGTTGTGGCATCTCCAGTTGAGTGAAAACGGAGTCGTATGAGCAAGGCATAGATGCCGTCGGTGGGAATGAGACGAACCACTAGGGTTTTCGGGGTGGTTAAAGCCGCAGACGGAGCCCGTGTCCTCCGTTCGGGTCGTCGGATCTGGCCTAACGTAGGCGAACCGAAGGTACGGCGAGCTCATGACGTGGTGGATCGAGATTGTGATAGCGTTTTGAAGAATCAGAACAAAACCAAAGGGAATAAAGTCTCCGCTAAAAGTAACAGCCAGCCTTGTACCCCGAGACAAGTTTCTAGTGAGAAAGAAGACAAAGTAGATGACTTTCCGGTCAGAAAACGGAGGAAAGTGAGAAATGAAGGTGTAGGAGATGAAAAGACTGTGGATAAGATGTTTGGGATTGTATATAGTAGGAAAAGGAAGAGACTTTCTGAACCATCAAGTGATAGATCAGAAGAGCCACTACGAAGCCTCAAGTTTTATCGCAGGCGAAGAAGACTCTCACATCGGGTTTCTTCAGTGCTTACTCTTACAGTTGATTGGTCATGTGAGGATTGCTGGTTATTAAGTGTTTTCGGTTTGGCAATGAGATATACTAGGAGGGAAGAACTGAGGCTGTCTTCTCTTGCTTCTTTCTTCTTGTCTCAACCTATCAACCAAGTGTTTGCAGACCATGGCGTGCGATTCCTTGTGGTAATTACCTAATTACCTCTGCACTTACTATCGTTAGGTTTGCACTACATTTTGTTTATGTATGTAGTGATATGAATTTTAGGATCTTTAATGTTACTAAGGTTATCTATTGGTTTCTTTTTATTGTGATGTTTTTTCAGAAGCCTCCCCTTAGCTCAAGGGGTGTCTGCAAGTTTTTTGGGGCCATGAATTGTCTACCTCTCTTTTCAGCAGATTTTGCTGTCATTCCTCAATGGTTCATGGATATGCATTTCACTCTATTTCGAAGAGTGGCACCACGCTCTTTCTTTTTTGTAGAGAAATCTCTGTATTTGCTAAACAATCCAATTGAAGAATCTGATTCGGAGTCTGAATTAGCTTTACCTGAACCTTGTACTCCGAGGAATGGAGGTGTAGTTGGGTTACATCCATCAGTGAGAGCCTCGAAGTTAACGGGAGGAAATGCTCAATATAGAGGCAATTTAGGTTCTCACAGTTTTCAAAAGAGGAGAAGCTCTTTGAGAAGGAGAAGAGCAAGAAATCTTTCTCACAATGCACACAAGTTGAACAATGGAACACCGGTTTTTGATATATCAGGAAGTAGGAAAAACAGGACAGCAGCAGTATCGTCGAGAAAGCTTAGAAGCTCGGTGCCAAGTAACTCATCTCCGGTTTCAAATGGGATTAGTATCATTCCATTGACGAAGACAAAAGAGGAACTTGATTCTTTATGTTGTTCTGCGAATATATTGATGATACATTCAGACAGATGCACCAGAGAAGAAGGACTTACTGTCATGTTGGAGGCGTCGTCTTCAAAGGAGTGGTTCCTTGTTATTAAGAAAGATGGGGCAATCAGATACAGCCACAGGGCACAAAGGACTATGAGACCTTGTTCTTGCAACCGGATTACACATGCCACAGTATGGATGGGAGGTGATAATTGGAAGCTTGAGTTTTGTGACAGACAAGATTGGCTTGGTTTTAAAGATATATATAAAGAATGCTATGAACGGAATGTATTGGAACAGAGTGTGAAAGTCATTCCTATTCCTGGGGTCAGAGAAGTGTGTGGATATGCAGAGTATATCGATAATTTCCCCTCCTTTTCTAGGCCAGTTTCATATATATCTGTAAACGAAGATGAGGTTTCAAGGGCCATGGCTCGAGGTATAGCTCTTTATGACATGGATTCTGAAGATGAAGAGTGGCTCGAAAGGCAGAACCGGAAAATGCGCAATGAAGAGGATGACCAATTTCTACAACTTCAGCGGGAAGCTTTTGAGTTGATGATTGATGGGTTTGAAAAGTATCATTTCCATAGCCATGCCGATGATCTCTTAGATGAAAAAGCAGCCACTATAGCTAGTCTTTCATATCTGGGTAGGCAAGAGGTGGTTGAAGCAGTACATGATTACTGGTTGAAAAAAAGGAAGCAGCGAAAAGCACCACTCCTCAGAATTTTCCAGGTAATGTCATGATGCGCTGTACTAGTACCATATTCATTATTTCCAGTCGTGTTTTTACCGTCAAAATTGATGTTTGCATGTATTATAAACAGGGTCATCAAGTGAAGAAAACGCCGCTGCTTTCCAAACCTGTGTTTCGTAAAAGAAGATCCTTCAAAAGACAGGGGAGTCAACTCCATGGAAAAGCCAAACAGACAAGCCCTTGGATCGGTAAGTTCCCTCAACCTCATGACTCAGGAGATATCTAGTTACTGTTATGAAATGTTTAGGCTTGTGTTACATTTGCAATTGCTGAAAGTTAGTGCTTAGAGCGTACTCTTGAGAGTTAGAATAATATGGAACAGTCTTGCCGAACTACGATTAAGTAGAATAGGTTACCACAGAATTAGACTGAAAATCATTTCTCTTTGGTTAAGGTTGTATTTGATTTGAGGTTAGAGAAAGTTTAAACTTCAGTATCATTAAAAGCTGAATATCGATGATTAAGCTTGGTAGAATTTTGATTCAGTTCCACAAAGTTCAGTATCATAAAGAGCATAAAGAGTGAAAATGATCTGATTCGTTTGTTGTGTTATTGTGAACAGTGACTGTAAAAGCGACTGAACCAGAGGAACAAAACGATTATCTCAGAATGGAAGAAGCCAAAGTTTTTGCTGATAGAACCATGGAAACTGCCATAGCCAAAAGAAGACGAGCACAAGTTCTTGCAGAAAACGCAGATTTGGCTGTTTACAAAGCGATGGTGGCTCTGAGGATTGCAGAAGCCATTAAAGAAGCTGAATCGAGGGAGGTGGACACAACCACTCTTGCACTGAAATGGTAACTATAGAAAATGTTACTGGATTGAATCGAAAGTTGGGATCTTCTTGGCCATTTTTCAAAGAGGATTTGAAAGAGGTATAGGCTCTGTAGCTTTGGGTTTTATATGTATAGTTTCTACGCTGATATTGTAAATTGATTTAGAATTTTTTCTTTTGTTAGGGTTTTTTGTTTTTTGTTCATACTACCGTAAGACGATGATGATGCTCCATCCTTACTTTTTTTTTCGTTTTTCTTCCAACCAATATAATTTTGAAGAAATGTGAAAAAGAAAGCTACAAGAGATATGGCAATTTTCTTTGGTAGTTTTTGGTCATGTGTATTGTGTAGATTTGGGTACTTGAAAAGTTTATAAGCAAACACACCTTACAATAATGTTGATATTCTTATTTAAAAAAAAACAAATAAAGATTAAATCCTTGGTTTGACCATAGGTCTCAACGGATTCTTCATCACCACCGTAAATTCCAATTTACCGGCGAAATCAATCTCACTTCCCGGCGGATAAGCACACCACTCGAACTCCTGAACCATCCGCGCAAGCATCAAATGCACGTGTACGGTTGCCATTGCAAGCCCTGGACAGATCCTACGGCCCACACCAAACGGAATCATCTTCACTCCACTTATCCCGGTTATGTCAGCATCTTCCTTACCCAACATAAACCGGTCCGGATCAAACTTTTTCGGGTTATTCCAAATTCTCGGATCCTCGCTTATACCCGGAAGATAAATCTCGACGTTAACGCCGGCGGGAATATCATAACCGGCAAGCGTCGTCGTCTCCATGACGGCGTGCGTCAGAGAAAAATAAGTCGGCGGATGTTTCCGGAGAAGCTCCTTAACAAAAGCTTGTAAAAAGACCATTTTATCCACATCTTTCTCATCAACCCTACGATCATCTCCCACCGTTGATTTAATCTCATCGTAGAGTCGAGATTGAATCTCAGGATTCGCAATCAGCTGAGCTATCCCCCACTCGATCGCCGTCCCCGTCGTATCAGTACCACCGTTGAGAAACTCAGAGCAGAGAGTCACGAGCTCTTCGTTAGACGGCGTCGTTTTACGACCTTCGATTTTTAAGTCGAAGAGTGTATCTAAGTAGGAGAAAGACGACGCCGTTTTATCAGATCCTGGATTCTGAATCGCTCTCCTTCGTCTCTCGATAACTCCGACAACGTAATCGACTTGTTCACGGCGAACTTCGAGAGCTCGTTTCCTTTCTTTAGAGAAGAACGGAGCAAGAATCGGAAGATAATCGTCGATTCGTGGATCAACGGTCATTAACACAGTTTTCAAAATCTCGTCCATCTTCTCGATCGATTCTTCATCCATCTCGATTCCGAAACACATTTCTAAGAGAATACAAAACGCAGCGAATCTTGCGTTTTTAAGAACCCAGATTAGTCCGTCGTTGTCTCTAGCTTCCGATTTGATCCTCTCGATGAGCTTATCCATGGCGGATTGTCTCAATCTCCCGAATTCCTTGAGGCGTGTCGAGCTTAGCATGTTCTGCACCATGTTTCTTCTCAGAGATCGCCACACTGGACCGTATTTAGCGGCGTTGACGGTGAATTTGTTGCAGCTGAAGATTGTTCGGGTCGGATTCTCGGCGGGTCGGGAAGCGAACAGAGCACCGCGTTGGATCAAAGCTTCTTGGACTAGAGACGCGTCGGAGAGGATGATCATTGTACGAGTCCCCATTCTCAGTGTGAAAATCGGGCCATACGTTTTCTTGAGCTCCTCTGCGTATTCGAAAAACGGCTTCCCGGAGCGCGCGAATTGGAATAAGTTTCCGACCACCGGCCAACCTGGCGGACCTGGAGGAAGGTTTAGACGTTTCTTAGACCTTGAATTCCATCGAGTGATGATGAAAACGAAACCTGAGATGATAATGGCGAAGAAGGTGAATTTAAGAGATGTTGGAGAAAAGGAGACTAGAGACATTTTAGCTCTGTTTATTTCTTGACTTCAAGAAGAAGAACAGAGTAGATATAGATCATGCAAAAGTTTATGTAAATATTTTAAATTATATTCTCTTTATTTTTATTTTTTGTTGGAGTTTGGTAAAACCATTATTACTCCATTTTATTACTACTACCAGTAGTCAAAATACTGTGGACTGTTTCTGCTTGCTGAAACAAGGCATATTAATTGTGGTTAAAGACATTTGTTTTCTAAAATATGAACTTTCTCTAATCATAAAACCTAAAAATCTTGTCAACAACCTCTATAGATCTAAATACTTGTAGTTTTCGATTACAAAATTTCAAAAGTACTTGATATTCTTACAGAATTTGTTTTCACAAATCAATTTTTAATATTGTTGACCCACTTGAGACTATTATTTAGCTCTGTGATTATATAAGGAATAGTACTTGAATGTGTAATGGCCTATTGGGTGTGTTTTTATTAAATGACATGAATGTTTACAACTTTAGGTGACCGTTTAGATACTCTTTACGTGAAACAACGTTTAATTCATAATTGATTATGATTCACCTATAACCATAGACTGATTGTTACAACTAATAGACTAATAGTCAAATAGTAGAGGAAAGCTTAAAACAGGAATGTCCCAAATCTTTAATGCCGTTAATTAGATAAAGGATGTATAATGAAATAGAAAAGAAAAAAGTATTTGTAGTAATTGGACCTACAGGCTACAAATAAACATATCTCCGTGAAAATTACCTGTTAGAATGATAAATTTATTTTGTGAGTTTAGGAATTGTGTGATCAGTGCATGTCTTTTTTTTTATTTATTGCGTTCAACTGTTCCTTTATTAAATTAGTAACATGGGAAATCTAAATGTCTGCAGCAAGCCATTTATTTACTCACTTTCCAATTTTGGTAGACCCAAAAACAATCAATAAAATTGTGTCATCTTTCGCCTAATCAGAATTCAACATCATAGTAAAAAACAAAAAAAGAAACTCAAATAAACGTGTTTGACTTGGTTGGAATTCAATTTACTTGTCAGAAATTTCAACTGTTCTTCATGAGTGGTAGTAGTAAAATACTCCTATATGTCATAAAATTAAGAGTTCGTCTGCAATTTGTTATGGAGCCATTTTGCTCAAGTTCTAGCAAAGCTTTATCTGTTTTACAAGGTTATGAAGTAATCACAAAAAACACTGACCTTGATGATGACTGGTATTGGTACTATATAAGAAAGCAGAGACATTGCTAATGAAAGATTATCAGACAGATGTTTTCTGTTGTAAGACTCATTGGTCTTAATATTACTTGTTGGTTAGATAAGAATAGTGTATATCACACAGATAAAACAAGGCATAGGCTGATTAAAAGGACTATACAAACATTAAAGGAAACAAAGATGGTTTCTTTATTAGTTAAGGCAAACCAAAACTGAACCGGTTTGAGTTCGATCAACATCCCAGAAATCCAATGAAGCTTGGAAAATTGATTGAAGTCAAACCGGACCCTTCCTTGAGGAAATATATCTCTAACCAAAGTAAACCGAATCAATCCTTAAATCAATTATTAACTTGGAGGGAGTTTCAAATTGTAGCAATGGAGGTTATAACTCATTGAAATAATCAGAAAAGCAGAGATTATCCTCATTCAAATCTTTTTGAATCATTATTAGTCCTCCACCTTCCACAGCTTCGGAATTAGAGCTCAAATTTTGCTTTGTAGTCACCATCGTGGCATAATCAATCTCAAAACTCTTCAAAAGACTTTCATAGTTCGTCCCAAAAGCAATGAGCTGATCAAGATCTAGATCGAATTCACTCAAGTTTTCAGGTAAAACATTGTTGTTGTCAGAAATCATTAGCATATGATCCTCATCCAAATCAGACAAGTGGATATTGTCCTCATACAAATCTCTGGGAATCACCAATTCACCATCTACAACAGCTTCAGACTCAGAACAAGGATTCTGATACGTTTTCGCCGTCGAGACATCATTCTTCTCCAAAACTTCAGATGTAGCCGCATTCTTGTTGTTATCAGAAATCGCTAGGATCTGATCCTCATCCAAATCAGACAAGTGGAGAACATCGTCATCCAAATCAGACAAGTGGATATTGTCCTCATCCAAATTTCTGTGAATCACCAATTCTCCACCTTCAACAGTTTCAGAACATGAGAACGGATTTTGATTCGTCGTCACCGTAGAGACATCGTCCATCTCCAAGTTCATCGATAGAGCTTCAGATGTTGTCACATAATCAAAGATCTCATCAAGATCAAAATCTTGATTGCACCCATCCAAGTTTACAAGTAAACCGTTGCTGTTGCTGCTGTTGTCAGAAACCGCTAGGGTTTGTTCTTCTGTGTTCTTCTTGAACCCGTTGAAATTAACACTTACATCATCTTGAATGCAAAGACTTGCAGAACACGATTGAGGATTAAGGGTTTGCTTTTGATGAGTCCCGTGTAAAACACCCTTCTTCTTCACGTCCACACAATCTCGTCGATTTTGCATGGCATTGAAACGCAACTCCTTCAGATCTTTCAACATCTTTGACATTGAGTCCATCGCGTCTCTCAGTTCCTCTGGATCCTCTGATTTTGCAAGCTTCTCATCTTCCCACCAAAATCCTAACCCTAGACCCTCCCGAGGACGCTGATTCGCGAGGAAAGCGGCAACAACGTTATCAACAGAGGAATGGCCAAAGGTGTAGAAAGAAACGTTGGAGTTGGAAGAAACCGGAGTGGCTATTATTAGAGTATGGTTTATCATAAACCATAATTGAGTCTGTAAACCGGACTAAACCGGAATTATATCTTGCTATATAAAGAGTCTGTAATGTGTCCAGATTCATTAAGAGAAATATACAAGATTCTGTTTTCTTCTTCGTAACAAACTTTCTCTTGTAACATGGTATCAGAGAATGAATGGTGAATCATTCATACGATTCTTGACCTAGATCTCTTTCTTCTTCATTTCGATCAATTTCTTCGGTTTTCTTGCCGAGAGATTGTTGTATCGACCTTCTTTTCAAACAAATTCTTCCTCCGTCGTGAAATTGGAGCTTCTCCGATGGCGCCAGGACGTAAAATCACTCGTCGCACGATTCGCGTTCCTGTTTCAGCTCGCAAATCGACAAATCGCGATGTTTCTTCACCGGAAGGTTCGCCTGAACCTCGATCTCGTACTCGTAATCCAGTTGTTGAGTCTCATGATAGTATACATTCTCCTTATTATCTTACGCATAGTGACAATCCTGGAATCTCTATTATCTCTGAAGTTTTTGATGGAACAAACTATGATGATTGGCAAATTGCGATCAAGATTGCTTTAGACGCAAAGAATAAGCTTGTTTTCATTGATGGATCTGTCCCACGACCGCCTGAAACGGATCGTTTATTCCGGATTTGGTCCCGATGTAACAGCTTAGTGAAGTCTTGGCTCTTGAACTCAGTATCGAAACCAATTTACAAAAGTATTCTTCGTTTCAACGATGCATCGGAGATATGGGATGATCTTTTGACTCGTTATCGTATTACTAATCTTCCGAGATCATATCATCTATCTCAACAGATTTGGTCTCTTCAACAGGGTAATATGGATCTTGCTACTTATTATACGACTTTGAGAACTTTGTGGAATGAACTTGATAGTTCTGATTGTGTGACTCTGTGTAAACATTGTGATTGTTGCAAAGCTGTGGATAAGAAAGCGGATCATGCTCGTGTGATTAAGTTTTTGGCAGGATTGAATGAATCTTATTCAGTCATAAGGACTCAGATCATTATGAAGAAACATGTTCCATCCTTGGCTGAGGTTTACAATCTTCTGGATCAAGATCACAGTCAAAGGAGTTTCACACCAGTTCCTACCAATGCTGTTGCTTTTCATGTTTCTGCACCGGATTCAATTCAACCATCAGTCAATGCTACATACAACAATGCTAAGCCACAGAAGATTATCTGCACTCATTGTGGATACACAGGACATACCATTGATCGCTGTTACAAGATCCATGGCTACCCGTTAGGTTTTAAACATAAACAAAAGAATCAGTCTGACAAAGGCTCTTCTTCAGAAAGGAATGGCTCTTCTTCAGAAAAGAATGTCACAGCTATTAAGCCGGTTGTTGCTCAGTTGGCTATGACAGAGACTACTACAAATGATCTTATTAATGGTTTGACTAAGGTTCTTACTAAAGATCAAATTAATGGAGTTGTTGCATACTTCAATTCTCAGATTCAGACTCCTTCAGTTGCTTCTACTTCTGGTGCTACTATCACTGCTTTACCTGGTATTGCTTTCTCTTCCTCTACTATTGGTTTTGTTGGTGTTTTAAGAGCTACTGGAAATGTTTTATCCTCTGAATCTTGGATAATAGACAGTGGAGCAACTCATCATGTTTGTCATGATAAGAGTTTGTTTCTGAATTTGTCTGAAACAATGAATAATTCTGTAACCTTACCTACTGGTTTTGGAGTTAAGATCACAGGTATAGGTACAGTTCAGTTGAATGAGTTTCTCATCTTGAATAATGTGCTTTATATTCCGGATTTTCGACTGAATCTTCTGAGTATCAGTCAGCTGACAAAGGATTTGGGGTACAGAGTAACATTTGATGAGGATTCTTGCATAATACAGGATCATATCAAGGGGCTGATGATTGGTAAAGGTGAACAAATCTCCAACTTATATGTTCTGGATGTGCAGAGTATTAAAGATTCAACAGACCAGAAGAGAACTTTTTCTACAAATATTGTTGTTGACTCTAGTCTTTGGCATAGTAGACTAGGTCATCCGTCTGTAGCTACTTCCAATATAGTTACTGATGTACTTGGATTCAATCAAAGAAATAAAAGATCTTTTCATTGCAATGTTTGTCCTCTTGCAAAACAGAAGCATCTCCCGTTTCCCTCAAAGAATAATGTCTGTGAATCTGCTTTTGATCTTGTTCATATTGATATCTGGGGTCCATTTAATGTGCCTACACCAGATGGATATCGATATTTCTTGACCATAGTAGATGATCATACACGGGTTACTTGGTTGTATCTCTTGAAGAATAAAAGTGAAGTGTTGACTATCTTTCCAGATTTTCTGAAGATGGTGGAGACTCAGTATAAAACTCAAGTTAAAGGTGTGAGATCAGACAATGCTCCAGAGTTGAAGTTTGTGGAGCTATTCAAAGCTAAAGGTATCTTACATTACTTTTCTTGTCCAGAAACACCAGAGCAGAACTCAGTGGTGGAAAGAAAACATCAGCACATATTAAATGTTGCAAGATCTCTTATGTTTCAAGCTCAAGTTCCTATTGAATATTGGGGAGAGTGTGTTTTGACTGCAGTCTTCTTGATCAATCGACTACCTACACCTCTTCTTAAAGATAAGTCTCCATTTGAAGTTCTTACACATAAGGTTCCTGATTTCAGTGGATTACGTGTGTTTGGCTGTCTTTGTTATAGCTCAACTTCTACTAAAAACAGGAACAAATTTCAACCAAGAGCTAAGGCGTGTGTATTTCTTGGATATCCACCAGGGGTTAAAGGTTATAGACTTCTGGATTTGGAAACCAATGTCATATACATATCACGCAATGTGGTGTTTCATGAGGATATATTTCCATTTGCTAAAGGTGAGTCTACTGTTCTGCAAGATTTATTTTCATCTTCTGCAGAAGCTATCGTTGAGGATAATACTGTTGATTCTACTGATAGTCCTGTAGTTGTGAGTGAGACTCCTACAGTTGTGACTGATACAGCTAGCAGTTCTACTCCTATTATTAACACTAGTTCTCAGAAAGGTGATCGCAGAACAAGTAAAACTCCAGCTTACCTGCAAGACTATTACTGTAATCTGTCTACTAATGGGGTTCAACATCCTATTTCTGATTTTCTGAGCTATGATGGTTTATCTACACAATATAGAGCCTATATTTGTTCTGTTACTAAATATGCAGAGCCGACATCTTTTACTCAAGCCAGAAAATCAGACGATTGGTTAAAAGCAATGAATGAAGAATTAAAAGCCTTGGAGGGTACTGCAACATGGGAGATTTGTTCTTTACCCTCAGGTAAGCATTCTATAGGTTGTCGATGGGTTTATAAAGTCAAGTTAAACGCTGATGGAAGTTTAGAGCGTTACAAAGCACGATTGGTTGCAAAAGGTTATACACAGCAAGAGGGAGTTGACTTTGTTGATACTTTTTCACCTGTTGCAAAAATGACAACAGTCAAGACCTTATTGGCAGTTGCAGCAGCAAAGAAGTGGAGTTTACATCAGTTGGATATCTCAAATGCTTTTCTAAATGGTGATCTAGAAGAGGAAATATATATGACTCTTCCACCTGGATACACTGCAAAGGATGGTGAAGCTCTTCCACCTAATGCAGTTTGTAAGTTGAAAAAGTCACTATACGGTTTAAAACAAGCCTCAAGACAGTGGTTTCTTAAATTCAGTACCACATTAATGTCTCTGGGATTTCAAAAATCACAGGCTGATCACACTTTGTTTGTGAGAAATGTGAATGGGAAGTATGTTGCAGTGCTTGTATATGTTGATGACATTATCATTGCTAGTAATGATGATACAGAAGTCAGTCAACTTAAAGAGGATTTGCAGAAAGCTTTTAAGCTACGAGATTTAGGCTCAGTCAAGTATTTCTTAGGCTTGGAGATAGCTCGCAATGCTTCAGGAATCTCTGTTTGTCAACGGAAGTATGCATTGGGTTTACTTGAAGAAACAGGTTTACTAGCATGTAAACCATCCAGTATACCTATGGAACCAAGTCTGAAATTGGTTTCAGATGGAGATGAACCACCAATGAAAGACCCTGCAGCTTACAGACGCTTAGTGGGAAAAATGATGTACCTTACAATCACAAGGCCTGATATTACATATGCAGTGAACAGACTTTGTCAATTTACTGCAGCTCCGAAGGATTCTCACATGAAAGCAGCCTGCAAAGTCTTGCATTATGTCAAAGGTACGATTGGTACTGGTCTCTTTTATTCTGCAGACTGTAACCTGATCCTACAGGCCTATACTGATGCGGATTGGGCATCCTGTCGTGATTCAAGGAGATCTACCTCTGGCTTTTGTATGTTTCTGGGAGAATCATTAATCTCTTGGAAGTCTAAGAAACAACCGACTGCATCACATTCTTCAGCTGAATCTGAGTATAGAGCAATGGAGTTTGCAGTAAGAGAGGTAGCTTGGCTTGTTAATCTTCTCAGAGAGTTTCAGGCGCCTCAAACCAAATCGGTACCATTCTTCTGTGATTCAACAGCAGCTATTCATATTGCTAATAATGCTGTGTTTCATGAACGCACAAAACATGTGGAACTGGACTGCCACATTGTTCGGGACAAAGTCATCAGTGGCTTGATTAAGACTCTTCATGTCAAAACAGATCAACAAATTGCAGACGTGTTCACCAAGCCTCTGTTTCCAGCTCATTTCAAGGCTCTTGTTGGCAAGATGGCACTTCAATCTATATACTTGCCATCTTGAGGGAGGCTATTAGAGTATGGTTTATCATAAACCATAATTGAGTCTGTAAACCGGACTAAACCGGAATTATATCTTGCTATATAAAGAGTCTGTAATGTGTCCAGATTCATTAAGAGAAATATACAAGATTCTGTTTTCTTCTTCGTAACAAACTTTCTCTTGTAACAGCTATGATCGCAATTTGGGAATCAGAGAGAAGACAAAGCTCAGAGGCTTTACTATAAAGACCCCTACTACGTTTTGAGAAAGCAACTGCTCGTGAATCTTTCTTCTCTATCAGCTCTATAGAAATCTTCCTCTTCACGCCACCCATTATGATTTCACGATTTCTCAGACAAATAAAAAGAAAAAAATACAGAGAGGTTTATGTGTTTTCCTGTTGCGAAAGAATAGGGTATGATATGGCGACTCTCTATTTCTAAACGACTTTAGTGTGTATACTCGTTTCTAGTTAATGCATTATATTTCCTTTTTCTGACAATTCGCTAACTAATCAGTGATTAAACGACCTAAGTATAATTGTTTTCCATTTTTGAAAGTTATTACTCTTAAACCACCTGATACGAACAAAGGCTGCTTCAGTTAAACAATCGATTTTATTTCCTTTTTCTGATAATCCACTAATCAGTAATTAAGCGTATAAGTAAAACTGTTTCCTTTTTTTTTTGCTAAAGAAAAACTGTTTCCTTTTCCGAAAGTGATTACTCAAAACCACCCGAGACGAACCAAGGCTGGTTCAGTAACCAGTTAAACCAAATTTATTTGGTTTAGTAAAACGTCTAAATTTTTGTTTTAGTGAACACATATATGCAAACCAACTAAACCAAAAGTAAATCAAATTTTTGCATGGCTCTATTTTTTATTTTGTCGGCCAATTTACGCTCTAGTAATTGAATTGAAGAGTAGCATAACATTTAATTAAACCACATCAAATTACACAATATGCGAACTTTCTCTTGAACCGGGGTTTGGTCAAGTTAAAAAAGTCAAACCACAGAACTTAAACCCTAGCTTTAACCCTCGCTCTCAACGGATTCTTCATTACCACCGCGAACACCAATTTGCCGGTGAAATCCACTTGGCTCCCCGGCGGGTACGTGGTCCACTCGAACTCTTGAACCATCCTCGCTAGCATTAGCTCCACGTGTACGACCGCCATTCCAAGCCCCGGGCAAATCCGACGGCCAATTCCGAACGGCATCATCTTAACCCCGGCGACTCCGGTTAAATCGGCGTCTTCTCCACCTGTTATAAACCGGTCCGGGTCGAATTTCTCCGGTTTAGACCAGATCTTCGGGTCCTCACTTATACCCGGAAGATAAAACTCAACATTAGCTCCAACCGGAATATCGTAACCGGAGAGAGTCGTCGGCTCCGTAATGCCGTGAGTTAACGTAAAATACGTCGGCGGACGTCTCCGGAGAAGCTCCTTAACAAAAGCTTGTAAAAAGACCATTTTATCCAAATCTTTCTCCTCTACCGTACGATCATCTCCCACCGTTGATTTAATCTCATCGTACAGCCGAGATTGAATCTCTGGATTCGAAATCAGCTCCGCGATTCCCCACTCTATCGCCGTCCCCGTCGTATCCGTGCCGGCGTTGAGAAACTCCGAACACAGAGTCACGAGATCTTCATCAGACGGCGTCGTTTCACGTCCATCGACTCTGAGATCGAATATAGTATCTAGATACGCGAAAGACGTCGCCGTTTTATCGGAGCCGGGATTTCGAACTGCCGAACGTCGCTTCTCGATGAATCCAACGACGAATTCGACAAGTTTCCGGCGAAGTTGCAGAGCCTTTTTCCTCTCCTTGAAGTAAAACGGAGTTAGAATCGGAAGGTAATCGTGAATTCGTGGATCAACGGCGATTAAAATCTCCGTCATCATCTGATCCATCTTCTCAATCGATTCTTCTTCCATTTCGATTCCAAAACACATATCTAACAAGATACAAAAAGCAGCGAATCTAGCGTTTCTCAAAACCCAAACGAGTCCTTCGTGTTCTTTAGCTTCCGATTTGATCTTCTCCACGAGCTTATCAATGGCGGATTTTCTAATTGAACCGAATTCCTTTAACCGGTTAGAGCTGAGCATGTTTTGAACCATGTTCCGTCTCAGTGATCGCCACACGGGACCGTACATCGCGGAATGGACGGTGATATCGCTAGAACTGAAGATTTTCCGGGTCGGAGTTTCAACGGGTCGGGTTGCGAATTGGGCTCCACGTTCGATCAAGGCTTGGTGTGCAAGATTTGCGTCGGAGATGATGATCATTGTTCGGATTCCCATCCTTAACGTGAAAATTGGGCCGTAGATCTTTCTCATCTCGTCGACGTACTCAAAAAACTGTTTCCCGGACCGCGCGAACTGTAATAGATTCCCAACCACCGGCCAACCCGGTGGACCCGGTGGGAGGTTCACGGGTTTGTGACTCAGGCGCGTGAATGTATAAACCAAACATGATAGGAGAATCGTGACAAGAGTGAAGAAGAAGAAAACACTATTGGAGATGTCTATCATTTTCTGTCTTTAATTGAGCTTTTAAAGCTATGAATTTGAATCAATGATGATGAACAAGAAGAAGTTACACCTTGTTGAATTTTGAAACTGTTTGATGATATTATTTGTATCAACAAATATATATATATGCTTGATTTTACGCTAGTGGTTAGAAAAACAAAAACTTAGTGTAACGTATGAGTATGTGTATCTCTAATATCTAAAAATATAAGTTCTTGCTTACAAAATCTTTATTTGTTTATGTTATTAGAAAACATAGTATAATAACGTATGCGAAATTTCTAAATATATGGTTTCCCTTGAATATATTCTAAAAATACATTCTCCACTCATTTGGTATTAAGTTGATTTTTCTTTTACTTGGGATTGATTTCCATTTTATTCAAATACGGTATATATATTTTAGAGTAAATTGCAAAAGATAGAAAACCCCTTCTTATGTGACACAAGATTTCTCCTTTTTCCCGCGCTAGTTCATACGATCCTTCAGTTAAGTTTGCGTTTGGGCTTGTGATACTTTTACCAATTGGGCTTTTGCTTTGTTGGCCCAAGGTAAATTTAGATGTTAAAGTACATTGCTCATATTGCAAAAATGCAAAGTAGGGATTACAACAATACAATGAACTCTCTAGTTCAAGTGATTCTTTCACTGACAATATCACAAACAATTTCAGAATTAGAGTTTTGGAATAACTGAGACAACAGAAAAGAATTTATAATTTGGGAAAGAGAAAGGAAGGAATGTGAGTGGCGGTGTTGTCAAAGTCCAAACAAGAAGAAAGCGCAGTGATGAGTTTCTTCACATCTTCAGTGGTATGTGCTGCACTCAGTGTCACCCTTAGCCTGAAGTAGAATTACACAACATATGAGTTTCAACGAGATTCATATGATGAAACATGATAATAAAGTTTTTTGTTTACCTGCAAGAATTGGGTGGCACTGTGGGTGGTCGTATTGCCATTACATGGAAGCCTGATTTTAGTAGGTACCTGCAACAACGAGATAAATCAATCAATCAGCTATATTGGCACTGTGTGAGTGTGTGTAAGTAAGGGAATGGAAGACAGAGAGAGATGTGTGTGGACCGGCTCGCTTTGAGAGCTTTCTCTTGATTGCCTACAACAAGTGAGATAATGGGGCTTGAGATGTCAACTCCAGATAATTCCTTGAACTCTTTTACCCTCTCCCATATTGCCTTTCTTCTCCATCTCTCCTTCCTCGCCACTACAACTGCTGCGTAAGCAGCTGCAGCCATTGGGACAGGGATTGCTGTTGAAAATATGAATGAACGACCTCTCGACTGTATCAGTTGCTTCCATTTTTTGCTGTTTCCATCAACAAACTTAAGCTGTTACCAGTCTACTACTACATAGAAATCTCTGTTTGATTTCTAGAGAAATTGAGACAGTCACATAGGCATGTGTACCTGCAAGCTATGAATCCGCCATGACACCCTGCTGCCTTACTCAAAGTTCCCACACATATATCTATGTCGGCTTCACAGTTAAATTCCTCGGCCACACCACCACCATTTTCTCCACAAACAAATGTTCCATGGGCCTGACCGATCAATATCATTTCTCTTCAGCAAAAAAGTAGTTGACACCAACATACTAAAAATTTACATGAACATATTCGACCAACTTACATCATCAATAACTAGTAGGAAGCCATACTTCTTCCGAAGCTGAGAGAGCTCTTCCATTGGTGCAAAGTCACCATCCATACTAAATAAGCTGTCAAAACCAAAAATGAGATTCAACCTTAAGAACTTCCTTTCATATTTCCACCGTCTCAAACCACCAAAGGCGTTAATAAGCATACTGAAATGTTTAGCCTTTGTAGATAGCACTATGAATAGCGACATGTGGATGAAAAGCAAAAAGGACAAGACCATGTTTCGATAAGAAAGCAAGTTGGGGCATTTAAGTACTACAACCTTTAATAAGAACAAGAGCAGTAATTTGCAAATGAGACTGACCTATCAGTCACCACGACCTTCCTCTTCATTTTGCAACTTGATCTGTACAAACAGTTATAGATGACATAAATGGAAAACTAGATATCAAGGGAGGAGTTGGGGAAAAGAGGGACTTACAGTAAAGAATTAAGGTGATACATGTCACAGTGTCGATAAACAAAAACTTCAACATTTCCTTGTCGTTCAGCAAGACGGACACCATCAATAATTGATGCATGATTCAGTGCATCAGAAAAGATGGCCACTTTTTCATTCTTCAGAGGTTTCCCGCTAGCAGCCAAAAGAGAAGCAACACTTCCAATTGCAACCATTGCAGCCATATTGGCAGCAAACCCCGTAGGACAAACAAGACAATCCTAAGAAGATAAAAGACACATCATCTGTTTCAGCTTGAGATTTATTATCAATAGCATAGGACTCCATTTCAAATCATTCAAGGAAGTTTTTTACCTCTTTTTTCTTCAGTTCCGCCAAACTAGTCTCAAGCAAACGATGATAAGTGGTATAGCCACATATTAACGCAGAACCCTTAGGTCCCATACCATATTCTTTGGCTGCCTGCCTTGAAGAAAAAGGATAAGGCAGTGGAAGAAATCTATACTTTAATTTATTGACATGAAAAAGTTTCGGAAACATACGTTTGCAGCAGCGTTTGATATTGTAGGATGTGAGCTCAAACCCAAATAATCATTCCCAGAGAACAAAAGTAGCTTCTTGAATCTCCCTTTTCTACTCTCAGCTAATGCATCTCCACTAAAAATCTCTTCTCCTGTCAATGTGAAATTGATACGAAATAAAAAACCAGTCCTTTTGCCTAATTAACTCAGTTTCTTCACTAAACCTCAGTTATAACAATCAATTTTACTTTGCATAAAACCATAATTCGCTGTCTAAGGTACGAAAACGAATTGCATTTGAGTTCAAAAAACAAAAAACACGAAACTTTGGAAACTCCGAAACTCTCGGCAAGAAAAAATATCAGGAAAGAAATGAAAAGTACCGTTGCTGGGTTCATCACGGAGCCATTTCTGAAATGTAGGAATCGAGACAGAAACCTCAACTGAAGTCCGATCCCATTGACACAAACCGTCGAACACCTCGTACTCGTCTCCTCCATTGCCTCTGTTTTTCGTAATATCTTCTTCGTTTCGCCTAGACATACAAATGGGTCTCAAAGATCGAAGAATTTGCCTGGATTCAAGCACATTCACTGCTTCTTCCACACATTTATCCCACGAATGATCCGCCATTGTAAGTGTAGGGAAATTGTGCTTTTAGACGAATTCAAAAAGTGGTTCGGTGGCTGGTGAAAGAAGAGGGCTTTAAGCCTCTCCTGCTACTGCTATGACGTCAATAAAACACCTGCTTCTACATGTTTCCACGCAGAAGGAAATGAGAGAGGCCTGGAGATGAAAAGCCCAGGACAAAGAAGAAGAAGATGAGTAAAAATGAAAAATTGAAAACCAGAGATGAATCACGTGCAAGTCACATGATCGGTTTGTTCTGGTTTGGTTTATTCCGGTTTACTGTAAGCATCGTCATCAAAAAGACGAAGATGATGGTGAAATCAAAATCAGAAAATGGCGCTTGATGTGAGAATCTTCGAGAAAATCTCTCCTTCTCGTTTCATCTCTTTCACTATCCCTAATCCAATTTCTCCGATTCATCTCCTCCGCGTCGCTGTCCTCGACTCGCCTGTTCATTTCACTGAGTCTTCTCCTCCCCGAGTCGCCGCCATTCTCGTCCCCAAGCACCGAGAATCTGATTGGATCTTCTCCACTGAGTCCGGTCATCTACAGCTCCTCCTTAATCTCCCAGACATCTCTCGGTTGATCTTGATCGGCGATGATCACGACACTGACTCTGATTTACCCGCGGTTTATCGCCGACCGACTGGTGAAGACGACGAATCGGAGAGACTCGAGATGAGATTGAAACCTCTTGTGGTAGCTCTGTCACCTAAAACCCTAATCCGAGAAGAAATTGAAGATGTACCTTTTCTGATTTACGATGATAATGTTGTTTCTAGCGTAGAGCTTGAGAAATGCGTCGGGCCTTTCGTTGGTGAAATGCTAATTGAAGATGTAGAGATTGAGATCGAAGACGGAGTAAGAGAATTCAGGAGGAGATTGAGATTCAAGAGAATGCCTAATTTAGTTCAATCTGATATCAAGATCATCCCCAGAAGTTGTTCGAATTCTTCTCTGCCATTAACGGGAACAGAGTTCAACCTTGATCTTACGGAACTTGTGCATCCTTACTTGGCACCAATGGTGGCAAGTCTTAGCTTGATTGGTTCTGACATATATGAGCTCAAATCTAGACCAAAGGCATTGTGCATTGGAGTTGGAGGTGGTGGATTGCTTAGTTTCTTAAGGCTACAGTTAGGGTTTGAAGTTACAGGCGTAGAGATAGATCCTGAAGTCTTGAGGATTGCGAGGCAATACTTCGGGTTGGAGGAAAGCTTAGCTCTTGTTCACGTTGAAGATGGTATTGAGTTCTTAAAGAGATTTTGTACTAGCTGTGATGATGATGCCAAGTTTGATGTCTTGATGGTTGATCTCGACTCTACTGATCCGATTCACGGCATGACTGCTCCTCCGGTTGATTTTGTGGCTCAAGATGTTCTGCAAGCTGCAAGAAAAGTTCTTGTTCCTTCTGGGGTTTTCATCATCAATGTCATTCCTCCAAACAAGACATTCTACCAAGAACTTCAAGACCAATTTAGACATGTCTTTAATGAGTTGTATGAGATCGATGTAGGAAATGGTGAGAACTTTGTTCTCATTGCGACAGTTACTCCTAGAGACAGTAAGAGCGGTTTCAACAGAGAGAATCTAACACCCGCTGTCTCGGAAAAATATCTTGATGCTATACAGAAAATCTGAATCATTGACGGAAGTTTCATTGCAAACTTTAAAGTTTAGTTTTTAATCCAATATCAAGAGTACAACAGAACAGAATCCTATTCAAAAAAGGTTATCGAAAAAGTGTTGTTCAACTTCGGCTTTTAGTCTTCACTAAACTTGATCCTCTTCGGGACTGGCTGTGTGTTTCCAACCTGAAGCAGTGACACAAAACATGCAGTTATTAGTTCAGTGTTAGATAAGTAATGTAGAGAAAGTAGAATTGTGTAATCGGAAACTTACAAGTTCAGGGCATTCATATTCTATTCCAGCGGCTGCGATTCTTTTCCTCCTTTTCTGATCCCTTTTCACTACCTTCTGCAACATTTTCCTATGCTCTTCCAATGTCCTTTCCTGTATACAAAACAACACAAATCAAAGTTAGGAAGATTACAAGAGAAATGGCATATTGATCACAAGAAAAGTGAAGAAGATTACCTTATTATGTTGTCTACGCTCAATCTGAACTGAATCCACTGGTTTGAAGTTACATTTAAACCCTTTCCACCTATAACATTCAGAACATAGATACATTAAGATCCACACCTAATTGAAAAGAAAAATTCTTCAGACAGCTCTTGCATGTTCTCTTCTTGAAACACTAGAGAGACTGGCACACCCTACTTTCTCAATGTGAAGAAAGAGTATTGAGTCACTTGAAACCCAGCAAGTGCACAAGAATCACATTTTCTTTACCCTAATTTCATGACTCATAAATAAACCATCTTTGTCCAAAAAAAATAAAAAAAATAAACCATCTAATCTAAGAAAAGACTCCTTAGACAAACTCTCTTTTCTCTTCACTTTTTTTTGCACATCCTATCCTAGACCCAAATGTCATAAAATATCACTCTGGAAACCATAGACATTGTCCTTCAAAGCTTGCATCAAACCACACGAGATAGCATTCAAAAGAGAGCTATTTCATTCAACACAGCCATAAGCAGCTAAGCAAAATAGCTAACCTACACAATTGGATATGCCAACAAACTATTTGCAAAGAAAATGAAGAAAAAAAAGGTGGGCTCAAGTCACTCACAGATTGGGTTTAAGATCCTCTGGTGCAATGACATGGACTTTAAGCATGTGCTCCATCAACAAATAATCATTCATTGCACCCGCTGCAATTTCGGCCACCTGCAGAGAACCAAAAAAAGAGTCAAGAATTGTTGAATCTAGAGTATAGCACACAAGGGTTTCACCATTTTTTCGACAGATTCTCAAGTATTATATACCTCAGGGTCCTCAAACTGTATGAACCCAAAATGCTTTGACTTCCCAGTCTGTTAACACAAAAAAAAAAAAAGTTAAAAGAGTTAAGAAAGAGCACATCGTCTCAAACTAGAGCAAACAAAATAAAGTATCAATCAATGTATAACCTTTTTGTTTCTGGCGACTCTAACTCTCTTAACTGTTCCAAACTGTGAGAAGAAAGCTATAACCAGAATGAAAAATCAGATTATCAAACACATAAACACATAAAAATCAGACTATCAAAGGGCAATAAATTGAGCAAACACAATAATCAAGGGTGTTAAATTTCTACCTTCAATCTCAGTCTCATAAAAGCCATGAGGGATTCGACCGATGTATAGCACAGTAGCTTTGTTCTCAAGAGGTTGGGAGGTCACTGGAGCTTTTCGAGCTGGACCTCCTTCTAGTGGCTATCAACAAAAACCCAAACATAACGATTCAAGTAAAACCCAAAAGAGACTGAGACGAAATCGAAACAATGGAGGTAAAAGTGAAAGCATCGAAGGAAATACCAAAAAATCAGCTGAAGGTTTCGGGTTCTGGGGAGGAGGTAGCTGAGAAGAAGCAGCCGAAGCAGCAATCTTCTTCATGTTCTTCTTCAGAGCTTTCTTCGCCTTGGCACCCATGTTTTCGTCGTCGGCGAGAAAGAGAGAGAGAGAACGGAAGAAAGAGGATGCTGATTCAATTAGGGTTTAAGGCGCTTAGGTTTTCAACCAATTTAATCGATGTGAAATGTTTTTCCAGTTATACCCCTCCCGTCCATTCTTGTCTACATGTCACCTATATTACTAGCAAAGGAAAATATCTTCCCTTTTTTTTTTTTTTGAAACAAAAGATTTCAATTTGATGACAAAAAAAAAAAGATTTCAATTTTTTATAGAAAGAGGCCTAAATGATTTAGAAGCTCATGATTTTTAGTTCTTCACTCGATCTAAAGTTAGTGTTGTAACTTTTCTAGAATTAGGTAAGTTTAGCAGTATTTTGATATTACAATACTATCACTTATCAGATTTAACTGCAATTTATTCTTGCTTGCACATTAACTCAATCAAAATTTTGAAGAACTAAACTAAAATTAATTTTGAACAATGTGTGAATATGTGTTTTTAAGTTTGCTTCTAAATAATCGTGGACATTAAAACAAGAGGTACATTTAGATTTCACTAAATGATAATAACAGTGGTGTGTAAGATTTTTTAATTGTGGGTTAAAACTTTAAACAGTTTTTTTTCATCAGAACAATAATAATAATATCCAGAGCAAGAAACTATCTTAGAAATAGGAGTAATCAAATGATATCTAGAGCTTATAAAAGGCTTATTGATGGGCTAATTAGCCTTGATACAGTAATGCTTCATTATCCAATAAAAGACAAAGCAATCCAAAACAAAGAGTACAAAATCAAACCAAAACGAGAACAAAAGTTCTCCATCAGAGTTACCGAAGAGTAACAGTTCAGACAGAGACATTACATTACATAATTTATAAAACGAAAGATGATCTCTGTGCTCATTGAGAAACTCCTTTGTATGAATCTATCAGCTCCTTCAGTTTCTCGAATCCCTGCAATTTTACCATAGTTATAAATAAAAAACACAGTCATTTGTTTTTTCTTCTTCTTCAATATAAATGTTCAAGCCACAGTGGGAGTTAAAGAGAAGTTCTATGTGATACTTACCATGCGGGTTGTGTATTCTCCAAATGATTCTTTGTTTTGCCTCTCTAGTTTCCAGTGATAAAACAATGGCTCGAACACTTTCTCTAAGTCGTGAACCTTAACCTTATCCATGAAACTTCTCGCTATCTGGGTCAGGTTCGGTGTTCCTCCTAGCCAAACCTGCAGAACCGACAACAACTCAGAATATTAGCCTGCTTGCTTACTAATACACTGGCTCAGCACTAGTAACAAGAGCTTGTGCTCCAACCGTACCTGATAGCTGTTGGGACCATCCCCAACTAGACCGAGCTCAGCCATGTACGGTCTTGCACAGCCGTTTGGGCAACCGGTTACTCTTATCACAACAGATTCATCGTAGTCCAGACCAACCTGATCCAAGGAAAGAGTTTTGCACATCAAGATCAAATGCCTGTGATGGCACAAAATTAGATAAGTGCACAGAGCGATCTTACCTTCTCAAACATTGCCCTAACTCTCTTTAGAATGCTGGGGATCCCGCGCTCTGCCTCGGTTATTGCCAGAGGGCACAAAGGAAAAGCTGGGCAAGCCATTGCAGTTTGGTTTAATGGGTCGACAAACTCAGGTTGCTGCACAAATAAGCAATGTTTTACTCAGCTTATGACACAATAGCTAATAGATTTGCATACCTTATGGTCAAATAAAACTGCTTACCAGCAAGCCGGCCTGAGCAAGTACTGTGGTGATGGGACGCTTCCATTCGGTCTTTATATCACACAAGACAATGTTTTGGTTTGGTGTGATGCGGACATCAATTTTGTATTTCTCTATCACTTCTCTCAGTGTCTTCTTCATTATACCTCCAACACGACCACTGTCTACGTGAAGCCCACAAAACCATGCACCATCTCCCTGTTCAGTTCACAATGACGATAAGATATTATTGATTAAGCCATGCCATAAAGTTCCGAAAGTGATGCAATTTTCACAAGGTTTTTAGAAATAAAACCTGTTCATGCCATCCCAAGTAACTCTTGAACTCCCACTCTGGAAGTTCACGGGAAGGCTCAAACTTTTTACCATAATATTGCTCAACAACATCTCTGAATTTCTCAATTCCCCAGGAGCTGATCAAATATTTCATTCTGCTATATTTACGATCATCTCGTCTCCCGTGTTCTCGTTGTGTGACTACAATGGCTTTCACAGCATACAAAATATCCTCCTTTGGAACATAACCTATTGGTTCTGCCAGGCGGGCAAAAGTGGACTCCATTCTGTGTGTTCTTCCCATACCCCCACCAACCTACAAGATGGGTCATTATCATTAACAGTTTAAAATCAAGAAATGATCCAGAAAAATAACACTAAAAGCATGACACAAGATATAAATAATAGCACATGTAGGCTAAAAGAGTGTCAACTTACATAAATATTGAAACCTTGTGGTTCCCCATTTTCATCTGAAACGACAACAACACCAATGTCATTGGTGAGGAGGTCGACAGAATTATCCGTAGGCACAGTTACAGCGACCTTGAACTTCCTAGGCAAGAACTGGGTGCCATAGATGGGTTCAGGAGAGTCGACAAAGTTAGTTCCATGGGAGTTATCATTTCGAGCTTTCACTACCTCCGGAGGCTCAGCAGTCATGAACTGCTCTCCATCAACCCACATATCATAATAGAACCCTGATTGAGGAGAAAGAAGAGCCGCAATGTTGTCAGCTGTTTCTTGTGCAAAGAGATAGTCTTTCTTCACATAAGGCGCCGCTGGAGCAAGAACATTTCTGTTCAGATCACCACAGGCACCAAGGGTGCTACCCATATTTCTAATAATCGAGCTCATCACAGTCTTAAGATTCTGCTTCAGAACACCGTGGAGCTGAAACGTCTGCCTGGTGGTCAAACGAAGAGTACCAATTCCAAACTCATCAGCTAAGTCATCCATAGTCAAGTAGAGCTGGTTAGGGACCTTCCCCGATGGATTCTTAGTTCGAAGCATGAAGGAGTAAGATCGTCCACCACGTTCTTCTCTGTTGTACTGTTGGTAGCTACCGTGGAACTTAATGAGCTGCACGGCCGACTCGTTGACGTTTGGAGCCTCTGTTAAAAGCTCCTCGTTTAGAGGATACCTAATGAAATTACTCTTCTCCTTGATTATTTCGACTTTGCTCCGCTTCGTCGCAGTCTCAGGCTTTGCAGGCTGAATAAAACATAAATCAAACATGAGAACGCAGAATCTCTCTCACTGCTATATCTGATTCAATCCTAAACTCAATTTCATAAAAATTAATCACCAATGAATCGCATCATCGCTTTTAGAATTAAAAAGCTATGAATTACCGAAGAAATAATTATTTTCACGATACAGCTGCATCAACTATCATACTCCAGAAATCATTTACACTAAGATTACAATCAGAATCTAAGATAACAGAAACATTTGAAGAACAGTCGTGAAGGCGATTCAAAAAGCACCTCATGATTTTTTCACGACCAAAAGCAGAAAATTCCTTATAATTATTAGAAATCAAGAGCAGATATCGAATCTCACCGTGGAGACGGCTTGAATAGGCGAAGAACTCGACGAAGAAGCGGAAGGAGGAACCGGAACGCCGCCGCGTCCATATCTTCCTAAGAAAACAGAATGAGAGGATCTCAGAGCGTCGAGCCTCCCAAGTCTGATCTTCTGATCCGCCGAAAACACAGTGGCGGCGCCCGCCGGAGCTCGAAACGTCGATGACATCGCTTCAGAGAAAGAGAGAGTGAGTGGCTTTGGGTGGGTGAGGAATCGAATAAGGGCGTGTGTTAAAAACTAATAGAGAACAAAGACAATGGTCAAAGCTAACGTGCGCTATCACGTGCATGACACGTGCGGCGGCTAGCCATGAGAAGCGCGTGAACGCACCGCTATACTTTTCAACTAATTTAATCCACCGTCGATTGAGAATCTAACGGTTGATTAGGCGCGCGTGACGGTAACTCCTGTCTAAGAGGTGCGTGAATAAGAATATCATTATGCGAAATGAAAATGGAACTTTTACTCTTGATAAAAACTTGAACCGGGATGGCATCTTGGATATATTCAAAGTGAATGGTTTAGATGCTACTCTGCAACTTGGTGCACCAGAGAGTATCTACGTGGCGGATAATCATTGGTTCAGATACTTATTACGAGAGAATATACATAAGGGTAAAAAGGTAAATAACGTGAGGCTCTCTCACCTACTTGGCCGCTCGTGATGCCCAGAAGGTATATAAGTGTTGTTGTGTTGGGCACATGCTAAACATGAGTGTGTGAGTTTTTGCTGGTGCTAACTACTTTGCTCCTCTTATAATCTTATTTTTTTAATCTACCATATTATATAATCTTTTATCTTCTCCATACACATGTTTTTTCAAGTTTGTATTATATCGTCTTAAGTTTTTTTTTTTGTTAAAGTATATCGTCTTAAGTTTTCTTAACATATAACATGTTTCGTATTTTATTAAAAAAAAATTCATTCTTAATAGGAACTTAGGCTACTAATCAAAGAGTTGATGACTTTGCTTTTCTTTTTGGTTGGCAATCCGCAATGTCTATATTATTTTTTAGTCACTTTCTACTTTGTAGCATTCAACTTTTTGTTAGTTTTATTGATGCTCATACTCTAATAAGGCCCACTACAGTAAGCACACAACCCCAACAGAAAGAATAAGGAATATGTGTTGCCGGAAGTATCCGCATTAGCCGCCGGTTGAAAGATGCTAAATACTCTGGTGGCCGGAGAAATTTATTGACAATGCGCCTGCGTGCGCAGGCATTGGATTTGCCACGCTAGTGACAACCAAAAAGACCCAAATGCTACAAATTTGTTAGCGAGAAAATAAATAACCCAAAAAACTTGTTTGTGTTGCTATTTTCTTTTGTTTCTCTTCTGCTCTTCTCTAAGAATGAAGTCAGAAAGAAAGAGAAAAAAAAAAGAAGCCTATTTGGTTTCCTGTTTTTATGCCTAAATGGGTCTTTTCCTTGCCTTTAAATAGAGGAGAGCAGAGAAGCAATGCGTTTTCTTT